TTTGAAATAGTCGCGTGTGTTATTTTTGGAGGTATACCACTATTAAAAGTGGATATTCTACGCCCTCTGCTAGAGAAATATGGCCATAGATTAACCTACAGCGCCAACCTCCCTGAAATCATTACAGTGGTATTGGAGAAAGAAAGAGAGAAAATCCTGAGTGAGCTTGAAGGTGTGAAGAAGGCCAGTGTTACTCTTGATGGAACAGCCAGAATGGGTGAGGCCCTTGTTGCTACTATTCGTTTTGTTCAGGAAAACTTCATACCTACACAGCGCCTTATACGACTTGAAGTACTAGCAAAGACATTGAAGGGAGATGAGCTGGCCCAGAGGTTGATGTCTTGCCTTGCTGTGAAGCATAACTTTGGTCCTAACACGATCTTTGGTGAATCAGGAATGGGGCTTCAGTGAGTGGGGCAGCCTTGCGACAACTCATTTTTTTCTACTCTAACCTGTTTGACGTTGTGTGTTTTTCGCACACAATAGACAACGTTGGTAACCATGCAGATGCAGCGGTCTTATAAATGAAAGAAGTCTGAGAACCAGATTGAAATGACTTTATAAATGCAAAATTGATATTTTTGTCGCGTTAATAAAACGTTGGATATACGAGGACACTTAACCTGTTTTGAAAAGTAAATTTCGTAGGCTTGAGAGAAATCTACGCTCTCCAAAAGACTGTTTCCAACGTTAAAGTTACAAATTCCTAGATTTAATAAAACAGAAGAATTCACTCACAAAGACAACTGAAATGTGTGCTATAAAACAAAATTTGGTCTTTCAGCATATTTCAGATTTGTGCTGTTATTCCGCCCACCCTTCCATACCCCTTCCCCCCCCCTCCCGCCCCCTGAAAAAACATGCCCTTACTGAGGAGCTAATAGCGCTGGTTTCTTTTGAATTCCAAAGTTGAAATTACAAGTTATGAAAGGCGGCAAAAACTGATCAAGAAAACAACGGTAAAGCAGTTTCCGTTGGGAGCTACCCTGTGTCATGATTACACCTTGGCATCAGTATTCATGTTCTCCATACTGACCTACATACATCAAGGAGAATTTATTTAATAATCAAGAGCTTCGTTACTAACTGGTCATTTCCTTTACTCTCGTAACCTTAATGTGTGATTCAAGGGCGATATTGTGAGAAGAAATTAGATTCTGGTCACTCTTAGGTGATTGTAGGGTTTAAGAACCAGAATAATATAAGAACAATCATGCTCCAGCCTTGTACTCGTTAATTACCTCGTCGCCTTTTGCAACGGATTCTTCAAACTTTTCTGAAGCTTTGTGCAAAACCCTGAATTCACCTCCAGCAATTCCTGGTGACAAAATGAACATTTGATATCACATTTGTTTTTAAAACTGTATTTAGTTCTTTTTTTGTTGTTGTTTCTGTTATCGTGGAAAAAACTGATAATTAATCTTCATATTTAATAATTAGTTGGGACACTTCTCCTGAAAAACTTTAAAAATCCTTCGTGAAGAATTCCTAAAAAGAGAGACCGAAAAATACAATTTTGAATGCTCATGCATTTGAAAATTCCTGATTAGTTGATATATTTTGTTATTCATTATGTTCGGGTGATCTTGACGTGGGAAAATATCGGATCGGTAGATTGCAGGTACACTTTATGGACTAACACTTATTACTAAAATTGCGTGATTTTTCACAAACTATATATCAAATTGTTCCATACGCTCGAGACTTTCTACCTGTTAAGTTGTTTAAGAATTGTTTCTTCAAAAACCCTTGGTTCCAAATACCGCAAAATGTACCTTGATCGTATAAGTTCCCCTCTGGCTCAGACTGACAGCCAATCCACAAAAAAAATTCTCGCACTATAGAACTATACATGAATGTCAAAATTATTAAGCTGAAAAACTCCAGTGTAAATACTTCATCATCTTGGTATGCTGGTTGAAATAGTTTTCTCTTCGTTTAAGCCTATCCGGTTTTCAAATCGCGCCCGTTAGTTACTTATACAGCTCTATGTAAAGGAGCCAAATTTCCAATGAACAAGGAGAGCACTGTATTCTGGAACAGTTATTACGTGTACATGTATTTAGAACCACTAAGTCAGTTGTTTAATTTATCTATACAAAAAAATATGTCTTCAACTTCTGTGCTCGAAATCTCAGCACTTGTTTTTCTTCCATACATTCGGCTAAACTTCCTAAGCTAAACGCTCTTATCAAAAAGCTCCAAAATTGTAGAAAAATTGTAAGATATGATTCCTTAATTGTTAATTATTAACAGGATAATTGAAATTCCACACAAAACTGTTGGCTCAAACCCCACTTGGAGGAACTATTGTTCGTTTCCCTTAGGAGTACGAGTGAGCGCTGTTGTACTATATACACGAATGACGGAAACCCACGAGAAAGCGTTCGAGTTCTTAGAACTGAGCTTTACTTCCAATTTTGCAAGCTTCCTCTGCAAATATTTTAAACGATGCCCTTGATAACCTTGGAGTTCTGATGAGCATAACTGTTAAACGATACTCGACATAAGGGCGTAACAAGTGCCACCTCTGTTATTTGCAGTTCTTTCAAGATTCCTTGATCTGGCTAATTCATGTACACCCTGACACAGAGTCTGTCACGTGACCCTTTAAGATAAAAGCCACCTGAACATTGGCTCATGGCCGATATACGGGAAGGGAAAAGGGAGCAGGGAAGTTGCTCGAGGCGTCGCCGAGAGTAAGTCTAGCTTCTTGAGTGATCTCAAAACTTTCCACGCGCTCCATGTCTCCATGAACGCACAACGTAAAACAACGTAAACGCAATTGTTTGGATACTGTTTTCTTGCAAATTTGAAACTTTTGGGAAAAGACGGCGCTCCATAAATGTAAAATAAATTGAAATTTTACTAAAAAAAAGCTCTAAGGAAATAACGGTTTAACAACTTGCTCTTAAACTAAAACAAATAATAGTTTTAGCCAAAATGTACTTTTAAGTATTTTAAAATCTTATCGCCAAGTGTTCTGTACTATTTTTATCTAACATTTTAATCAATGGAGAATGGAACCATTTAAAGGCTTTTTGAAAAATTGTGACCGCCGGGCATTAGGTCTATTCGAGACAGTGCCCCGCAATCTGATCAGAAGCGTACAATTGCAAAGTGTCGACAACCGGGCGATATTATAGGCTGCACAGCACGGAAAATATGTCCGCTAAAAGCCAAATTAATCGTTGACATTTCTAAACAAACATCTGATAATCTTAACAATTTTGAAAGGACTATTCGTTGAAAATTCTGTGAAAATTTCTGACTGCCATTCATTTCGTCTATTTCAGAAAGCACCTGGTTGCAAGGCATTTAGAGACAGCTTATTCTGAAACTAGAAAAATGATAGTGATACCCAAAATGTACTTTTAAGTATTTTGAAATCTGATCTTCGAGTATTCTCTAACATTTTAATCTAACATTTTTATAAACAAAAAAATACAATTTATGAACGAAAATGTCGGAATTCTTTGCGTTTACGCGACCCGCGTAATAGATTCGCCATGCTTGAGTCATTGTCTACTTTGTAGACGTCGTGGTCTAAAATAGCCAATCAAGGCCAGTTGATTGGCATGCCCGCCCATGCCTATCTGTAGAGACTATATAAGCATGTAGTAGCATGCGCAGTACAAATCAAGGAGAGGTCAGTAAATAGTATTCAGAGAGAATCAAATTGTAAGAGTCGAAGAAATTAACCAGAGTTCCACAGACTGAGGTAAAATTGGATGTAAGTAGAATTGATTGTGGATTAGAGAACCGAGAAAGGCAGATCGAGAGTACTTGGTGCCTTTCGCTGAGTATGGTGGGCTTGACAGGGCATAGTTTCCTCCTTAATTGCGACCCAACATTATTCTGAACTCTTCAGTAACGTATTTTTTTTTGCTCAGCTAATGTATTGTTCGCAACATCATTAGTATGAAAATAGTAGCCTTAAAACTGTAATTTCGATGAACATTTAAAATTTTACATTGTACTTCCATTCCAAAGAATTGTGAAGCATTTTAGTCGCGTGAAAGTAAATGCAATGAAGTTTTCTTGGTTTTTCCGATGATACATGGTTTTTTTGTCGCAGATACATGGTAACCAGAAATTAGTGTTGTATGGTGAACAGCTTGTTCTTGATTCATTGCTTTGTGTGATTGTTGTTCTGATTGTCGTGTTTTGTTCACCTTCAAAATGTACCACCATCGACCGTATATTTGCTTCCCACAATTTCGGAAATACTATAAGAAGTGGTTAGGATTTTCAGACAAATTTATAATAAATTCAGCAGAAACATTGATACCAGTGATATTGTTTGTTTTGTCTGCGGTAAAGAACTGCACTTGACTTGAAGATTAGCTTTAGTTGTTTTATAAAGGACATTCAACTCTTTAAAAACATCTTTCGACAGTTCTTCTATTATCTTCAATTCTGTATAATACAAAGTACAAAGTTGAATTTAAAGTGTGTACCAAATTCTGATTGGACAAAACAGACAATAGCAATAGAACAATGTATGCATTTACAAGGAAAGTTTTAAATTAACATGATAAAGTTGATGATTAAGTGTGGGTCTCTCCCATTGAATGTGGATAGCTTCTTTGATTTTAAGTTGAAACGTTGTGGAAGCGTGATCTAAGATGCTAAAACACCCATCGGAACAGAGTGTGACATTGTGGAGAATTATGTAGATGTCTGAAAATGTGAGAGACGAATCGATTCCAGGCTAACCGTACTGTAAAAATAGTAAAGTAATCGTAAAAATATTGAAATTTTACTCTGTGAAGGTCAAGTTACCACTCACACTTAAGAATATTCTTAGCAGCTCCGTTTTCTTCGGAAGGAATTCCAGCAATGCAGATGCAGCGGTCTTATAAATGAAAAAAATCTCAGAACCAGATTGAAATGACTTTATAAATACAGAATTGATATTTGTGTCATGTTAATAAAAAGTTGGATATACGAGGACACTACCTGTTTTAAACAGTAAATTTCGTAGACTTGAAATAAATCTATGCTCTCAAAAAAATTCTTAAAACGTTAACGTTAGAAAATTCCAAGATATAATAAAGAAAGAAGAAGTCACTTACAAAGAAAACTGAAATCTGTGCTAGAAAAACAAAATTTGGTCTTTCAACATATGTCAGATTTGTGCTGTTATCTTCTAAAGGCATCTGGGGGTTTACCCTACGGTATACATGAATGACGGAAACCCACGAGCAAGCGTTCGAGTTATCAGAACTGGGCTTTACTTCCAATTTTGCAAGCTTTCTCTGCAAATGTTTTAAACGATGCCCTGGATAACCTTGGAATTCTGAAAGAGCATAAATTTTAAACGATACTTGACATAAGGGAGTAACAAATGGCAGCTCTTTTTTTACAGTTCTTTCTAGATTCCTTGATCTGGCTTATTCATGTACACCCTGACACAGAGTTTGTCACGTGACCCTTTAAGATAAAAGCCACCTGAATATTGTCGTTATGAAGGTCATTCAAGGTCTCTTCACTTCAGAGTACGCCACACTTAACTGACAAATTTCTAACCGGAAATTTTGTCTTTGATGGTGTGTACCGTGGCGGCAGTGGTGTTCCTACTTGCACTTAACTCATATCGCGTTATAATAACAAACAAAATACTGCGATAAAAATGCGTGCCTACAGCACCACCCACCCAAAATTGTCAGGCCAATGAACCTGATGTCAATCGTCCATGACCAAATATAGCCATAATATGAGATAAGGCAACCCACTCTGTGCAGGGAAACAAAGATTTTTATTGATTAACCCAAGCAGCTGTGACCGCATTGGTCTGAAGCTGTTAGCTTGTATACATTTCTAGAACAGGGACGAACTGATTCAAGACCATCACTCCACAAGCCTATTGAAGCAAAGATATCAAAAACCGTTGATTCAATCAATTCCTTTTCATGATATTTTCTTCCAACACCTGATATCTCCATGTTCTATACAGGGTATCCACTAGTTAACCATACTGTCACTTTGAATTAACAATTGGTTTATACTTTAGCGTGCGCTCATGGCCGATAAACGGGAATTTTAGACAGCGACAGAGAAGTTGCTCGAGGCGTCGTTTCAAAACTTTCAACGCGCTCCATGTCTCCATGAACGCACGGATGAACCAATTGTTTTAAGACAACGTAAACGAAGTCGTTTGGATATTGTTTTCTTGCAGTTTAAAACTTTGGGAAAAAACAGCGCTCCATAAATGTAAAATAAATCGAGTTTTTACTAAAAAAAAAAGCTCTGAAGAAATAAGGTTTAACAACTTGCTCTTAAACTAAAACAAATAATAGTTTTAGCCAAAATGTACTTTTGAGTATTTTAAAATCTTATCGCCAAGTAGTCTTTACTATTTTAATCTAACATTTTGATCAATGGAGAATGGAACCATTTAGTGGCACTTTGAAAAATTCTGACTGCCGGGCATTTGGTCTATTCGAGACTGTGCCCTGCAATCTGATCTTAAGCGTACAACTGCAAAGTGTCGACAACGGGGCGATATGTTCACTAAAAGCTAAATTAATCTTTGACATTTCTAAACAAACATCTGAAAATCTTAACAAATTTGAAAGAACCTTTCGGTGGAAATTCTGTGAAAAGGTCTGTCTACCAGACACTTCGTCTATTTTAGAAGGTACCTAGTTGCAGGGCATTTGGAGACTTATTCTGAAACTAGAAAAAATGATGGTTATAGACGAAATGTACTTTTAAGTTTTTTTGAAGTCTGATCTTCGAGTATTCTTTGATATTTTTATCTTACATTTTTATCAAAATGGTACAAAAAAAAAATTAATACAGAGTACTTGACGATCAGATTACAAAATCGGTTTGCACATTTGAGGTTTAACAAAATACCACGTGCTAATCGAAAACTATGACTATAAGGCGAGGCAAATGTTACAATTAGATATTTTGTGGCAAACTAAATATACAATTTATGAGCGAAAAATGTCTTAATTCTTTGCGTTTAGCGACCCACGTAATAAATTCGCCATGCTTGAGGCATTGTCTACTTTGTAGACGTCGTGGTCTAAAATAGCCAATCAAGGCCATTTGATTGGCATGCCCACCCATGCCTATCTATAGTGACTATATAAGCATGTACTTCATAGTTCATTTAGTAGCATGCGCAGCACAAATCAGGGAGAGGTCAGTAAAAGGTATTCAGAGATAATCGAATTGTAAGAGTCGAAGAAATTAACCAGAGTTCCACAGACTGAGGTAAAATTTAATGTAAGTAGGATTGATTGTGTATTAGAGAACCGAGAAAGGCAGATCGAGAGTACTTGGGGCCTTTCACTGAGTATGGTGGGATTGATAGCACATAGTTTCCTCCTTAATTGCGACCCAACATTATTCTGAACTCTTCAGTAACGTAGTTTTTCGCTGAGCTAATGTAATGTTCGCAGCAACATTAGTATGAAGATAGTAGCCTTGAAACTGTAATTTCGATGAACATTTAAAATTAACATCGGATTTCCATTCCAAAGTACTGTGAAGCATTGAAGACGAGTGAAAGCAAATGCAATGAAGTTCTCTTGGTTTTTCCGATGATACGAGGTTTTTTGACGCAGATACATGGTAACCAGAAATTAGTGTTGTACGGTGAACAGCTTGTTCTTGATTCATTGCGTTGTATGATTGTTGTTCTGATTGTCGTGTTTTGTTCACCTTCAAAATGTAACACCATCGAGAGCGTATTTGTTTCCTACAGTTTCGAAAATACTATAAGAAGTGGTTAGGATTTTCAGACAAATTTATAATAAATTCAACTGAAACATTGATACCAGTGATAAGGTTTGTTTCGTCTGCGGTAAAGAGCTGCACTTGACGTGAAGATTAGCTTAGTTGTTTTATAAAGGACATTCATCTCTTTAAAAACATGCTTCGACAGTTCTTCTGTCATCTTCAGTTCTGAAGAATGCAGAGTACAAAGTTGAATTGATAGTGTGTAACAAAATGCTGATAGGACCTCTCACATTTTCAGACATCTACATAATTCTCCACAATGTCGCACTCTTTGTTCTGATGAGTGTTTTAACATCTTAGATCACGCTTCCACAACATTTTCAACTTAAATTCAAAGAAGCTATCCACATTTAATGGGAGAACTTTCCTTGTAAATTCATTCATTGTTCTTTTACTATTGTTTGTTTCGCCCAATCAGCATTTTGTTACACACTTTAAATTTAACTTTGTACTTTGTACCATTCAGAATAGTATCGTAATTATACACGTGTGTGTTAAGGCTTTTCTCAGGGCTCGAAATCATTACAAAGCACTGCACTTCATATAATAAAAGCCTTCATCAGACAAGTCTATTTGACGTTTCGCATTTTGTTCCTCAATATAGAATGGATGAGAAGCAGTACAAAATAAGCGTAACGAAGTATTTCGGAGAAGCAACAGCAAAAGTAACCAAAGAAACAACCGAAGATGAAATCAAACGTATCTATGCTGCACGGTCAGCAACATATGACGAGGTACTCTAAAATAATAAAATAATAATAATAATGGTCTGAGGGACCATGTGGCACATTGCCCTTTGACCCACCGGACACCTGATCCATCCTTCAGGGTTGCGTTTCTCGAATGTTCCAGGCTACCGACCTGTAATACCAGTAATACCTTTCACGAGCCCGAAGGGTGAACGCAATTTGTGGTCTTTGAAAACATTTACACATGCTTATTTATTCCAAATTGCTCGAGAAAAATCATGTGATTATGTATTAATAATATACATGAAAAGATACTAGATAGCTTATCATAATTATGCAGAGGCAAAGCGCGCACATCAAGTGCAAAAACAATTTATTCAAACCCTGTAAGTGACATTGTGCGTTCCGTCAAAACAACCGCGAACGATCAAAACAATAATATACAAGGATATTTTCACATCTTTAAGGCGCAAAAAAGTTCAAAATCCGGCTAAACAGTTGAAGGAATTGTTCGGTCTGGTTTGCTACTTCTTTGCACTGAATTAACCCTCTTCTGCATTGAATTACCTGAAAACTTCATGTATCTTAACCAATCAGGATTGAGTAATCTTTTCATGTACTTTATCAGCTCAAAAACTAGTTTATTTTACCTTGTTGCCTGATATTTTCTTCGTTGAAGTTCAATTTTTTTTAAGGAAAAGTCTCGATTTTGATTGAAAACAGATCAGCTTTTCGGGTCCATAAAACTACCGGAGCTCTCGAGGAAAAGGGGCCCAAGGCGACACCAGACCAGTGTCGTATTTATCGAACACCTAATCTTAAAAACCAGCTTGAACTTTCTCATCATATAGGAATATTCAGCGGTTCGTGCTTCGTATTCGAAGCCACTGGCCGAATCTTTGCATAACGCCCTTAAAGAAGTTTACCAGGACAAACCAAAGGATCAGATCAAAATCATTGACGCTGGAGCTGGGACAGGGCTGATTGGAGTTGAGCTCAAGAAACTCGGATACACCAACCTATGTGCTCTGGACATCACAGATGAGATGTTAAAGGAAGCAAAGAAGAAAGAGGTCTATACTGAGTTCATCTGCACGTCTTTGAATGGGCAGCCGATACCTCAGATTAAATCAGGGCAATTCGATGCTTTGATTTGTGGTGGGGCGCTCCTTACAGGACGTATCGGCTCATCTGCTTTCGTGGAGATGATAAGAATGGTTCAAACTGGTGGGTCTTTCGTAGAATTTTACCGAGGCACAGATATAATTGACCCACGGATGTCCGCGGGGAGTCTGTTCTGTGGCTAGTTGTTAGACTTGACACAATCAATCATTTGATCGCGTCCAAAGCATCTGTGTTTGAAGAAATTTGCTCAAAACCTTTGAGGAAATAATAATTTTTTTAACAAAAATGAAAAAAAGGATGATTTTAGATTGAGGACATATCAGGATTGTAAAAAAGGAAAAACGTGTAAAATCCCCTGGCAAGTTTTTTGCTTGGTTATTCTTGTTTTTTGAAAACTCAAACCGTAATGAAGACTCACGTAACACCCTTCTCGACAAGTTCCCTTAACATCTGGCATCTGACCCTTAAATCTTTTTCTGGGGTCAAATCTTTTCTCTGCAAAATCGCTCAATGAATTTCTAGATACATCGAGAGCACGCCCCTAGGCTGGTCTCTTCAACTTCTCTTTGGATGATATTACAGGTTATAGGTTAACCCTTTAACTCCCATGAGTGACCAAGACGGAATTTCTCCTTATCAAGCAGACAAGTAATGGGAAAACAAAATATGTTAATGAGGGTGTCATTGGTTAAGCCAATACCAAGTTCTATCATCATAGGAATTGTATGGCAAACACTAAAGAGAATTACTAGAAAGATCTCAGAAGCGAAAGAGTTAACCAACACTGTGAGTTAAATAAATGGAAAAATAGGAAAAAGAATGGAAATTTCCCATGATAAAACCTTAAAAGATCTGCACTTCTTTGCAGGTGGTGTCCTCTGTTTCAACATAATGAAAGAGGAATTAGAACACTATCAAGAGATTATGACGGAGCTGGAGAAAGCTGGCGAGTGGATGTGCATGTCCAAAAAATCTGCACCTTTCTTTGAAGCCGAGGACCTGCCCATTGAATGCTGGGGGTTCGTTTACAAAGTTTTGAAGAACTAAGAAACATGTACCATGGCAGTTAAGCCTAACTCATCCAGGCCATACTAGAAAATCATTATTTTAGCTGACTTGAAACATCAGTTATAATGCTGTTCTGATGTTTTGATGTTAAAACAAAAGAAAGTTTATGAAATAAATCAAACTGCTCAAACTACATTGCCCTGATGTTGTACTTACGTTTTTGCGCGTGCCGGTGGGCGGCGAGCCCGCACCCATTTCAAATATTCTTTTACGGCTCGCGTTTTGTTTCCTGATATTTGTCATTGTACTAATTTCGAAACTATTGATGCTTTTTTCTTGGCTTTAAACACAGCAGAGAAAAACAGCTTTTAAGGTGGAACTGATAAGTACCGGGACTCTCGAGAAATTTAGGGTCAAGACGGAGAAGAAACTACTTGTCCACTGAACAACTCAATGGTCATAAAATTGGCTGAAACATTCAACATTTTTTTTATTTCATGATTATTCGGGACACTTCTCCTGAAAAACTTTTGTGATGTTCTTTTGCCAATCTCCCTCTTATCATGTTGGTAATTACCAATTTTTGCATGACCATCTTGCCGACCAACTTTGAGACAGGCACGGGTGGTTGTAGGTGTCTCAAAAAATCTGTCTGGGAGTGTAGGTCAGTGGATCAGGAAGGCTGAACATGCAATATTGCTTTCTCAACTGAAAACCTTTACGTGTGTGGATGGTTGGGGATTTTTTTTTTAGTGTTTCTCCAACACTTAAGATATTATTTCAATTAAGAACCACCTTGCTTGCATCAACTCAAATTTTCAGTTACCTGCAAATTGAGAAATATCGCAGCCAAATTTTCCGGACTTAAAATCCCTCCAGACTGCATTGGCAAGTAGAACTCCCGAAAAGAGAGACCAAAAGATACAATTTTGAATGCCCATACATTTTGAAATTCCTGATTAGTTCATATTTTTGTCATTTATTATGTTAGGGTGATCTTGACATGGGAAAATACCGCGTATCTGAAGATTTCAGGTACACTTTATGGACTGACAATTATTATTAAAATTGCGTGATTTTCCACAAACTATATATCAAATTGTTCTATACGCTCGAGACCTTCTACCTGTTAAGTTGATTTTGAAATATTTCTTTAAAAACCTTTGGTTTCAACTACCGCAAAATGTACCGTGAACCGATGAAATGACGCGCGTGATTAGTGTCAGTACAGGCATAAATTTGGCCCACCATATCTCTAAAGCAAACACGGTTACTTTTTTTTTGGTATGTTTCGAGACAGATATTGGTGGGGAACATGTAAGGAACGTTTTAAAAAAATTGTTCAGTAACATTTTTTTTCTGAGGAATCACCTTCAAATGCCTATGACACGGAATTTTTGAAATTACGACCGATAGTGTTGTGTACTTACCTTCAGCAAGCTCTACAGAGAGTTGCGATACATCCTACTAGAGAAGCAAAGAAAAAATGGAAGTTGCGAGCACGGTTCAGCCCTACAAAGGAAAACCGCCTGCATCAAACGAAGATTTCGACGAAGACTGACTAAGATGCTTTCTCGCCTGCGGTTTTCATGTCTAGACTAGAACAAAAAACTCCCGTTACTGAATAGTTAGTTTGTTGCGTTTGTGTTTTGTTTTCTATAGCGAAATCTATGTTAAGAATGGGTAGTATGTTCGTTTCTGTTGCCATAACATTTCATTCCTTCGCACTAAGTGTGGCGAAGGTTCCCCTCGCTCAGTGCTCTAGAGTTTCGTTGCTGTAGAGTAATTCTCTTAGCAAACCAAAAGCGAACTTTTGACGAAAGAATCAGCTGTATCACGAGGCACGATGATTTTTCGCCGAGAAGTCATAGGGCAGTTTCACTGCAAGTTGCTCCTTTCCTCAGAGAGTGCAAAGGCAGAGGCTATCGTCGTCGAGCTGGTCAAACGGAAAACGAGTGAGTTTATAGTAATCTGATTCAAGTTAATCTCAAAGAGTGATTTTAATAGAGAAAAACTTCTTCAGTTTAAGTGCAGCATTGCCATATGACCCATTTCGCCCAATGGGTAAATGAATATTTCGTATGCATCGACTTTCACACAGCACTTGGATTCGCTACCATCCAATTCAATAAAACTTGTTTTTCTTTATTTATCTTGTTGTAGTGCTGTTATCACAATGACATTGCCACTGTTGCTACTTTTAGTTTCATAAGAGCAGGGAGAAATGATATCATTTTCAGCGTTTGTCTGCCTTTTAAAAGACTGTCAAACGACTAACATTCTCATAAAACACAAAGCTTATCTGCGAATAAAGTGCACTAGCTCATAAATCGCTTTCAACGAAAGCTTTAGTTTGTTACTCTAAGATCATAATTTTTTTTATTATTTACCATCCAACAGTTTGGTAACGAGTTATAGGCATTTATTGTTCAGTTTATACTGTATTGACGCTGAAAAACCCATTCAGGGAGCTTCAATAAAGATCTGCTTCTATATCTATCTGTATCTAGTTCAAACAGCTTAGATCGTTTCAGAAAACAATATTGGATTTTAACCGTCGCCACGACCAGCCAATGAATTTGAACAAATATTTAAAACTTTCGGGCGAAATAAAGCTATGCTAGTATTAAGAACAATTGTGATATATCAATTGCACGTTCTGCAATCATTTGCCTATCAATGTCGCTGCTGTTGACACTAGTGCACTTTGCAGAATCAGGTCATGAATATGCAGATGGAAATGTTTTCCGAGTCACGTCCACTCAAACTGAACCTATGATTCAATTTCTTTTTTGTGAGAATACAAAACGAAGGAAAAAAACTAATTCTTTTTCCATTTAAAATGCAGGTGTTTCACTTGAGCGGTATGCGCTTACCAGCTAAATTCCTAATCGAAAAACTCCACCGGAAGAACCAGAAAGTTGATTTTCATTTGGATGGCGCACAAAACTGGGGAGCATTCAAACACGACCTCAAAGACATCAACTGTGACAGCTACAACGGAGGGAGTCACAAGTGGTTCCTTGGTCCCAAAGAGACGGGTATCTTGTACATGAAGAGAGAAAGTGTGCCCAATTTCTGGCCCAAAGATATTGGGTACAATGGCGGGATGCAGCCTCCGCCTACCTTCCCGGGTGACCCACTGCCAGATGATGCGTCCGGGTTTGAGATGGTTGGCCAACGGAACGATACCAACCTTATTGGGCTGCTGTATACCGTCGATCTGATGGATTTGATAGGCTTCGACAAAATCGAGAAGAGAGTCAAGTCATTGACTGAGCGACTAAGGGGCGGCTTGGACGAGGTTACGCGCGAACTCCACAATGTCTTCCTGGTCCTGACCATCAAATTTCGAGACGATGTCGGAACCGGAGGAGCACGCAGGCAAGGAAAGAGTCAAGAAGTAGAGCCAGAATTGAACGAAGTGTTGTACGACGCGTTGTATGAACATCACCACATCGGGGTGTCGACAAAGAAAGGAAATCAAATGAGATTCTCCCCGCATATCTACAACATGGAGAAGCACATCTACCGGGCAGTTGAAGCCGTTAGATATGAGCTGAAAAAAATCCGACCGAGGTAAATCTTAGTTTTAAAATACTTCAACAGCTACTTTGACGTTTTTTACCCTTGCTTTCAAGAAGAGATGACCCAATTTACGAACTAAAGCTAGTGATAAAAGAAAATTTATTTTTTCAATCGGACCTGACGTGTTAGTGAAAGTAAGCGCACACGAATTCAGAATTCGTTTTTGCAGTTACCAGTTGTGAACTGAACATCGCTTCCACATGAATAATTTTGTTAAATTAAGATTTGACTTGTACTTCTAAAACTATTTCTCAATAAACTCAGTAGCAATGCCTTGTGTAAAATAATTTGGATCAACATATTTCCTAGCGAGGGGAGTCTTAATAGATGTTCAAAAATGGGATTGAGTAGAGAAACAACAGCTCAAGAAATATCGCTTCTCCTGTCGGTGAGTCAAAAACAAAGCTAAATGACTTGAACCCTGCGTGTGCGCATGAAAATAAGCTCGCAAAATTTTTCTCGGCATATGTGTGAGCTGAATAGGTCATAAACTGGTTGTTTCGCAGTTTCAAAGGTACTGTGGAAGACGCACAAGCAGCGTCGACATAATTTTCTGAAGTCAGTTCTAGGGTAGCGCTTTAGATAGGGAGGATCTCAATCTTCGTTTGGTAATGGAAAACAGCATGCAACCAGATCAGTGCGATCAGGTGGAAAATGCCATTCCGTTCGTTATGGTCGAATGGAACGTGCTCACATAAATTTTTTCTTATAAATTCTTACCTTTTTTTAAACAAAGAATCCTGTCTAAACTGAGGTACCTTTCATGGAAAGATGAAGATTAATATGAAGATTCAGCTAAGTTTTTAAACAAAGATTCGCGAAATTCATATTCTAAGTGCTTGAATACATATGAACAATACTCATCTCTAAAGAAAAAGAAAAAAACAGGAACAGAAAACAAAGAAACTTTGGATCCATTTCCGACCCAGTCTACTGATTCGGCCGCTAAAGCTACAAACACCCATGATCGACCAAGCTGACATATACACTCTTCTCGATGAACACATCGGTGGGGCTATCGCAATCTCTTTGCGGTGGTCAATTTACATTGCCAACAATGACAGCTTGGAACTTAGAGGAGAAACGCCTTTTAATTCATTTTCCTTCAACACATTCGTCCGAATAAAAACTATTTTCCTTCTAATTCGGACAGAAAACTAGATAACACAGAGACAATAAAAGAACTACAGTAAATACAATTTGGGTAGCTTGTTTCAGGTTGAGCAAGTACCTACGGAAAAGTTTATTCCAAAAACCTATCAAATTCATAGATCACAAAAATAAGAGATCAATTCTATAATTTTAGATCTAATTACTTGAAATAAATTCTAAACTCCAGCGATTTTGGCAACATCAAGTCTCTCTTAAACCTGTTCTTTAACATACATGTCCTTGGCTGAATCGGATTTCCAACGGCCATGGAGTTTCAACGGTCGCTCTCTTGATAGATTTTTCCTCAATTTAGTTTCAATGGATGCGGTACCCCCAGACCTAAAGCAATGCGAAGCGTAAAGACGTTGATCATATCCCAGCTCATTCGAGCACCTCTTCAACATGTCCCATGAAGGACGTGTAAGAAACTTTTTATCACGTAAACTGCGGTGTTAGCGGTGTCATACAAGGATTTCCGACCCTGAGAAAAGCCATAACAACACACATGAAAAAATGTCCTTTTTTTTTACGTGTGTTGATATTGCCAATCAGCTGCTGACACGTCACTCGCCTTTGGCACTACTCGTTCAGGTTGATGAATGAACGGCAAAGCCTTCACGATTCTCAATACAAGTTTTATGTTGGAGCTTCCTCGAATTATGGCGGCTAAAACGCCAAAAAATCCGTATCGCTGATAGACAGTGTGGTTCAAACTTTCCTAGAAGGGGAAGGAAACCAATATACTAAAAGAAAAACCGAAAGTTATATATTCAGTGGCTTTGGTGTTAGCATCTCTCTCGGCTGAGAATGAAAATCGACAACTGGAAGATTTGCCACCAGCCGATTTTGGCGGTTCACCTGAAAGACTTCTTCTGTCGGTAAGGAAAAAGTCAATAATTGAGAATTCTGTAAGTTAAAAATTACTACCATTGTTGTTTTCGTAATCATGATTCAACGCGTTTTTCCATCTTAGGAGTTTGCGCCAACGCACTCTACGATTGTTATTCAGGGTTGCCGATTCATTTATTTTCATTCATCAGTAAAGTCGGCTATTCTTCTCAGTAAAGGGCAATTGTGTTTATATGATAAACAAAATAATACGTGGTTGCTTGTAGATATGGAGTTCTCTTCTCGTGTTCAACTCGACGAAAAATTCCATATCTACGTGCGCCCATGTATTATTCTGTATACGTTACCCAACACATGCTTTCTGTTAGATTTCAAAACCAAATTTTCCTAAAAAAAAGTTCGGAAGACATGGACATGTTGATGTTAGCATAAACTAAATATCTTAGCAATAAACGATAGGGACACGTAAAATTTCTAGACTTATAAATAAATACAAATTGACCTCCTCTGTATATTAGTGAGTCAAGCTGACTCTAATCTAACATCACCATATAGCGTAACTATTCCATTGGCTAAAAACAAGTGACTGAATCCTTACCTCTGCCATGGCAACAAGTGTCATCACCCCTAAAATAGAAGTATTCCCTAATCATCGTAGAATAAAATACCCGAAAATACTTCGTTGCCTTTAATAAGCACTCCACAAGCGTAACTACCAGCATCGGAGTAAATAATTTTGCTATGAGAAAAATTGGTTCGAAAATTTCTTTAATGTCGAGAGTAGTGATATTTTCCCACCAAAATTTGACCTCTGCAAGGCAAGAAATGGCCCATTTCAAATTTCGTGTCCCAATTGGGAGAAGCGGCTATGGATGTCAGACAGCGTCTAGTTATGATAGGGGCCAGTCTGCCCACAATAGGACTCATAGTCATAACTGATCATGAACCGAGGACAGAAGATAAAAAATTAAACGTGCAGAAACGAAAAGTTTGGATTGGATATAGTCTATAATTGAACATGCCATGCAACTCTGCTTTGTTTAAGTAACACCAGGCTAGTCAAGTTTTTTGAACAGGGTTCGAATACTCTTTGATTCATTAATGAAAGAACCAGAAGGGCATAAATCACCTTTCATAAGATTAGAAGCGGGATCTAAATATACTTCACAATGAAAACATCAGGACCCCCAATACTTGACCAGCGGCCTTAAAATTTTGGTAAAATATACTGAACAGTAGATAATCCAAACAGAAGAACATTAAACATGACGAAACGTTCTCTACCATCAGGGAAAATCCACGATAAACTTGTCTATGATGAGGACAAATGTCTAAATGATGATAACGACTTTTAAAATCGAGGTTAAAAGCTAAAGGTCCCATAGAAAAATACTCCAATGCTCTCTTATGAGCCGCGTATTTGAAATTAAATTTGTAGAGATCTTGATTGATCGCCTAAGGATGAGCCTTTTTTCCTTGCCGCAAGGTTGAATACATACCGACAAAGGATTAATATTGTGTAATTGTTAGGAATTGACTTCTAAAAATTTTATCATCTTCAGGATGAGTTCAATGATAGCTTCTATAACAAAATCACAGTTATCTAAACAAGAACGATTGTTCTTGCTCCAATATCTAGGTGGCGTAGTCAACAAGGGGATCTCACAACCATCGCGAATGTCAGACAGAATAAATTCAGAGGCTCCCAGGAGCTCCCATAGAGAATTATGGGATTTGAGGCGACCATGAACGGAATGAGAGTCAGAGGTTGAACAGGCTGCTTCCCCCTTACTGAAATAGTAACATTGTACCTCAGTTAATTGATTTTCATCAGAAGACTCGTCTTCGTCGCCATCATTTCCCATTAATTCCAGCTGTGCTGGATTTTACAGACTGGCTATCGATAAAAGCTTCTCAGTAGAAAGCTGAACTGGGCTGTTTGAAGGTGCTCGTACATTGTGAGCTCCAGAGTCCCCCATGGGCACAGGTGAACTACGAGTCGGACGGATGAGGTGTTCGATAGCCTTGTGCAAACAGATACCGAACAAAATTTGCGTTCAGCAATTTAGCAAAAACAATAAAATTTATTCTAACCGTAGGTGCTATCTTAAACCTGAAACCTAGGGTGAACAGTCTTTGTATACGACCTCCTTAAATACTTGGTCAGATAACGAACAATAGCCCATAATTAAAAGATGTAAGAAATTCCTGTCAAGATATGCAAAGCGGAAAAATGCACATGCAAAACTGTGCCCTCTATAAGAAAGGAAATTTGTTTTCATCCTCCCTCACACACTCTTCCGAATGAAAAATATTTTCTTCCTAATTCGTAAAGAATACAAGATAACACAGAGAAAATAAAAGAAGTACAGTAAATAAAATTTGGTTAGCTTGTTTCAAGTTGAACAAGCTCTGGAAATAACAAAGAAAGGGCTAACAATCGCATTACCTCAAAAAAGCTGCCGGTCATCACTGCTAGCATTAGTAGAAGCAGAAGTAGAAGTAGCATCAAACCAGGCGGCTTTGGCTTTCTGCGGGTTTTATCCAGCGCTTTCTTGATTCTTTTTTCATCTTCCGAGTTGTCGGCGAGATTATCTTGCTCATATTCTTGGACAACAAGTCATCCAGCATCACTTTTGTCGGCTAATTTGATCAATTTATGTCGTTTGCAAACGGATCAAACTCAAAGAATTTTCAGAAGATTTTTGAGCCAGAGCATGCTCTCCTCTTTTCGGAAAATCGAGCGCGAAGGAATTATGATCTTCCATCTCCGCATTAAAGAGAAATTGCATTTCGTTTCCTTCGAATTTTAGCTTTTTCGCTTCTACTTCACGCCTAAGCCTCTTGGCTTCACGGTGTCGGGACTGTTTTCTTGGGAAGGGATACTGCTTTTAAAAGCACCAAGTTTGGTATCAATATAGCTTTTGAACCTGTCAAAAATTCGATCTACAGACCCGGTGATAGGTTATGAAAGAGTACGAGCTTCTTCGCCGGGTTGTTCAGATATCTGCTCGCCTTCAGATGTATCACCAGTAGCTGAGTTCATATTATAAGGGTACAATTTATCGAAACCGTCGGCGCTATCTTAAACCTGGAGCCTGGAATGAACAGTATTTGCATATGACCTCCTCGTATACTCGGTCAAATAACGAACAATAGTTCGTAATTAGAAGGTATAAGAATTCCATTTTAAGATATGCAAAGAAAAATGCTCACGCATAACTGTACTCTCCAAAGAAAGGAAATTTATGTGCAAGGATTGCAACAAACGCTTTACCCTAGCAGAAAACTTCGAAAACATACAGGAGAAAAGCCTCTTAAGTGCAAGGTTTGCGGCAAGTGTTTTAGTCGAGCGGATTGGCCTTCATAGCAGAGTTCCTACCTAAAATAAGCCTTTAAAGTGCAAGGTTTGCGACACGTGCTTTAGCCAAGAAGAAAACCGTGAAAAGTATCCAGAGAGAATCAAATTGTGAGAGTCGAAGAAATTAACCAGAGTTCCACAGAGTGGGATAAAATTGGATGTAAGTAGAATTGATTGTGTATTAAATTATATGATAAGTATAGTACGACAATAGTACGTATGCAGTCTTAAACTCTCATCTCGCAGTAAAATTCAAAGAAAGTTAAACAGATGTTGCTTGATTTGAAAAAAGCTTGAAAGGTTAGTGACTATACCCACAAAATGTTATGCAGTAGTGATAGCTCAAGTTCACGTTTTTACGGCTTACCTAAAATTCATAAGCCGGGAATTCCATTGAGACCTATCGTCTCTTTTGTTGATTCTCGGACTTATGCAATTTCTAGTTATCTTGCGAGAATTTTGTCGCCTGCTGTCGGGAATACTGATTTTATTGTAAAAAGTTCTTACGAATATGCGGATTTCATAAGAGATAAAACTCCTAACGCTGGTGAAGAATTGGTATCTTTTCAAAATCTCAGTTGATCTTGCCGTTAAAGTTACGTAGGAGAGACTCAGAGGAGACGCCCTCCTAGAACAAAGAACTTCTTTGCCTGTGGAGGATAAAATTCATCTGCTGCCATTTTGCCTTAAACCACACAATTTGCATACAACAACACCTACTATCGACAGGTTCTTGGTAAAGCGGTCTTCATTTGCAAAAAAGAAAATTCAGCATTGACGGAACACACATGCCTCACTAACCATACAATCGGGTGGGATAAGTCTAAAATAATCACCACTCATCGACGTTACCACCAGCACCTTTGTTTGGAAGCCTAGCATATCGACTCCGCCCCCGCTCCTTTAAATCGTGGTGATGACGGCTTATTACCTGACGCCTATTTACAACTCGTCAGAAAAAAGGGCAGCTAATTAGTAGGCTTGGAAAGGGACCTCTTATTGCAGCCATAAGATCACCCCTGATGACACGCACTAGACACGAGTGTCAAAACGTTGGGTCTACGAATTGCAACTTCTCGGTTGCATTCATTAAATCTTTAAACCAGAGTAACATCAAACCATGTCCAAGAATAAATTGGTTGAATGAAAAGCGCCCGTGGATACTGTGGGAATTAAGAGTGCTGATTTGAGAGATAAATTTTTGTTCTGCAGTTTTGCGGGTTTCCAAACTGCCTAGATGTAGGGAAAGCTGCTTAGAATGATTAGGGAGATTAAAGTGTCAGGCGACTGGTTTGGATGCTCTTGACATTTCTTTTTAGGTCGCGAAGGTGTTCTCGGAATCGGTCACCTAGTCGTCTTCCTGTTTCCCCAATGTATAACTTTGGTAATAAGTGCAAGTTATGCAATAAATGACATTGGCGAAGGTACACGAAAAGTGATCAGTGATCTTAATTGATCTCTTGGGTTCCGACATTTTCTCTACGTTACGAATGAAAGGACAAGTTTTGCATCGTGAGCGAGCACATTTGAAAGTTCCAGTTTGGTCATTGGTTTGAAATGAACTTCTAACCAAAAAGTTGTCTGTGTTTGTCGCGTTTGAATGAAATTAGTGAAGGTTGCGAAAAGATAGTACCAGTCTCTGCATCGTTTTGAAGCAATTGAAAGTTTTCAAGAATAATAGATTTAACTGCGTGGTTGTGAGAGAAACAGGATAGTCATGTTTATCGAAAAAATAGCACATTGCCCCTGATTTTTCGGAAAAGTCAGAGTCGTCACTACATAAACGACAAAGGCTGAGAAACTGTAAAAAAGGTATGGATGCGAGGATGGATGCGAAGATGAATAAAACAAGTAACTGTGTGAGTCTGTAGGCTTGCACTAAAACACTGGTGTATAGACCGTTGCCTTCAAATGCCGGAAATTTCCCAGGTATATTGCAGAGCAGTGTGAAAGGAATCGAAGGCGGTTATAAATTGAGTGAGCTCCTCTCTGGTAGAGGAGGAAGCGCAGATGCAGTCGTCAATGTAGCGACAATGGAGTTCAGATTTGGGGCCGTGGTATTAACTAAAAAACCTATGAAGAATTGTCTTCGGCTGATAACCTGCACCTCGACTTTGAATATTCTGAATACCACAAAAGTAATTGCTTATCAAGCTAATGATTGGACAAAAGTCTATTTCTTTTTTTATTTAGATAATTATTTTACGCTCAAACCAATACTTTGCTCCATAGGCCTTTACGGACATGAAAATTCAGTAAACGACCTTGCACTGAGAATGGTAAATGCCTTGCCAATCAATCATCGACCTTACAAAATAGTGATGCCAAAGGAGAGTGACTTGTCAGCAGCTGATTGGCGATAACAAGCACATGTAAAAAAAATTACCGTAATTTTACACGTTTGCTGTTAAGGCTTTTCTCAAGGCTGAAAATCATTGCAAAGCACCGCACTTCATATAATAGAAGCTTTCATCAGACAAGTGTTATGACATTTTGCATTTTGTTCCTCTATATAGAATGGATGAGAAGCAGTTGAAAGCAAGCTTAATGAAGTATTTTGGAGAAATAACAGCAAAAGTAACCAAAGAAACAACCGAAGATGAAATCAAACGTATATATGCTGCACGGTCAGCAACATATGACGAGGTACTCTAAAATAGTAAAGCAATAAAAATACGGGTCTGGGGGACGATGTGGCACATTGCCGTTTGACCCACCGGACACCTGATCCATTATCCACGGCTGCGTTTCGTGAATGTTCCGGTACTACCGGAGGGAATGATTGTGCAGTCTTAGTTAAAAACTAATTTAGTTTACTTTGTTCCCCAATACTTTCATTGTTTAAGTTCAAACTTTTTCAAGAAAAATCTCGATTTTGATTGAAAACAGAGCAGCTTTTCGGGTTCGTAAAGTTACAGGAGCTCTCGAGGAAAAGGGGCTCAAGGCGACACCATTTATTTATCGGACATCTAATCTTAATAACTGGCTTGGATTTTCTCATCATATAGGAACATTCAGCGGCGCGCACTTCATATTTCAAGCCACTGGCCGAATCTTTGCATAATGCCCTTAAAGAAGTTTACCAGGACAAACCAATGGATCAGATCAAAATCATTGACGCTGGAGCTGGGACAGGTCTGATTGGAGTTGAGCTCAAGAAACTCGGATACACCAATCTATGTGCTCTGGACATCTCAGCTGAGATGTTAAGGGAAGCAAAGAAGAAAGAGGTCTATACTGAATTCATCTGCACGTCTTTGAACGGACAGTCGATACCTCAGATTAAATCAGGGCAATTTAATGCTTTGATTTGTGGTGGGGCGCTCATTACAGGGCGTATCGGCTCATCTGCTTTCGTGGAGATGATAAGAATGGTTCAAAATGGTAGGTCTTTCTTAGGAGTTTACCGCGGCACAGATGTATTTGACCTTCCCATGTCCGCGGGTAGTCTGTTCTGTGCCTAATTGTTGGACTTAACACTAAAGAATCGTTTGGTCGCGGTTCCAAATCATCTGTGGTTGAAGAAATTTGCTCACAATGTTTTGAATATTTTATGCGCCATATTTAAAAAAAAAACAAACAACTACAACAAAAACGGACACTAGCCTTTAAACATCATACTTTGATAAAGCTTTAAGGAAATAATTTATTTTTTAACAAAAATGGAAAAAAGCATGATTTTAGATTAAGGACCTAACAGGATTGTAAAAATGGAAATACATGCACAATCTTCTCGCTAGTTTTTTGCTTGCTTGTTTTTGTTTTTTGAAAACTCGAACCGTGAGATAGATCAGGCGATGAAGTAACACCCTTCTTGATAAATTCCCTTAAAATCTGGCATCTGACCCGTAAATCTTCTTCTGGGGTCAAATCTTCTCTCTGCAAATTCGCTTAAAGATATTTTTCACTGGTCTCTTCAACTTCTCTCTGATGTTACAGGTTATAGGTTAACCAACTCTTTGAGTTAAATCTAATAAATACATGGACAAATAGGAAAAAATAATGGAAATTTCCTATGATAAAACCTTACAAGATGCGCACTAAATTCCGATGTGAACTTCTTTGCAGATGGCGTCCTCTGTTTCAACATTATGAAAGAAGAATTAGAACACTATCAAGAAATGATGACAGAGCTGGAAAAAGCTGGGAAATGGATATGCATGTCCAAAGAGTCTTCACCTTTCTATGCAGCCGAGGACATGCCAAGTGAATGCTGGGGGTTCGTTTACAAAGTTTTGAAGAACTGAGCAAGAAACACGTACCATGCCAGTTAAACTCATCTAAGCCATACTGGATAGCACTCTTCTGACTGACTTAAACATCAGTTATAATGCTGTTATGGAATTTTAATGTTAAAAAAGCAAGTATATGAAATAAATCAAATTGCTTTAACGACATTGTCCTGACGTTGTACTTAAGTTTTTGCACGTGCTGGTGGGCGGCGAGCCCGTGGCCATTTCAAATATTCTTTTAAGGTTTGCCTTTCGTTTCCTGATTTGTTTAATTATATTTTAATACTCGTGCGTTTTTCGGCATCGAAGAGTTCTCTATTTTGAAAACAGAGCCATTTCTAATTTCGGTTTTTCTTCACTCGACACCGGAAAGCTGTAAAATATGAGCTATCGCGTGAAATTTTATTCCCTGAGCAGAAGAAAAAATGTGTTTAGATAAATGTTAGCGATTTAAAAATCCGTAACTAGTCACTTTAGAAACTAAACAAGACGGCAACTGTTTGCATTACTTTACATGATAGCCGCCATGTTGTTGCCTCTTGCATGGACGTCAACTTGGCGCTCCCATGATGCTGAGCGCTATAAATTACGTCAGACATTTTGGCTAATAACTCATCAGCGGAAATCCGTACAGAACTGAAACATGGGAAATATTCTATAAGAGCTCACTCTCTATAGCAATCGAATTATGAAGACAACGATGGAGAACATAATGACCAGCTCACAGTTGGCTTGTTAGCTCAGTTGGTATAGCAGGTTTTGTTTACTAAGGCTTATTATTTTTAGCAGGTACTAAATTTAGCTTTTCAACGAGTATCAGCCAAAGGCCCGATCTCCGTGACTTACATGTAAGAGATTTCGATGTTCACAACAACAAAAAAGCTCAGCAGCAGAGTGACGTCTTTTTTACTTTCCCCTTCCCCTACCCCCTAAAAAATAACTTTCCATTGTATGATTTGCATTGCGTGACGACTCTCCGTGTACAAAACTGCGTTGACTGCAACATATGTGTAGTGCCGCTTTTAAAAGCATCGATCAGATCTACTGCACCACAAACCGAACAACACTCAGTCAACTGAACCGCTGGATAAGATGCCACAGTACAGAAAGATGTCAAACGTTTTACAACGAAGGTTGGTGACAGTTCGTAGATTGACAGGCAGTTTCATCGGACGTTATAGATACGATGGTCTTTATAGATAAAATGGTCTTTAGATCTTTCTTCTACGGCAAATGAGGTTAGAGCATTTGGAAATGTGTACCCATTGTGTTTACAAAAATCGTTTTGTGAGGTCTTATGAGGTTGAAAAAGAAGATTTACGTGTTAAAAAGATGAGATTGTGATTCGTTTTTGAATGCGAAGCCCTCAAACTTGTGCAATAATTTGCAGCTAAAAATGACGATTTTGGTTATAGTCTTTGGTTTTTGACGGTGATTTTGGTTATAGTCTAGCCTATCTAATATTAAAATAAGAAAGAAATCGAATTTTTCACCCTTGCCGCGAAATTTTACAGACAAGTGCTCTTAAAAGCTTAAGCTCACTACCATAGTTTAAAATTGATGGGAGGTAAGCGAACAGTTGAGGGTATGGAATGCACCAATAACATTTGAGGAATATGTGATGGTTCCTACAACCTAAAATAAGATAAAGTAGTCCTGTTGGCTTGGAGGCTTATCAGGAGGTTAAATTCTTACCTGCCGCTGTAAAGTTAAATGGATATTCCATTCTGAAACCAAAGAACAGAATGATATATAAACTGGAATTTTGGAATGTAGAATAAAGTATAAATTGATTAGGTCGTCAATCAGTAATCAGTTGACAGAGGCGAACACGATTTTCTGCAAAGGAGGAGAGCAAAGGATGATGGGAGGTGAAGCTTTACAGACCTAGTATTTTTCCCTTGAAGCCTCTTTTAAAAGGGTCAATGAGTCTCTCCGAAAATTTTTTTCCACCTCGCCTCACATTGAATGGCATCCAGCATATTGCAATAGCTGACGCGACAGCAGAGTAGCTTAAGCGATTTTTTTTCTCCTTTTGGCGCGTTGTTCAATTCTTTTGTTAGCAGATGGCTCTCAAGGAATCTTGTGGGACAGACGACCGCGAAGTGGGAGTCCGGTTTGCTTATCACGAGTATGATTGCAGACAGAGTTGGACGATAAGAATTCCTCTTGCCAATTAATTAAGACAAAGATAAAATTTGAGAGAGAAACTAGACATCGGTTATACATCATCATGAAAAAAAAACCGTTAACTCGGCGAAATGTGAGACAACAGCGCGCACACATGACGCGTTCTTGCGAACTATTAAAGAATAGAGCTCCTTGCCTAGCAATATTATAGACATAGTCAAAACTCCACCATTTAAACAAGCACTTACATGTACTTTACAATGATCTAATTTTAATTAGCATTTTAATAATCATTTTAATAATTAATTATGTATATTTTTATATTTTTTATGTTTTTACTATTATTTATTTATTTATCTCTCCCATCCCCGTTTTTATTTTTTGTTAAAGTCTTCCTGTGATGGGTATCCCCCTTTACAGTACTCCCCACTTGTAGATGTAGATGTAGATAACAACTGGATACCTCACCTCGCTATTTTCCAGGACTGAACTTCAGGGTTCGAATAGTTCATCATCGCACGAGTCGATGGTGAGTAAACAGAAGTCAGTCTCAATTATTTAAGCTTGAGTAACTCTCGCGTAACTGATTTGAGTGTATAACTGTAACTTACCTCAGAGATGTACAAAAATGCTAGGCCAGGCATCGGGGCGTTCTCTTCAATATTCTGGTTCAAGGTGGTTAGAATCCAGTTTCCTCACGGTAAGCTTCAGGAAAGATTTCACGTTTGACTGGGCTCGATAATTAGCGTAAACAAAACATAAAAGCACCAGTCACGTGTCTGTCAGGCAGGATGGCTGGTTCATTCCAAGCTCCGCTATTTCTCTTAATTTTGGCTCTTTACATTAACAGTGAATTGGTTTATTTAACTGGCACATTTATCTACGACGATGAACTCCTGGAAAAGTCAGCTCTTGGCTTTAGGGTTTAATAGAACATTTTGCAGGCTAAGTAGAATTAGTAGAGAGGCCATCTTAAATTCTCCCAACTCAAAATATGGGTACCTATGTAACCTTCTTTGTTACTTTGTGGTGACGTTAGCACTAACCCAGGACTCAATCGGAAATAACCATGTGGCTTGTGTTTTAAACGCGGAGTGCATTGCATTGTTGGATACACCTATTACTTCATTAGAGGCATCAAATTCCTTTGGAATGCTATCGAACCTGACTTCACCGATAAAGCAATCTACGCCCATGAATAGGCTTGCAACCACTTCTCATACTGTCAAGAGACCTCAACATCACCAGAATTTGCGTATTTATAACATCAATTTTCAGAGCATTAGGAACAAACTCAGTAAAACTTCAGGCTTTTTTGGAAAATGAAAACCCAGATGTTATTATGGGAACAGAGACCTGGCTTAATTCTCACATTCCAACAACTACAAAAGGATAGACCAGATGGGTATGGAGGGGTTTTAGTTGCAGTCAAAGATCTGACATGTCAAGAACTTGGCGACCTTTCCTCTTATAGTGAGCTAATCTGGGCTAAGATATCACTCGCGAATAAGAAACATGTATACGTTGGTGCCTTTTGTAATCCTAATAGCTCACTTGAGGCATTAAATGGACTTGACTCCTCCTTCTCCAAATTACAGAAGAAGTCAGGGAACTCTTTAATGCTTCTTGGTGGTGATTTTAACCTTGGAGGAGACATGTGCTGGGGAAGCAATACTATTGCAATAGACAATCAATACTCTACTGCCTGTGAGAAATTGAAAGCACCTGGAAGATCTTGATGTGCTTAGTAATTTTCAACATGGTTTCCACAAGCAGAGGAATTGTGAAACCCAACTTATAAAGGCAATACATGACCTAGTTAGTGCAAGGAACTCCGAGGAACAGGTTGATACCTTTATATTTGATTTCTCTAAAGCTTTTGATAGAGTACCTCATCAGAGGCTGCTCTATAAGCTAAGTCATCATGAAATTCAGGGCAGCTTATTGTCCTGGATCCAAATGTTTCTTACTAAGAGAACACAGAGGATAACCTTGGAGGGCGTTTTATCAAATCAGTGTTTTGTGACATCAGGAGTCTCTCAAGGCACGGTTTAGGGCCATTACTGTTTCTGATTTACACCAATGACTTGCCCTTACGTATTTCATCAACAATGAGATTGTTTGCAGATGACTTTTCCCTATATCATAGTATAAATAGTCCAGTTGACTGCCAAAACAGACAGAAAGATTTAGATGCCTCAACTAATTGGGAGAAAGATTGGCAAATGTCATTCAATGTTGATAAATGCCATACCAACTGCTTCTCCTCTAACAAATCTAATTTAGGTACAACACATGTTCTTGATAATCATATTCTAACTAAAGTCCACCACCATTCCTACTTAAGTGTGATACTTTCTGAAGACTTTAAATGGTCTGAGCATATTGCACATATGACATCAAGTGCCAAACAAACTCTTGGTATCATTAGGAGGAACTTTAGAAATGTCTCTGTAGACTGCAAATCCAAGTTTTGTAATAGTTTAGTTAGGCCTAAGATTAAATATGCAAATTGTGCCTGGCATCCATATTCACAAGAAGACATACATCGTCTTGATATGATCCAACGTTCAGCTACTAGGCTTTGGTTCAGTAATTATTCCTAGGAACCAGGAGTAGAAACAGATATGCTAAATAAATTGGAGTGACCATCTCTTGAAAGAAGACGAATTCTCTCTCGATTATTGATGTTTCATCGGATTGTTTATTGCACTGTTGATATCGAAAGAGATTCGTTTCTTACTCCTTTACCTCGCACTTCAAGGAGTGGTAACTCCAAAACCTTCATAAGATCACATTCAAATTGCAATCAATATGCATACAGCTTTTTTCCGTAGTCAGTCAACCGATGGAAAAGACTTCCAGTCGACATTGTAAATATAGATGATAATTTAAAATTTAAGGCCGCACTGCGCGATCATCTTATCGAAACTGGGAACATGCATCGTTATCTAAAAAACCAATACCGTTGCTTGAAAGAGTTAGCCTCATTTTTTTTACTAAACGAGTATCATTAAGTACTATTACTTTTCATTTGGAGCTCCAAAAGTTCCATCTCAATTGCGATGGAATGGGAAATATAAAAGCTTGACAGGTTTGAAACCTGGCGGCTAAAATCCACTAGAATTCGTGGATGAATTTAATATTATCAATTGAGTTGATAACATAAATTGGCCACCGTAAAGAGTTTAAAAGCTGACGTTTTGAGCGTTAGCCCTTTCGTCAGAGCGATTAGAGGAATTGTGGGTTATGTGTTGGTTTATATGCAGAAAATGGAGCCATGCTATCGGTGGGAATATGGCGATGAGAAAACAAGAAAAAATTAGTTGAATGACAAGTGCTCGGTTGATACCATGCGGATTAAGAGTGCCGATATGAAAGATGAATTTTTGATCTAAAGTTTTGCGGCTTTCCGAAATGCCTAGATGTAAGGAAAGGTCGTAAACTGCCATATGCTGCTTAGAATGATTAGGGAGATTAAAGTGTCTAGCAACCGGTTTGGGTGCGTCCTTGTCATTTCTTTCTACGTCGTGAAGGTGTTCTCGGAATCGGTCAACTAATCGTCTTCTTGTTCCGCCAATGTATAACGTTTTGCAATAAGTGCAACTTATGCAGTAGATGACATTGGCAAGGGTGCACGCGAATTGATCGGTGATCTTGATGGATCTTTAAGTTTCCGATATTTTCTGTACGTTATGAATGAAAGGACAAGCTTTGCATCGTGAGCGAGCGCATTTCAAAGTTCTGGGTTAGTCATTAGTTTGAAATGAATCTGTGACCAAAAAGTTGCCTATGTTTTTGTCACGTTTGAGTGAAATTAGAGGAGGTAGCGAAAAGATAGTACCAGTCTCAGAATCGTTTTGAAGTAATTTAAAGTTTTTAAGAACGATAGAGTTAACTGCGTGGTTGTGAGGGTAAAATATGTGAGTGTATGAAATGCGATCAGTATTTTTCTTCTCAGCCGTTTGTATATGAACTCTCATATTCAAAATAAACAATGGACAGAAATTAAAAGATTGCCGCTAACTAAAATTTTCCCTGAAAATGGCCAATATGATAAGTGATCAAAGCGAGTAAGTTTTTAAAGAAGCCGTGGTGCGGCTTCGGTGGGAGAGTTTAGCAGGGTAATTTAGTAGTATCAACTGAGTTGATAACGTAAATTGGCCACCGTAAAGAGTTCAAAACTGACGTTTCGAGCGTTAACCCTTCGTCAGAGCGAATTCAGTTGATAATACTAAATCACCCTGTTAAGGAAACACCTGCTGCTCGTCAGAGACTGTTCCTTCCAGCGCCTCTTAAAAATAAATAAAATAAATCATTTATAAAAATGAAAATTTGTCAATATTATGTTGCCTTGACAATCTATTTTTGTGAGATTTACATTGGTACGTGATATTCGTCAATTATGTATTGCGAAGTTGCAAAGGAAAGTAATTTCAGGACTGTATTGTTTCGCTTTCTGCTGTTAACAAGGACGGTAAGTGTTTTTTTTTTTTTTTTCCACTCTAGTAGCTGTCTGTCTTGCTCACAAGAAGCGTTCCATTATAAGACACCACATGCTAAAGTAACTGACCTAACTATCCGTAACGTGATGGAAAAATATGTCTTCAAAGAATTGTTCAAAATTCTCCTGATCAGATAAGTATCATCTAGGACTAAGAGCAATCTATCAGACTACTAGCTTTATCAAAGTTCGGCCGTAAGCTACGTACCGGAAACTGTTTTCGGAATTGAACAACTTTATTTATAACAGCAAAGATTTCGATGGGTTTATTTCAGTTGCAGCAAATGTAAGGTGAAATGAAAAAAATTCAGGCTGCAGTCATGTTACCCCTTTTATCTGCGCCATTCTCCAGCATTGGATACCATCCACTCAGCTTTGTCTTGAAAAACAATTAACCTTGCTTTAGCCATAACCGTGCAAACCACTTGCGTTGAAGGGTTTTTGGGATGAAGGTTAAATCTAAAGCTTTATTTTGGTGAACCAATAATCGTATCAAAATCAGTTTGGAAAGCTCCTCTTCACATCAACAAATTTTTTAAATCTTCTTCTTCTTCCATGAATCCATTTTAATTAAAATTTCGACACCTACTTTAATTTGATATTGTCGCCCTAAAAAATTACGCAAGCATATAATAGTTAGAGGTTCGAGGTCCGTCAGGCGAGTCAAAATAATTCAGCGAAAAAAAATTGATGTTAAATTCGACGTGGCTAAGCCTTAGGCTATTTTTGAGGAAAACTTCAGCCCTGATACAGCGAATATGGAGGAGGTTTTTAATTTTCGTTGCGGTTACCGGGCTGTCGCGCTCGTGTGGAAATTTCCTCTTTAACACAATATCTCGGTAATTTGTGTGGTAATAAACGTGTGATAACAAATTTATATTGATAATACAATAATTTCCATTTTTTACCGGGTAGTTCTTTCTTTTGACGGCATTAAAGATCCCCATACAGTCAAAAATGAATTCAAAGTTCTGGCTGACAGTTATGTTTCTCACATCCCGGATTGGTATACTTGACGCTATTGGCCAATGTCATTTGGCGGAATACTCCATTGGTGGAATGTTCCTGAGAGGTCACACGATTAAAACATATCGGGTAGGACTCCCTGAGGACTGCTACTTCAAGTGCTTAGAAGAACTCATTTGTCAAAGCTACAACTACGTCCGCGGCCAAAACCTTTGCGAATTGAACAAGCGCACCAAGGAAGCAAGACCTGAAGACTTTGAGCCAGACTGGAAGAGATTTTACGTAGGGCGCGTCACTCATAGAGGTACATTTTGAGATTAAACTTTTTAAATATTCTTTACGAGATCCTCCATTCTACAATGACTGATGCGATTCCATATGCGAGTCTCAGAACGGTGGGCTTTTTTAAATCTTTTTTATTAGTAATAATAATATACAGGGGTGTAGCTGGGTGGGGTGTGGGGAGAGGAAGGGATCTTAAGGTGGGAGGGAAGAAGACTCCTTAAGTAAGTGGACGGAGGAAGGTCCTAAGGTGCCCGTGACTGACCTTTGTGGGATAGTTTGTTGTTTGTTTGCTTGTTTTGACGTTAATCGCAGGCAAATCTCATAATTCAGTTTGAGAAAACGCGCAAATCTCAAGAGTCCAGGTCCTAATGCTAGGTGCCCCATTTATTGGTCCTTCTCGCCTCATGACTACGAGTCAGTGGTATAAGCCACTTAGCATAAGTCATGTGAAAATTAGTAACTGTGTATCCTCCCCTTTAAAAAAACCCAGCGGCGCCCCAGTTATCGTTAGTGATAACGTCAAGGTATTTGTTACTCTCACCTTTGTCGTTATCGTTTCGTATCTTCAGTATTATTTCTGTTTCCCTTATCATTTCAGGCTTTATAAATAAGGAGAGGTTGTCCATTTAGCAAAGAAAATAGATTCAAATTTCAGCATTTCAGTGGCCTGGGTAGTAGGAAAAAGTCAAAGTGGATTTTTTTAACTCTGAATGTGAAATTGATACTCAGGTATCCGGTCACTTCGTTCCATGACCACTTCGTTTCAAACCACTTCGTTCCAAAGAATAGTCACTTCGTTCCAAGTGTAAACTAAGCGTGTAAACTTCTAATCTTACAAAACTAGTAAACGGTATACGCCGTCTGTTGTGACGGCCATTTTGAAACTTGTGAAGTACCTGCCGTGTGCGTGGAATCTGGGACTACCGGAAACAATTATACGTATACACGTTGATCATAGCAACCAGACCAAAGTAAACCTTGATTTCATTATTTCAACATCGCTTTACTTTTTTATCAGACTTGAGTAAAGATGAACCTGCTTGTTATTATTAAGTTAACCTTTCTTTACAGTATTTATTAGTTTTAGACTGACGAATATGCGAAATCATGTTTAGATTGAACATAAACGCGAAAAGATGTGAAACCACGCGTTGATCATAGCAACCAGAATAGAGAACTTTCATCACGACAACATCTCCATGTGATCACAAAGCGCTTCACTATTTTTCCCTTTTATAAGATATGATCCATCTTTCATCATACTTTACTTTCATCATACGTTACTTTCACTGAAGAAGATGCAACGGAACGAAGTGACCAAAGGATGGAACGAAGTGGTTTGGAACGAAGTGGTCTTGGAACGAAGTGGCCGTAATTCGATACTCATAACTGTTCCCTTATTTCATAAGCAGCAACGTTCAGAATACGTGGTTATGATAGTAATCATATTTCGTCTTTTTCTCGACACAGTTCCTCTCGGAACCATTAGAGAGCTTCCAGCAGAATCGTGCTATGAGATCACAGCCAGCGAAGGAAATGAGGTGGTTAAGAGGAAATACTGGATATACTCTGATGGGAATAGTGGGGTCATCGAGGCCTACTGTGAAGGTAAAATTAGTTTAATCCCACTGCCTTCTTGAACATGATTTTTAAATTCATGTAAAAATTTCCAGAAACGTTCTCTTCTACTCAATTGGTAGCAATAAGCTTCCTTTTCAAATTTAGTTATTGCAAGAAAGAATAAAGCAAGAAGTTGAAGATCTGTCACGGGCGAGAGATAACGAAAACGTTGAATCCCTCATGACATTAGAATCCGAAGTTCTTCCTCTTTTACTTTTGCTCTTTAGCAACTTCCTTGCGGAGGACTCATAGGAGGGCGGGTCAGGGAACTGGGTAAGACCCTGGGCCATTCTTTGCGTTCCTATGTGACAAATGGCCCAGCATATCCCGAGGATATGCAATGTCAAAGTCTGAGTCCTCTGTGACAAGTCGAACTCTTGCAATTGTCAATTAGACACTGCAGTGTTCTCAAGAAAAAGGGTAATAATCAAAATACATTTGAAATCCAGTCATAAAAGAAGAGATCACCTGTTTGAGTTGAGGCTGCTTGTAATCGGATTGGTGAAATTGAACAATTATACAAAAATTGATAAAAGTAACAGAGCAGTTACTTCCATATATCCCATTTTAGATGGCTGGCAAAAAATTAATGGCGAAAAGCCTGTCTGCTTTGGAGCCAAAGATAACGACTATGGTGCCTTCAACATAACAAAGAGTGGACGAGTGAAGACAATGAAGCTTATTCACTAGTCAGGGTCGGTGCACTGCAATCCTTCAACTGGCGCATCTTATTGGGGCTGCACAAATTCGTTTCATTATAAAGATAAGTTAATGACAATCGTCACAGATGACAGCAATAACGCCATTCTGCCTCCCGTTGAGGACATCGAAGGATTAAAGCCCGGTAATTCTCACCAATGTGGTATCAAAAAACACTTTTACAGTCTTGATGGCGCCAGCCTTAATTCACCACAGCTCACTTTTCGCAACCTTTCAAATCCATTCTCTGTGTCACGCGGTCAAGAGATGCGGATATGGTATGGACAGGATTGGAAAGACTGCTCGGAAAATGACGGTAACAAGGGCAAAACCTGTGTTGATGTGTACGCATGGTATGTTTAAAAACCAAACTAGACGGTACTCTTGGCTTATCTGACATTCACAAGAATGACTGAGATCAAATCAAACGCTTCTCAAAGGACTTTGATGGCAAATAACAACCTCATCATATGTTCATATCATTCATATAGTAAAACCTCTGTTAAAATGTAAGGACGAATATGTCTGTAAAATTGGATGCCTGAGCCCTCTATTTATCTCTGGATTCGTGCTTAAACGATCACGATCCGCCAGAGATATGATTATCGATCATAGTAAGTCTTAAATAGTTAGAACATCGCTCGATTGTTAAAGGACTTGCGTCAGTTTAGTGTAATAGGATTCTCAACAATTTGTAGTTCAGTAGAGATAGAAATGTTCATTTTAATAAACATACAACTAGTCAAACCAGATAGTTAACTATCAGGAAACTCAGTGTGAATTCTAACGTCTAACACTATCACAACCGTTGAGCGATGGTAACCTTAAAAAAAACCCTGAACCAGAATTAACCAACACACTTCAGAACACTTCATATAATTTTGAATCTTTGATCGGTCACGTGGGAAAATTATTTTGTGCGTATGACATGCGCGCATGATGTGCGAGTATCAGCATATGTTTACAATTATCACAGGATTAAACTTGAGATCAACGTTGCATGTGAAAGCATGAATATAATTATTGGCAGATTGTGAGTATCCTGTGACAAATCATCTGATCACATTACATTCTGTAATTCAGATCGAGAGAACTAGGGATGGTAAAGATATTCAACGACAGCCCAAGTAACTGTTCGTTATAGAAAGTACAACTCTGATCTAAGCTGACTTGTGTATTCCGAAGCAAGTAACATCTTGTTCCAAGGGGCGCCATGGTAAATATCTCTCGAGCTGATATAGTCTTATCTTCTGCAGAGCTCTTCCTTACTATAATAGCTCTTTTGCGGTTCACGCTGGAAGAACGCATACTTTTTGTGTCACCTCTTTCTGTATGCTGTGTTATTTCTGGATGCTGGTTTGAGCACCTGTCTTGAACTAGCTACAACCCGCCTCGATTCCTCGACGGCCGAGTTAAATCCTGAAAGGACCGACGTAGACATGCAGATAACTAATTTTTTTCTGCTGGTTTGCTTTTTCACGGTTTACCGCGAATGACAAATAAAAAAATTGTAGACCGTGTTGCGTATTGCATTTTATTGTCAGAGGTTTGTGGCATATGTCTCATCAGCGAAGGTATCTAACAACCAGAGCTCGTTCAAAACGTTCTCTTACGGCTACAAGAGGATGACGAAAAAGATGTGGAGATCCAACTGCTGAGTTACTTGGAAATAACTTTATATTTTTACTGTATGGTCTTTTACTCATGATGTCATTTGCATGTAGTCTTGCGCACTTCATTTTAGCTTATTCCAAAACTGAACAAACAACGATACAGAATTTTTCCAACACTTATGTTTATTCTCCTGTTTGAGAATAGACGTATCTTTGCTGGCCCAATACAATGGCTTAACAGTTTCATGACACTGGGATTAGACAATATATTTTTTGACGCGGAAAAAATTAAGTTGTTGGTCGATATTATAAAGCCGCATACTTGATCAGTGACACATACTACTATTTCATTTCATAGGCATGATGTGTGCATGGTCCAATTAGTACTGAATTCGGATTGTAGATTTCTAATCACGAGCCAGAATTTGTTGGCTTTGATTAATTTATAACGAAAAACGATTTATTGGTAAATAATCAGTGACAATTATGATGACCAAATAGATCTTTTATAGCAATTTAATAGTCTTTAATTGGTGATGCTGGAGTTTTATTAGTCGCCTGAACATTTCTGTCTTGCAAAAATTTATTTATACCTTGTTCTTCAAAGCGTCACAAGACTAATCGCTTCAGGAGTTTGTTAAGCTGAATACAGCAAATATATCACATTTAATTAACATTTTACAAGTAATTTTCGAAAAGTTCTTAAATAATACGTTCATGGTTTTTGCACTTTCAGTAAAAGCTGCTTTAACATATTAAAAATGTGTTAATCATTTCTGCAGGTCGTTTACGGTTCCCGGCTAAGTTTTCTCGTTGAGCACACTTGCTCGCATAATCTGTCGCCTCTACGAAAATCCCATAGAACACAAATATGTTTTCTAAAGAATCAGTCTTTCTTGGAATGAAGAATTGATTTTTTTCTTCTGCGAATTCTGGCAATCGGGACATTCACTTAGAATTAAAACGTTATAGTCACACATTGGACAACTTTCTTGATTTGTACTCGAATCACGCGAGTTTAAGCTGCAAGACGCAGTGCTTCGTGAGTCTCTATGGTCAGTCAACTGTTCAGACAGATCTCTTCGTGAAGTAACCGTGACAGGGCTATTTGGCAGAGAATGGAAGTTTTTCTCGACACTCCTTTGACGACTTAGCGTGGTAGACCCAGTAATATTCTCACTGCTTCGCCGGAGACGTTTCTTGAAGCGATTTTTGCCTCCGTCCGATTCGTTTTCACTTTTTCGCTTTAGTAACGGGTCTATATCGTCATGTGATGAGTAAAGCACACTCAGATGACTCTCGCTGATGCTGCGCTGTCGGCCCTTCAGAAAAGAGAACTTCTTGCGGATAGAATTGCCTTTTTGAGCGCCTGAAGAGCTCTTGGATTTGTCTTTACCTTCTACCTTCTGTCCAATGCCCTCTTCTGGCCCCGAGGTGTTCACCGTGCTAGAAGAAGCCGCTGAGACACTGGGAGCTGTGTTAAACCGAAGAGATCTAACGGTGTCAACAACTGATCGAAGGCGTCGCGTTTTCCTGGGCCAGGCTTTGAGTTCGTATTCTTCTCGATCCTGCCCTGTTTGCAAATTAGCTGGTGTATTTTGTGTGAAAACCTCTGGGAATTCATCATTACCTCCTCTGTCTCTTTCCATTGATTGAGTGGTACCGCTAATGGATGTCGGGCCTCTACCAATGAGTGGTTCCTTTTCCTCGTTAGGTGAAGAATGAAGCACTCTCACCGAAGTCGACAAAGTGCTGTTGGCACTCAGTAAAAACGGACCTGGCGAAGAAAGCAAATTTTTCTCTGTGAGATGAAACAGGAAGAAATAAAGCTATTGCCAGATGTTCTTAACGAGAGCTTCGTTATTGAATGACTGCGAACTATGAAGTTTGACAACTTGGTGATTCCGTATCTTGACGAAGCGGGAAGAGGGCTATTTTCGACTGGCACATGACAATTGAGATTTCTAGAATTAATTATCCTCCGAATATATTATAAAAGTGATTTTTAAATGGATTTAGTGGAGAAACAAACCTCTGTGCTGTCGGGGCTCACTACTGCCTATGTTAGTATTGGAGGTGTCATCATCTGCCTGTTGTGTTGTTAAATAGATTTGTTAGTACTTTTACATTACATTAACGTATTTTCATCACTCTTCTTTATTTCGTTGACGCGTATATAAATTGTGAGTCTATTCTTAGATTCAAATATTGATTCAGTCTTGGAAGCAAGAAGTAGCTTTCTCAGTAGAGGAAGAAAACATTATTAGATCGATGTAGAACTAAGCTTACTAATAACACGAACGGAAAACATACCTTTGATTTACCTTCCTTTATACTACTCCCAGATAAATCAGAGACAAAATAGAAAGAAACGCAAACCATAAACCCACCCCCCAAAAAGTTAAAAATTATCGTCCTACTGTTGAACAAGAAAGGTAGCAAAAAAAATACTAAATTTAGTTTTCCTGTTCTGTGGCTCTAAATCTCTCTCCGCTCTAACGTAAGTAATTCGATTTTTTTTCAAACTTTAGGAGAAAAAGAAGAATACCGTGATCATAGGCAAATATCGGTATTTCATGAACGATAGATCTCTAAAGTACATTTTTCTGTTTCGAAGCTTTATCCAATTCCAATTTTTCGAAAATAGAAAAAACAAAAGCCTGATGACGCCATTGTTCCCCCAATGTCCGGAGAGATCAAACATAATTTGCATTTCATCGACTTTAGAAAATTGCATGAGTGATTATGCCTACACTTGGTATTATGTTACATTTTGTATTTCCATAACATGATCTTTCTTACTTGCGGAGGAGTGTATTTGAACGCCAGTTGTAGCTCTCCACTTTTCACCCCACGCAGCCTGTACCAGCGCTTCTCATAGGGAGGCTATCAAATGACATAATTAAATGTTAAGTCTTCTCAGAGTATATTCGAATAGAGAGACTGAATTGTAATCTAACAGTGTAACTGGAAAGCGAAAGGTCATTCCCTCTGAATGCTGGTGGCTGATTTGTGTTCTCCAGTTTATTATCATTTCAGTTTCGAGCATTCAAAGCTCCCGTACAGGGATACCAAACTGAACCATGTTACTGAAGAGACAGGAAACGCTCAGTCAAAATCACGATTCCGCCACTTATCAAATTTCTCCTTTTTACTTAAGGAATGAAATGGGGATCGATCAGTTTTGAAAATTTCCTTTCCATGCATTTTATTCTCTACCGGTAATTTTTAAGAATATTGCATTAATATTCTGAAAAGAATTTTAAGAAACAATAAACTGCAAATAAGGAGAAAGCTAAAGTCGGCCTATGTAGACACCTTTCCTAAATCTTTCAGTTTCTCAGTTGTAAATCCTATCTGTCCCATTCTCTCCTGTGACAATGGATCTTTATCCCACACTTCCTGAAAAAGAAGAGATAAATGTTGGCGAATGATGTGATTTTTCTTGGTGAGTTGATATTTTTTCATCCAGGTTGATTTGCCCAAGCACAAACTTAGTATATCTAATTGATATAAACCTATAGCGGAATAGTGTGTACCTGAGTACACACTATTTATTTATTTAGGGTTCTTTTATTTTTCCTGGGTTATTACTTGAAGACTTCTCTTGTCTCCTTGAAAAATATTGCCCACGTTTATAAACATATTTTGATCTACTTTTTAATGAGAGAAGCAAAGGAAAAGGCAAACGTTGAACTAGTTCTAAATCAATGTAAAATCGAAATTGAATAAAAAACGAAAAAGTTTGATAAAAATGTCTGCAGCTTCAATTCTAAATCAATGTAAAATCGAAATTGAATAAAAAATAAAAGATAAAAAACGGCTGAATCGAGTTCAAGCCAAATCTTTCTCACCAGTAACAGGAGTCCATTCACATCAGGCATCGCTACAACAGCTGTCTCACTCCAAACGGGTTCCAACGTGTTGGTGATGGTCCGTGATCTATATTTCTCTCTTCCTTCACTTCCATCCTTTATTGTCACAAACGGATCACTTTTACCTGTAGACAGAGAAGCTGAGAAGCTTTTCTAGGGACATGGAATATTTTTGCATTTTTCCAGGCTTCCAATCACTCTTCCAAGTTACAAAATGTTGCATTACATAGTCTACTCGCGTTGGTCGCTCCTACTTTTCATTACCACCTATTCTTGCTTTTTGCTAACTTCGTGTTCGGGTGGCATCTTAAATTATTCTCTTTGTTTACAGAGTAGGGTAATTACTTCCAGTCACTTTGTAAGACCTTACAATGTACTGTTCACTGGTCACTCAATTCAGCAAGAAGCAAAGTTATGGAAATCTACAAAACAGTTGTCTTGGCGTTATCCTTTGTCAATTGCCACGAGGTAAAATCAATCGTCTTTGTATTTTATTCTGTTCAAGGTTCCGTCAATCCTAAGCCTTTCAATTCTCATTCTGAATTGTGGTATAAATACTTAAAAGGCTGGTTTCTCCAAGAATTCTTCGATGTCATTTGCAGAAAATATAGTATTTTGAAGGTCTCCGTGAATTTTATCTTACCAGTAATATCTTTAACTACCAGATTACGTCCCTGGTAAATGTTGATTTCGACGCTTCCTCGTTCTGCAAATAAATTTATGTATATGAATAAACCTTGAAGACCGTTTCAAGTCAATATCAATAGTCCCACTTAGCATTAGTGGCTCTCTTCGTAGACCAACATCCATCAGCTAAGATGTCACCTTGTTACTATATAGCTGAACATTAGAGGGCAACTTATCGACTTGAAACACTTTGACTTACCTGCACGCAGCAAAGCCTCTAGTGTCTGTATCTCAGTCTTAGCATCCTTCTATATATTTGGGAGAAGTAAAGTTTAATTTATCCAACTCTCTTTCATTGTAAAACCATCCAAACTTAAAGGGAAAGTCAGTACAGGAAAGAAACTTACTTGACCAGGAGGTTCTCCTTCTGGTAGACCTTGGCCACTTTCTTTCATTTCTAACGAGAGAAGAAACAAAATGTTGAGTGATGCAAACTCAACCGACGTGAGTAAAAAATCTGGGGAAATATCTGAATTGAGATTTAACTTTTCTACGCATGAAATATCACGTATTCAGCTTATTCGGTCTGGCTTCTGCATATCATCCACGATGCCCAATATAAGTCTGTAAATGTACTTAATCGACCTCTACCCTCATGGGGCATTTCAGGGTAAATATAATTCAGTGAATAAATGAAGGAATGAATGAATGAGCTGCCAACTGGCAGGAGGCAGATCAGTTGGCTTTAAGCAAAGCACAGTCTAGAAGTTGAACTCAGGAAAAATGAGAACAAATCCAGCGATTAGCAGCTGGAAGGCTTGGACCCGGACCATCAGAGTGCTTCCTGTGCAAGTACAAGTGAAAATGCATGTATATGTGGCATAACAATTCGAGTTATGTTTATTTTTAGGATGATTACTATTACTCTTATTATTATTACTATTATTATTATTATTATTATTATTACTGTAATTTAATTGTTTTTTGCCAATTTTATAAAACTCGGATTTTACGGTTTTAGACTGCAAGGTACAAAGAGCCCCGCTGTGTAGGTAAGTGTACTTACCAGACTTGGCCACCGATGGAGCAGGTCTAAAAATGGCGGACACACACAGCTTGCCCGCCTTCATCATTCCAGAGCCTTTAACTTTATACAGTAAGTCCAGGTTTTTCTTAAAAAGCACAGGTGATACCTGGAAACGAAAGAGTAAAAAGAGTAAGATAGGGCTCCCACTGTTCATCGCTTCATTCAATCAGTTCTTCAAAAATAATTTTAAAAAATCATAAAAGTACAGAGTGTCGTTACGCGATGAGTTGAAACCGATCCAAAAGGCCAAGTGAAATTAAGAGATCATCGCAGCTAAGAACACTATTGAAACGAGTACTTGAAAATAGGACCTGAAAAAAATTCAGGCCCGTACGGGATTTGAACCCATGACCCCTGCGATACCGGTGCAGTGCGTTACCAATTGAGCTAACAAGCCAGCTGGGAGCTGATCAATGTGTTGGGTCCAAATAAACTATCCAAAAGATAAATGATGATTTTAGATATGTGAAAATTCATATATTTGCACTGCGGTGGAGAAATGAAATTAAGAGATCCTCTCAGCTAAGAACACTACTGACCCAAGTGTTGGGAAAACTGTACAGTTGTCACTTTTTGTAAAAGAGAAGAGAGTGATAAAGGTGATATGATATCACCGGACGAACTGAAAAGCGAATGGATGCTTGCATACTATTATTATACGTGGTCGTGGATAAAATACACGATGATACGACGTGAGAAATAATGAGCCAATCCAGAGGCTGCTAATGAATACGCAAATGTACTTATAAAGTTTCGAATACGATCCCTATGCCACACCGTCATAGTGGACACCACATATTACGTCGAACTTGAAGTCTTTCAACAAAGTAAACTCTCGTTCATAATCGATTTTTCAGTTCGTTCTTCTTCAAATGTTCTACTTCTTGTTCATATCATTTATTTCATGAAAACCCGGCATCAAATTAACAAATAGATTCCAAGTTGCCGTGCGTCTGTTCAGTGATAGATCACAGATGACGTCAAAATGTGTTAAGAACAAAAAATCGATAGAATCGATAGGAATGGAAACAGAACTACTATTTAAATTAAAAAATTGATTTTCTTTTCAGTTTTCCATTTCGTCCGAGATTTTCCTCATACTCACCTCAGTAAGAGAAAGATTGCACGATCCCATGAAGTCACCTCTTTCATCTTTGATCATTTTAATAGCATTTGTGTCTTTGTCCAGGATAACAAACGATAAAGTCGTCTAGTATAAGAACATAGAACTGTTATTATCATCTATTATTATCATAATAAAACACGAAATGGCCCATTGAGGTTATCTTCTCACGGAAATCTTATTCCAAAATATATTTGTAATTTGCCTGTAGTAATGCACAGGTGAACGGAGATTAGAGCCCTGGAAATACTCTTTAAATGGCGTTCAATGGTATGATATGCTACACAGCACACATTAAGACGTCAATGACAGCGATATTGGGTCTTTCATGCTAATAGAAGAGGGGAAAAGTGAGCTAAAAGTTAGCAGCCGGGTACATCTGATTCGGCCTTGTAAGGTCTCGCTAGCATGGCATGTTAAAGTTTTAGCTTTTGCTTCTCTCTTATGGTAAACCTGTGGGATATGATCGTTACAACAATTAATTTTATGGCCCTCGCCTATGGAAAATTAATGAAAATTGGCTTAGTTATTTTTTTAAATTTAAACAAGGTCAATTATCATAAAATACAGAGGACACCAATGTCCAGCCATCGTGTCTGACTGAAAAATCAGGTCGTTAACGGATTTATTTTATGGTTAAAATATTGCGCCAGATCATTTCGTTTTCGCGAGAACATAGCAGGCAATCCCGAACGAGAAAAGATAAGCCATCTCCGCCAACTCAGATAGGCGGGATATGCTTCATTATCTACGATGCTATATCTATAATAACGGTTATTTTCTATAACAAACCTGTGTAAAGTCACCAACAAGTATTTCAACCATAGTGTCCCAAACAGGACTCAGGGTCCCTTTCACGGCCTCCCCGCGCTTGGCCTGAAATAAAGAAATTTAAAAAAACCCTCTACTATTGCATGTTGCGTGATAACACCGCCATTCCTGTATTCCTGTTCATTTTGTCATTCCACAACCCCTACCAAAAAAAAAAAAAAATTCATTCATACGGAATTTTGGCAGAAAGCAGAATCTCAGAGTACCACAGCTTCAGGTGCTAGGCTTCGTACGATACGAAAAAGTGTTAAGATCGAAACATTCGTCTAGAGATCTTGAGGGAACATTTTTGAGGAATAACAAATTTGATTTCATAATTGTTCAACTTCTTTGAGGGTAGGGAATTGAAGAAAATTTATTTATGCTTGGGTGCGTTACCTGTCTTCCGTTTTCATAAATTACACAATACGGATCACTGCGTCCATGTTTGTCCATGGGAACCAGGCCTTGACCGCTGTGAACACAGACGAGTAGAACTCCTGAAACTGAAGTGGACAAAAACAGACTAGATGTCGGAAAATTGAAGCATGATGCTTCTCGCAAACGGAAGGCAGAAAAAATTGGTCTTGAAACTGTTTACTTTAAGTTTTTTATGCGCTTATGAAGAATTGTTATTAATTGAAAAAAAAAAGAGAGAAATTTTTGTAAATTATTACTGGGGGATAGATTGGTGAGTTGTAGGAAAAGTTGGCTAAATCAGAACTCGTTTCTGCCTTTTTTCAAACGCTCTTCTTAATTTCCCTGTAGTCACTACCAAATGTTTCAAGGCGGTTCAAGAAACGCTTAGAAACTGCACCAAAGAGATCGCAATACTCGGCTCAGTGTGAATGTTAAAATTTAAAAAGAGTTACATATTTACCTTCATTCGGGTGGAGATTTCGTAGTCTGCTCAAATAGATTCTGCCAAAGTCCTCAGAGGTTAATGAGTGGCACACGTCAATCACTGGAAGAGGTGTGTACTCCATCTGCACTGTTAGGGTAGCCGGTTTTAAAGACGACTTTTCGAGCACTTGATCACTGATATAAACAACACAGACTGATTAAGAATTAAGAAAATGTTTACGACAATGAGGCAGCCGCAAGTTATTGGTTGCACCACCAAACTGTAGGTTTGTAAAGCATTAAGAAACCTCATTTAAGGTGTGTGCATACCTTTGCACGCTGTTTCAGATTTAAAACATCGTCGACAACTACTGCGACAACTAACAACTAAGCAACTCTTAATTCATAACCATCTTGTGAAAAGAAAATTTCAAAGGTTACCAATCAAATTTTATCAAGACAACTTTCAGCGGGTAACATGATGTCATTCACAAGGAAAGTTGGATAGGACTTTTGTGTGAGGAGATATGTTTCTCAGTACAATTATTCAAATTAATTCATTGGATTATGATACAGTTATAGCTTACTGCTGAGGATTGCTCTCCAAACAAAACTTTGAAAGGAACAGGACATATTCAACCACAGTGTACTTGGTGCCGAGCTTTCTTCGTCCTTTCACTTTGATTACCAACTGAAAAGAGATTACATTTTTTTCGTCAAATAAACTTTATTTGATCTGAGAATGAAAATCAAGCAAAGAAATGATCCTCACAGGTGAACTTAAATTTACACAATTGCAGAAAAGAAGCTTGAAACAATTCAAGTTTCCACAGGACTCCAACCCGCGCCTCTAAGATACTTGCAAAATAGATAAACACACGCAACAGAGGTTCAAACTTCAGATATCATAGTCACACTTAAATCAGGATAAGTCAAGTAGCGGACAATATCTAGAAAATTTGTTATGTATCGTTCTCTAACTATGAGATTTTTTTTTCTTCAACAATTTATGCACAGCTCATTTAAGTGAACATGAGAGGTCAGTTCATAGTCAGTCATAATCTTAAGACGATTTGTTGAATATCGGTAGATATTTACCTTGTCAGCATGCAGATTATACACCAACAATGATACGTTAGCACTCCATTGATTTTCTCCCGTCACTTCCTTGGTGTATCGCTTTTGACCATCAATCTTAACAGAGCACCAGTAAGGGTCATCTACGACAGACAAGAATTACTTATAGGTAAGGTGCAAAGAATGTGACATAATTCGTTATGGCTAGAATCCTATGTGTAAGCTCTTTTGAGAAAGAAAAAGATATGACCTCTGATGTGGAGTCAGGGAAAGGAGACAAGGCCTCGATTTATTGTCCTCATCCGACAAGACCAGAACTTAAAGCCATATACAGATAGCATCACAAAGAAAGCACAAAGCACAAGTTCTTCTGGGTTGAGGCCCAAACCTTCAAGCTTACCAAGGTCATCATGAGATTTGACAAAGCCTCATATTTTGGCGAAAAAAGCCTCGTCAGGTGACTCTGCATCAACGCCTAAAATTAGCCCTCAAATCTCTGTTATAAGCAAAATAAATCATGCTTTACCTGTTAGTTTTCCATGAGATCCTCCACTGATTGTCAAAGTAAGAACACCGCATGCTTCAGATTAAACAGATATTAAGGAATGTAAGGATTAAGTTTAATTAATAGAGAACTGAAGGTATTTTGAAACTTTCTGAGTGGCATTTTGGATTCTTTTCTTGTTTTCTTATATTACACGTGCTTTCCTCTTGAGAAACCCGGGAGAAAAGAAACCATTGTTTGACAACAGCATGAGTCGTAGTCACAATAATAATTTTTGGTGGATCCACTCACCATATGCTGCTCCTCTTCCGACAACCTCAGGATCGTCGCAAAATGGAATTGTTATGTGGCCAGGATCTACTAAAGCTGCAGGTAGGAACACGTGTCATTGTAAATCTTTCAGTCTTAATCTTCCTTTTGAATTATATGCAAACGGTGAAACCTGTTTGATCCCCTGCACTATTATCGCTGATTTGCCTGTTGGGACAAGATCCAACTTGGAGTACACTATTAAGTATGGAGCACGCTATTAAGAACATGCAGACTGATGTTAGAGTGTGAAGGGCCAAGTTACACTGTAATCTTTCTCAAGATTAACGTTTCCCAATAAAACATCCAGAGGCCTTGAGTCTAAAAATTAACTGAAAGGTTTTAATTTGAAATGAGGCCTTTGGGAAAGACAGGATGAGACGATGTGAGTCTCTTGTCGACTTGAGATATAGAGCCTGAGCCTGTGCAAATTGTTGTTGATCTTTACCACGTTTGGGCTAAAAGGAATACTTAATTTGATCAAGAGAAGATCCTTCTCTCTTGAATGGGTATGACAAAAGAAAAGTATCTTCACCTAGTTTTAGGTAATCGTTGACCATTTGTGTGATCCATTGTCTGAGGAGGGGAAACTCCATTAGTTGTACAGCCTTCAGGAGACGAATGTTGAACGATACGTCTGGTCTGAAACAGGCAAATCAAAACAAAGAAATTCTTATAATGTCAATTGATTGATATATGGATTTTAGGGAAAAATGAGGTTAGTGATCATTTTGAACGAGGGCATTGTTTTGAGTTAACTGCCTACTCTAGCGTATATCTAAAACACTAAACGCATCTTACTCTTCGGTGAAGAAAAATGTTACAGCTGCCAGATGAGGAAAGGGAACATTTTGATTAAACAGCAGCACCAGCTGCAGTTTGCCGTGAATATGAAGATCTTCTACTGCTACATCAGTACAGGTGCCAAGAAACCTGCAAGACAAACAGGTTCAATTGTTTGCCCAGAATACTCTAGGTTTAGATAACGCGAGCGATTCTTCCAATCTCTAGTATGCTCATCTGAGCTCAGTCTTACCGGAGCATGGTAAATTAAGTGGCTTTGAGCGTATTCCGACAAACTTTAAAGTGTGGCACTATTTGTCACGAGTCAATTTATCCTCGTCCTTACTCATAAGTATTAGCATATAAGGGGTACCGTGGCTAGTGTCAATAACTGTATGCAAAAGCCTGCAAATTTCTTTGTTATACTGTAGGTTAAAATAAGGTTTTTAGATTCAACTGAGCAAAAGGTTTCATAGAATCCCAATCATCTTTAACAAACCGATCATTTCAACTTCCCCTCCATTCATCCTGTCAGAATGAGACGAAAAAGAAACAAAAATTTCTGCACGACAAGGGCGCGCCAAATTAAAAGTGCCACACCTCTGTTTTTTTTCTTTTCTATTTTTGATTTTCTATGGGTAACGTTAACGATACTTAGAAGGCTTCTGCACCAATAAATAACAGAATTTGATTGTAACTTAATTTTTTTTGGTCGCTTTCTTTTTTTTTTTTTTTGGCTTGTGGTTTGACTCTTTCATTTTTAACAGTCACATTACAGCATCCCAAATCATGGAGTCAATCCTGGCCTAAAACTATCTTCTTTTCATGATAAATTCATTCAAATAAAAAATTGTTGTTGGAATATGCAATTTTTTAAAACCGATAAGTGGGTGGAAAAAATTTGATAATTTTATGAGGATTGTAAAGAGAAAAGTGAGCGGTTTTTTCTTTTTCTTATATGAATAACACAATTGCTCCTACCCCTTGTTACCAAGTCTGATTCTTATGACGAATCTTGCTTCTGGAGAAGTCAGACCGGCTTCCAGCTGAATGACTGCCTGGTATTTGCCTCTAGTCATCAGATCATCAGGTGGATGATTAAAGTTTAACTCGGTAGCTTTTATATTCCGTTGATCGTCATAGTTATCATAAGATGTGACGTATTTGAAGTAAGGTGTTCTATTGCCCAGGGTGAAATCCAGAATCTCTATGGAACCTAAATCAAAATGAGTAGAGGAGGTTATATGAGGTTGTGAAAAACAAACATAAGACGAAAAATAAGAAACCTTGGGTTGCTTTCCATTTGTGATAGAATATCGAAGAGACTCTCCTAAGGAATGGGAAAGTATAATTTTTCCCGAAAACAAAATGAAAGAGGAAAAGTGTGCTCCTTAAGCAGAGTTGTGTTTATCCTGAATCTGTCTGGGTCTCGAAAAATGCGAAAAAACTCTTGGCTAGAAAGACTCTGAATACTTTGTAACATTTTCAATAATTCTCAAGCGATTCTAGTAAAAGAAAGAAGAGAAGAATAACTGTGAGTGTATTCTTTTTAACTCAAAACTTTTTAGAAGAAAAGGCCGTTCCATCGTAATTCCCACTCCGAAACTTGGCCGTTTTCCTTTTCCTTTCTAACTGGAAAGTGCCCTGATTTCAATTCTTTTTGAACCAGTTGATCCATGCTCTTAAACGGTTTCATGAAGCATTGCAAAATGGACTTAAAATAACCTGAAGAGACTCGCAACGATACCAAAATGAAACTGTGCGTTATCTGAAGTAAAAAATTCCTCATAAGTCCCGTGAATGTTAATTTTATATTTTGCCCTGTTGTCTATATTTTTTAAATTTTCCTTTATATTTTGCCTACTAGTCCAGGTTTTTGTGGAGGCATGAAAACGGCAGAACGGGAAGAAAAGCACTTGGATTTAAGACACGAATTAACAATAATCTCAATCCGCAAATTACGTCATATGAGGGAATCGAACCCAGGCCTCGGCGATAATTTAAGAGGTGGGCGTTCTTACAACCATATACTCTCTGCGTAGCTTCATAGGAGCATTGGACTCTTACCTACGTAGGATGGCTTCTGGGCCTTAAGGATCGGCTCCAGGTTTCTTTTGATGGAGCTCAGTAATGATCTGTCGCTGAAAACAAACCTGTAAGAAAATACTACCGATTTGAATATATTTTAAGGATATTTTGAAAAGGCAGCTGCACTCACGATCGGTATGTTTCGATGAGCAGTGTACTGAAAGTAGTCTTTAGTCCGGTGTGCTGAATTTCGCCGGCAAGTCAGCAAGTGGACAGTAACAGCGCAAAGCTACTCGGTTTACCGATTAGCCAAACCGGCGAGAAACTAGCACATGAAACTGGGAAAAGTAATAGATCATTCAACCTGTATTCAGAAAAAAAATTACTACTGACGAGTTCCGATCATAAAGAAAAAGCCTCCACTTTGGTAGTGTGGGCGCGCCATTCATTCTTAGAGTGATACTCGGTAACGAAGCTTAGTGTGACATTACAAAATGGCTTTAAAAGGCCTCATGGATGATTAAGTCGCAATACCATATTTCATAGCAAGCCTTGCTCTCAAGGTGCGGAATGGTGAATTTAAAAGGAACGTGATCCATGAGCATTGAAATTGAGAAAATTTAGATCAAACGAAGCTTGCTGGTGAATGTACTGTAAATACCGTCATCGTGATTAAGAGCTATCAATTTCGATGCGTTTACAGCTGGATTCTGACTGGCTATAACTAATCTATCTATAAAAAATCTATCTATAACAAAACTTGTGCGCCGAGGAAAATATGATAAATAAAAAACAAAACTATACGACTGTTTGAGTAAAAACATAACAGTACCGATTCATTAAATGGACTTTTTGTATCAGCTTTTAGCGGCCTTTGGCCATTAAACTCAAATGCAGATTAATTAATTTACTCTTATTTAAAGTTTAGAATTTCAAACGACAATAATTTCGAACTACTCGCAGTGTCAAAAGTTTTAATTACCTGTCTGAGGTGCAAATACTTTTTTTCCCCGTAAACTACAAGTATTTCCTCAAGTCTTCAACGTGCTTATGAAAGTATTTTGGTCCTCTTCCTTCATTTTTAAAAGTCTAAATGATCCATCAGTATTTGAACAAGAAAGCAGACTCGTCATGAGGGAAAAAAAATATTCATGGTTTCAGCCCCTGTATTAAAATTGCCATGTAAATATTGATAATTTTTTTTTTTGAACACTTCAACACCTCTTGAATTATGGTCTAATTTTTCTTCGAAAAGAAGTAATTGGAATAACTCAATACCAAGGAAATAACAGAGAAAAGTTTTATGAATCTGATGGTTTTAATTATGCCATAAGAACAGAGGTAGCCCCATGTAATATCAGTCTGGTCGAAAATTTGTGATTAGTCTAAGACTAAATTGTGCGGTCGAGATTGAGCGAAATTCTATTTAATTGCCATAAAATATTAAAGGCTTGCACGTGATTAGTATCTGAAATGGATCAAACTGTATATGTTGAGGTAAATTTCTCTGTTTAGGATAGGATTTTAAAAAATTCCTAACTAAGATGTGAATTAAGCTTGAACTTAAATCGATCAATAACTTTTATAGAAAGTCAAGTGTTACCATGATGAAGTGTTGTTTCTGATGGTGTTCCCGCATATTCTGCGAGGAAATAATTTTGATTTTCCTATGTTTTTATTTATAAGTGATGTCGCTATAGAATGTATCAAGTGAAGAATATTATTTTTGCCTTCTCGAAGAGAGATGATTCTATTCCACCGACCAGACGACAGGAGAGAACAATTGGAAGAAAGTTTAAGAGAAATCGCCTCATTTAAGTTTGAGGACGCTATTTATGCAAAACATTTCAATTGAATTCAATTGGATGCATACTTTTCATTTTATTGAACTTTATCGGGATAGACATCTCTGATAACAGAAAATTTAAAGTTTATGGCAAATACTAGGGCAATTTTTCCCATCCATTTCGGCGATTACTTTATGTAAGAATCATGGGGTATCTTATTCTCTCAGCGGGCACCAAGGAATTCATACAGATTCGTTTCCAAAAGGCAGTAAAAGCCCTTCATCCTTTTTTTTTTCCCAGAAAGGTTACAAAGATACCAAAATATTTTAAACTTGTTCTCTTTAAGAATTTATAAGGAACAGTCACCGAACTTTTGTTTACGCTGCGAACAGTGTTAAGTGCATTCGCTCAGCATCGAAACACAACTTAACTTCGGTACAAGAAACCTATCGGGTTTGTTTACAGCTCATAACAGGATACAATGATCTCTCACACTTACCATCGATTAATCAGAAAATTTAGCCATTCTGCCGTTTCTCCATTCGACAATGCTTTTTGTCGCCTCCTTTCAATTTCTGCTTCTTTGACAGCACTGTCTATTACATGTGTAGCGGTGTTATTCCACCAAAACAAGATCCATACGAGCAGTGTAAAAATCCAAAATATGCTAATATCAGTCTTACCCACCAGCCACGCTATGATCGTAAATATAAGTACTGATATTATGAGCTTTTGGTGCTGGTTTGCTCGGCGAATAGCTTGTCTTCCTTCTTCAGCGTCAGAAGTTTGCTTTGCTTCCGATTTTTCGTCATCGTTGGCTACACTGGTTACTTTGCACTTCCTTTGCGACATTTGAAACCACGTTATTTTGATAGCCTCACTAAAATGTAAAGTTAAGTCTTCTTCAATTGGTGTTCCAAAAATTCCCGATAAGGAGGGAAGTTTGTTTTGGTTTCAAGGTACTTATGGCTAATACTCATCGCGTAGAAGTTTTGTTCGTTTGGTACCACAATGTAAATTCGAATGATTATTACTGTTAGCCGACGAATGACCATTGGCTTATGCCCTGGGGGTATTCATTTAACAATAAAATCACAATCTCGGAACAAATGCATCCATTTACCCAAATACAGAGACAATAACAAAGAGTCAGTCCTCGATGTAGGAAATTAATAATTAATTACAACAATTGCTTACTGTATGCTTATTGTGTCAGAACAGCACATTTTCGAAGAACATTGTTTGCATACAGCAATAAGGATCACAAACACAACTGGCTTTTAACGTATTTTCTATCGAAGTAAAGTAATCTTCTTATAAACTGTACCATTAACAACGTGATTCGAAATCCTTTTGCTAATCGGCGTTCTACAAGGATCGTAAACAATTAGTTTAATTAGAGTCTTTTTCCCGATTCGTGGAATTTCGTTTCTTGATCTGAAATGTTTCATTCTAGCAGCTGGCCACAAAGAAACCAATTGCGTCACCAAAAATAGTTATCTAGGAATCTTCAGAAATTTCTGTCGTTGAACAGAAGACAAGGTGCAAGCGACACTTACCATAGTGTAAGCATTTTATTCAAGTGCACGGCTACAATACACGCAGATAAGCTCAAAAACAATTTCGACTCCAAGAAGCACTAGTTGTTGACTTCATTTGGCGTAATTCTTTTGTAGAACGTCTGGATAGTCTTGTATGTGGTCGACCTTATTTTATCTTTAAAAAAAATTATTTCGTTAAGTTTTTTTTAAGGCAGCACGAAAACTTTCGGTTAATAATTGACCATAATTAACATGATTTTGGCGAAAATCATGGAAAGTTTTTCGCGTTAGTTCATTGATTTCAATCGCCTCTCTAAACCAGTTGTAGACTGCGTTAAGCTTTCCTTAATTTCTTTTTTTCTGAGCATGAATCAGTTTGGTTTCAAGTTCGAACTAGTTGTCCGTTTTCATGTTCAGGTATTGGACGGGTTTTGATTTAATAAATAGCTCATTTATTCAAGTGTAATACAAGGAGATAGAAAGTGGAAATAAAATATTTGCAATAACAATGAAATCGAAAATCGAACATAGGTTGTAAAGGGTTGTGTCTGGGCCGAGGCGGATCTAGGGGAGGGGTACTGAGGTTGCACACCCACCCCCATCCGATACGACCTGCGTTTTGTTATGTAACTTCGGACTTCTTAAAAATATAGGAGGCAGCAGCCACAAAAATGTGCTGTACGGTTTGCAATGTATTTTCATCGGTTCACATAATAGTATTGCCTGCCTGGTCATAGAATTCTTCTTCGTTGGTCGGTTTTAAAATGGCGCATGATCAGAACCGGCGACTGTGTCACTGATAGTCATCGAGGTCATTTTAAATTTTATCTATTTTTTAATTTATTCATCTATCTGTTTCCTTTTTTTTTGTTAATGGAAATCTTTGGCGCCATTTAACAGATGAATTACGCAATACTTCTTCATCAGTGTTTAGAACCCGGTTTGGGATTGTTTTATTTTCAAATGCGACCAGAATGCGAACACAATTTTTCATCAATGATATCAAAAGGTAATCAGATGGTATAAGAATGATAAAATGTTCAACTCCGAACAATGCATCTCTAGTGTTTTGATTGGTTCACTCAGCTCCCGTTATTCGCTCATATTTCGAGTCACCTTACATGGAAATGTATTGCACCAACTGTTGCGGAGCTTCAAAAAAGCTCCAAATATCCAAACACTCAGAATGTAATGTAAACTAATAAGACAATTATTCTATTCGCACTTGTTTGATACGAGATTGGTTATAGCCAACTTGGTGCTCCGCGCCTCGTTGGTTATCTACCATCTCATTTCCATGTATTGTTTTTATGTTTGTTTTGTCTATCCAAGAACTGAATTCGTAATGTAGTATGGGGCTGTGCGGAAATATTACCCTTTTATCTCCGAGCATGCCTGTGTCATTCAATGAATAACATCTTCCTTCACTTAAATCACCAGGCTTAAAATTCATCAAATTGATTTACATCATCATTGCGCACAAGCATCAAGTATCGTCACTTCTACCCTCGCAATATTAATCTCTATGGACCTAATTAAACGGCCTAGCCTACCACGAGTCTCCTATAAGTCAGTGGTAGAGCGTCTGAATTACCATTCGAAACGTCGTAGGTTCGACTCCTATTGAGCAGAAGGAGACCTTATTTTCTCGAAGTATGCCTGTGGCATTCATTGAATAACATCTTCCTTTACTTAAATCACCAGACTTCAAATTTGTCAAATTGATTGACATCAACACTGCTCATTAGCATCAAGTGTCGACACTTCTACCCTCGCATCATTGCGCATAAGCATCAAGTATATCGACACGTAGGTTCGAATCTCATTGGAAGCACGCGGACATTACCCTATTTTTCTTCGGGAATTTTTTTTCGGGGAATTTTGAATAGCATCTTCTTTCATTTAAATGATCATACTTAAAATTAACCATCTTCATATACGTCAGCATTGCATATAAGCATCACATATAGACATTCCTATGCTCAAAGTATGCACAAAGTTTGTTACCATGGACCTAAAGTTAAACGGCCTAACTTGCCACGAGTCTCCTATAGCTCAGTCGAAGAGCATCTAAAGTAGTAATTGAAAGATCGTAGGCTCGAAGGTAAAATTTCCGCACAGCCCCATACTATTGTAAAACAAATCTGTTTTCCCAATGGCAATCTATTGTTTTTGTCATTGTTTTCTCTATCCAGGAACTGAATGCATAATGAAGTATGGGGCTGTGCGGAAATTTTACCATTCCCACGAAAGGAGAAAGGTTGTGGTACAAAAGCGTAAAAGTGCACGCGACAACACCGAAAGTCATTGAGGGTAGTTTTCAGGTCTTAGGACTTCAAGGAAGCCTTAGAAAACATCATTGTAAAGACGAAGCATCGCGGGTTCGAAGAATGTATGTATTCATTTTACTTGTTTGAAAATTTATTGATTAACGGATGCCCAAATTACCTCTCAAGATTGTCGCGTGTACTTTAGTCCTTCTCCCGAAAACCTTCGTCGAATCTGTTCTGCACATCATCATTGCGCGTTAGAGCTACGACGGCGACGTACCTGAAGACGATCAACTCCGAATATGAAACCAATGCCTGCTTCCGAACGCTTGCGTCACAGTGAATCGGGTTTATAGAAGTTATCTATGATAATGGATTTCTACATGACTTTTTTAACGTTAAATGCAAATTAGGAGTTTTGTTTCTATGTAAAACACACACAGAAAAGGGAAGAAAAGTAAACAAGAACTTAGAAACGCACCCGCGCCAAAGGTATCCACTACCAAAATTCAGACGTTTGTGCCTAGTTTGATGCGATTTGTACACGTACCAAAACCAAGTAACGATCAAAACCCAGGTACGAAACGATTGCTTTAGACATAGGAAACATACCCTATTAGTATAGGTACGAAACCACTAAACCGACATGGTACGAATGGTCCTATTTAGGTACAAATCGACCGAGTGCGAAACGACCGTGGGTGCGAAACGACTGGTAGGTGCGCCAAAGGAAAAGCAAGCATGCCCACCACTCAGCAATGTCTGCGGCCCTTTTCCCTGAATGCTGCTTATTTTTATTTTTTTCCTTTCTTTTTTTCTTGTTTTGTCCTTTTGTTTCATTTTCTGTTTGGTTTTTTTATGGTTGTTGATATCAGTTTTCACAACAACAAAAAAATCGACTGTACGTATGAAATTGTCATTTTTTCCCCATCTTTGTAAGTCGTAATAAGTAGATCTTGCTGCCCAAGGAGTTTTCCTGATGTACTCCCGAAAGATATTATCATTGTTACCATCTTTATTATCATTAATTTCACCCCAAAACGTTCAATCAGCAGCGACGTCTTTGAACTGAATACTTTCCGCATTTCATCCCAAATAAAAAGACTTATTTAAAAACATACTTTGGGAATAAGTTGTTTATGCAAATTTGTACACACAGGTAAGACAAACTGTCAAAACAATGCTGCTTTTAACAAATGCTTTCCCGGGAGAAATTGAATTTCATTAAAACTCATTTGCATTCAAACCTTGAAACTGGAAAGCGATTACTGAAGTCAACCTTGGAAAATCATACTTCTGCAAGTACACATTCAGTGGCATTTGTCAACAGAGATTTTATTTTCATTGTTGCCCATAACTGAGAAAAATGTAAATCATGCTTGGTTCAAAAATCGACTGAATGATATTCGCTGAAGCGTGAACAAAGCAAGAAGGAATATTCTGCCACGCATTTCAGCACAATAGAGAAAAACCTGAGCGATCTAAACAGCTTAAATATCTAATTTCTTCTACAACTTGGTATTTTTTTTGTTCCTTATTTGAAAGACAACTTTTGCAGTGCACATTTTCACTAACAGATGAAACTTTCGTTGGTATTGTCATTCGCTCGTAGACTACAATTCATATGAATACGTACTTGACACTCGCTGATAAGCTACGTCGAAACAGGATGTACAATTGTGCCACTAAAGGAAAAATTGAAAAGTCCAACCACAGCCGAAAAAACCTTTGCAGTTCTCTCAGTTTTTCCATCATAACAAACTCCTCCAAAAACTAATCATTAATGATCTAGAACGAAGAAAAACAAAGTAGCACTGAAACGTGGTGTTGCATCAGTTCGATGCGCGGTCTATAATGGCAATTTCTAACAATTCTGTTTCTAACCGTTCAAAACGTTCTTGACAAAATCCTCGTAATTAATAAGTCCCTGGTTGTCTTCAAAGCCCTGAAGTAACATATCCACGTCTTCATCGCTTAGCCTCTCCCCTAAGCCGGTTAGCACATGACGAAGTTCGCCAGAAGAGATCCAGCCATTATTATCCGTGTCGAACACTTTCAAACTGTCGACAAAAGCATCATAACCAACTTTGTGCGTCCGTGAGCGACACGATTGCATGATAGGTAAAAATTCTTCGAAAGAAATCCGCTTCTTACCACTTGGATCAATTTCTCTCAACACCTTGTCGACTTCAGCTTGGGTAGGATTTAGGTTAACAGATCTCAAAGCTAATCCAATGGCCGACGACTCGATTTTTCCATCTCCAACAGTATCGAACAGATTAAAAGCATCACGAGACTCGTCAATTTCTCGTTCTGTCAGAGTACTTGCCATTTTAATTCTCTGTAATTTTTCCTCTACCGTATTGGTGTTGGAAAATTGCTCAAGGTAATGTAACACCAACGACAACAGGAACAGATTATTATTATTCAATGCACTTGCTGACACGAGACGCGTGGCATGATGGTTTATTAACGTCACGTGACGCGCACTGCACCTGTCCTACGTGGAGGACCGGAACTACTAGGAAGGACGAGGATATTTTTGTAAAGAAGCTCACAATGGTTTGCAGTATTTAATTAACGAAAGTTCCACATAATGAAAGTAGTCAACCACAGTCAACACAATTAAGAAACAGGACGCACAAAAGAGCTCTTCGTTACCATTTACATTTTCTAAGCGAAGAAAAATTTCTAAAGGTGAGTGTGGAAATTGTCATGTGAATCTCTCTAACACTTATTTTCGTTTTTGCTCTTCTTTAACGTTAGGTTGAGAAAGCTATTATGTATCATCCCGTAACTTCTTCTCGAGATGAATACTTAGAGAGCAGTTGTAATTAGTGCATGTAACCGTAAATTGTCATCATGTTTTTTAAAGCCGCATCAACTGTTAGTGGCTAATTTCTTTAGAATAGTTTCCAGTTCGTTTCCTTTTTTTGCCTTTCCTTGCCTTTCTTTGTGAACCCTGATGATGTAAAAAAGGATACAAGATACTTTCAGAGACGAAATTTTTTTAAAATTGATTTTTTTTTTTTTGCATAACCTTAAGTGATTAAGAGTAATCTGTCGACATTCACCACTTTAGTAGAAAAAGAATTATTTCTGGCGAGAATTTAGGACAAAATAAATTTTGTATCTAAGTGAGCAAATCGTCTAAGGAAACTTTGGAAGCGCTTTTCTCTGCTTTGATGTTCGAACCAATTTTAATGGGCCAAACGTTTTCGAATTCTGGCCTCACGTACAAAACCAAAGCGATTCCCTTGAAAATTGGCACAGAATAAGAACAATGAATAAAGACAAAAATTTTGTGGCCGAATTTCGATTGTAAATTGAGATGTGATGAGGAGTGCAAAGGTCAGCAATAAAAATTACATACTCGAAATTGAAAAGCTTTGAAAAAAGACGTCAGTCAATAATCGGCCACACAGTTTCTCAGCGCAGTATCTGCTGATTGACTACACAAAGACTTTCGACCGAAACAAAAAAACTTAGGCGCGCATAAAGCGATTGAAGACGCATGGGTAGTTTTTTCCTTTCTGCAAAATTATTATCTCCACATTTCAGAAAAGTAAGAAATGATTAAATTATCGAATTTTGTACTTTATAAGCTTTAAAACTGATATATGGTTTTATAGGGATTAACTCAAAGCACTTGCTTTCACCGTAATTTTTTGTGACCCGGCCGTGAAAGTCTTTTGTAACCATACTGCTTTCCTCCTACCCACGCAAGAGTACTTATAACGCACGAATTGGATGTAACTATCACGCGATATAGGACAGTTGGTTATTTTGTTCTGTAAAGAAAACCTGTTCGATCGGTTCGCTGTATGTGCCACGCTTTTCTATCTGCTTCGCATAAGAAATGGACATAAAATAAAGCAGTTGAACAATAAATAACTTGTTAGATGTTCTGTCGTGTAGTGCGTAGTAGTGTGTGGCGCAACTCGTAAAAATACTCATTGATACTTCCACTAAAACGTCTAGTAGGATATACTTATTGAACCAATGGGGGAACAATAAAGCAGCCAGAATTATAACGATGATCGTAATGCACCAATAACTACTAGCCAAAACGCCCCTGTGGCAGCTAGTCACCATGCTGCTTTTAGCGAGGTGTAAAAATTTGATCATATTGCTTGATAAGGAATGGCAATAAAGGGGTAGAAAAGTCATGGTCTGCGATGTGTTGTTACTGTATATCACTAACCAAAGTTTAAAACTTTCGTTCAACTGAAAATAATACAGAAAATCTCCTTAGACAAGGGCTGGAGCGTATGTGTTTTACAGAAAGTTGTAACCTACGCACGTATCTTAGATTGAGTGAGTTTAGGCATCTCTCTCCAGGTACCGGAGCGCAGATGACGTAAAACAAGCAAAACAAAAGACAAAACAAGGAGACAAAATACAACGAAACTAATCCAAAAGGAATGAATGCTTTCTGGCACCAGCCGAGAGATCGAAGTTTCGAGGAACATACTGAAATATATAACTTGACAACTGAAACCTGATTTCGGTTCTTGGTTAGCACATTCACGAGGAATAATATTTTTTAATCTGTACATTTACAGGCGAATAGTCACTGTCTATCACTTTTTTACAAAAATTACCGAAACACAACAAGCTATTAGCATAGAAAAGGCGCTGAACTCTTTTTTTATCTTTCCATTAAAAATATTTGCACTCAGAAGTATATGCAAAAGTTACTGCATATATAAATACATAACGTACAGACTGTACTTAACTGTGTTTAAATAAGAGCTGAATTTGCTGTAAAGGTATACAATTTTGGCAAAATAATTTCGTTTCCAAACAGAACAGCTTAAAGAAGGGAAAAGAGAGATTTACATTTAGTAGTCTAGAGTTTTTGCCTAGTTCATAGCGCGCTCGATTTAGGAGTGAAAAGTTAAGATGAAATATTTTGGAAGTGTTTTTTTTTCCCTCAGCTTTATAAATTCCTGTTTGAGTATGCATTGTAATATATTTTTAAATGTGCGTCATCTTTTTTTGGCATGTTCATTTGCCCTGTACCGTGTGAAAGTTTATTTGTTTCTCGGCATTGAAGAAGCAAACCCGTAAGCTTCTCGGCAAATATATCTGCCACTTAAAATTGAAAGGTTTTTCTCGTCTACACAATGCGTAGATGCGGCTTAAGATCCAAGTTCTCTTGGCAAAATCAATACGTATTCCGGCAAATAGGTAAGAGCAGCCTTAATGAGTCGGTAGGTTTTCAATTTCTAGGCTGCGAGAATTAACGTAAATACGCGAGACTGTACTTCACGTGGCTAACGAAGCAAGCTTCGTTAATTCTTTTCACTATTCACGTGGTGCAGCCCACATCTTTCTGAGTTTCAAAGACCCCTAAGTCGCCCAAAAATTGTCATTTTCCCCAGATTTATCTTAAACCAGATAAAATGCGCAGCCAACTTGAAACTATTTCCTGGTGAGAGGCAGCAGGTTTGCCTGTGGACCGAATGTACCAAATTTTTCTGTAAGCTTTCGTTTGCGAACATGGAGGCCACTTCAGGGAGTATCAGATTTTACATGTAAGTTAGGTCATTTTGGCCTGTAAAGGATCAAACTTAACTTTCTCACTTTCTCGTCTCAGTAAGGTCTGAAACAGAAACAAAATACATTCAGAAATTTTTACTATTTGTTGACTATTTAAAATCGAGAGAAGTCGATTTTCCGACTGCTATAGTTAGCTTAATATTTGCAGATCTTGCTCCCAAGATTGCTGAACCTTTCTGACAAATATGGTTTGATTTTGAGCGTAGGATTACAAGAGTTACTTTCAGTAATACAATCTTGTAACTACGACATCCGCCCAATTATGGCAAACGATATCATTTAATTGTGTAAATTTTGACATAACTGAATAGATCCAGAAAAATACTTCTTTTCCAAGAAATTTGCGCTCCTACGGAAACCGCGGTCATTAGCTCTTCAACTTGACATGCTAAGGAAAATACTAATGTCAAAGACGGGTTTAACAAATACCTTCTTTACCATACAAATTTGTAAGGCTTTCAGCACAAGATTTGTTTTTGGCCTCAGTTAAAACGATATAAATAACTGTGAACATTTAGTATTGATAATTTTAGATAGTCTACCTTAACAAAAATGAGTTAGCCGCAATAGACTGTTTTGCGGTACTCGAAGCCAAATTTCTGTTATTTGACTTGCCATTCTGTTATTTCGCATAAAAACGCTCCAAAACTAGCAGGTACCTCGTAAATAATTCATCGGAAACACTAGGCTCGATGTTGAAAGCAAATCCTCAAAACAGCCACTCCACTATGCAGAAACACGTTCAGTTTTTTCCGTTTTTGATCAGTTAACGAATCGATAAGAACATGTCGCAAAACAGCCCGGAAGCTCTGGAAGCGCAGGCTAAGAAAGAAAGAGATGAAACGCAATTGCGTTTGTCGCTGTTCGTCTGTGCCGTTGTTGCAATTACATGGTTCCTGGGAGCTTATGGATTTTCCTTCGTATGGGCAGGGTTTATAATACCATTGATATTTACAGTATGGTATCGCAAAAATTGCCGCATTATAGACGATCGTGTCAGAGAAGCAGAAATAAAAGTACACCGAAGAAAGGCCTTACGGGACGAGGAGACAGCCGAATGGCTAAACTTTGTTTTGAACCGATGGTAACTATGAAACGATTGTTAGCAGGTTTTTGTAGCTGATGATATGGTATGATATTACGTTTGCTAATTAAGTTTTCCGAAGTTTAAAGACTGAGGTTTGCAGACAAAAATTAGAGAAGGGATTTAAATCAGCTACTGCATGACAATGTTTACGTCGCATCATTTTGGAGGTCGCTTTGTTATTTGGGTGGGTCAAACAGATATCTTTCATAGAGAAATCGCTCGATTGCCGAAAAAACCGTTAACCGGCAGCTTTCAAAAGTAAATTATTTATTTACTCTTTAAACCACTCGCATATCCTAGCAAAGCAAATTTAACGCTTACAAAAGTAAAACTCGATTGTTTTGCTTACATGGCTTTTTTTAGAACAAAGAATTGGCCATTTGCTACTAAACCACCCAAACTTCAGAATTATTTTTTGTTTTTATTCCACTGCACGATAATAAAATCAAAAGTTAATATCTTTTTGCAAAAGGTTAGATATAGTTAAAGCGTTTTTGCGTTTCAACACTAAAGCTTTCAAATACGCAACGCAGAATATTCGAAAGGTAATACCTCTGCATTATTAATAAACCAAATGACTTTTTGCCAAGTTAGACTGATGTTAACAGGTTCTTGCTCACGATGGAATTTCATTAGTCAATAATGAAAGTAATGAAGTTAAAATGCTCAAGCATAATATTCAGATTGATAGTTTTTATCTACAACATCTTAAGTAATTTTAAACATTGAATGCGAATCACTACAAAAAAAAATAGAGACTGATTCAACAAGCTGATGCGACCTTCTCGTGGGTAAACAATTGTTGAAAAGGTTTGCCACCACACTCTACACACTATTATTCTTGAGAGACTGGCGGAAGTTGGTAAAAAATCAACAGAAGGTTAAAAGCGAGCCGGACTTAAAGAAAACAGTTGCAGACGTTTTTAGCCAATAAGAACAAATTAGAAAAGAACTGAATGTAATATCTCAATTAAAGAAAGTAATCTTTCACATACTGATGGCCTGAAGATTCTTGTAAAAAGTTTCAAACAGTGAATTTCAAGCTTTGTTCGCAAATAGGTCATCTTAGATCATGCATATGAAGTACTTATCCAGATTAAATGTTCTCGTGTTGTTTCAAGGTGGAATTTCAGTGAAGTCTCCCTTTGCAACCTTGTACGCTCCAGTTTGAATCCTGTTTTGGAGTATAGCAAACCATCGTTTATAGGTGAGGCACAAGCACAATCAGGTATCTATCAACAAGTTTTGACTTAATTTCAATTCGATGAGGGTGATAGAAGTTACACATAGGCCAATATCTCGTAGTTACAAGGCTTCGGCAAATATCCTAAGTATAGTTTTCAGTGGGTAAAAAGGTAACAAGGGTCATTTTTTTTCTATTTAATTATCTCAGAATGGTAAAGTATGTGATCGGACTTGAGTAGAGGTGAGATCCAACGAAAGGAAATGATTCTACGCGCTATATGAGATTGAACGATCGAATAGAATCTGCGTAGAAGCAAAGTATTTAACAGATTTGGGGGAAAGTGGTGGGTTTCATTCAGGAGAGTTTTGAAATCTAAATATACCTTTCTTGGCATTGCAGATGATAGTATGCGTTGTTGTTGTATGGGGTGAGGTTTCCCTGATCCTTGTTTTAGCAGTTGAGAATTCGCTTATTTCACCATTAGAATTTCCAGAGTCCTGTGGTTTCAAGCACGAACTGAGAGGACTTATTCGAGTAAATGTTTTCCTGCAACAACTGTGTCTTGACTTTTTTCATCCTTGTTCAATTTTAATGTTCCTTCTCATTTCAGAGACTATGGAACTAACAGAGTTCAGTTTTGGAAAGAAGACACCGTGTCTGAAATATGTAAAAGTGTTTGAGAATATTGACGAGAACGACTCTCCGGATATCCCTGCCTCGGAATCAACAGCGTTCAACCCACCGAAAGACCTGGCAACAAGGCAGAGACATCTATTAGTTCTTGTTATGGATCTGTGCTTACACGCACCTGACACAAAAATCGCTATAAAAGTGAGATTGGGTGGAAAAATGTGAGTATAACCCGCCAGAATGAAATCAAAATGGACTCTAGCTAATCACAAAAAATCTTCATCCGCTGTCCCCTAGTCAGATTGGAATTTTTATTTTTTGTTGGGGTCGAGGGGGGAACCTTCGCGGTAATCGTCTTCAGGGATCCTGAACTGATAACACAGACTTTGTTCAGAAAGAAAAACTTATCCTATAGCCTATAGGATGGTGGGTCCCAAGCTGAAATGTGTGAGCCAAGTAATACTGAGTCGCAAGAGAAATTGCATTTAGTTAAAGATACGCTGTTTTATGGTCGAAATAACGAGAGGACGAGGGTCCGTATCTTGAACATTCCTACTCCTACATCAGTACCAGAAAATAATCTGGGACATTCGTCCAAGTGATGTAGGCTACATTTGAAACGATAGAAGTCCATTCATTGAAATGATGGCTCTACAGGCAACAACAGTAAATAGACCTTGTAAACATTGCTATGCGCTTATTAACCAATTTAAGACCCCAGCAAATGACAGTGGTAAAGAATTTCCTAGATGAATTCCATTCCAATAAAATTTTTTCCCTATATATGTTTTTTTTTGTCCCAGGGTTGGTGCAGATGTTGATGTCAGTATCGAGGACTTGTCGTTGTCTGGTCGTGTTCAGATTGTGTTTGAGATGGATCACCTTGTACCATTTCCACACATGAAAGCTGTCTCGGTGACTTTCCTTGAAAAGTAAGAAGAAAAGTCTTCACGGCCGTATCCAATTCATCTAAACTGCTTGATGTGAACTTTTGACAAGTGTTATGGTTGCTATACGGTCTCGCACATTTAATTTCCTGATCTTCATCTGTTTGCCTTTGTCTTCTGCACAAGAATCTGCCAGACCGAACGAGTAGATTGTTCCTGATGACAGGAGCAATATATTACGTTATATTGGAGAAGTACATGCACAAGCCAACAAACCATGTGATTTTCGTCTTCCTCACTAAAAGCTAAACGTACTTCTCTCTGCGATTTGTGTACCCAACATCTAAGAAATTATCTCCGATGTGCTAACAATTCGACAGTGGAAGCCGCCATTGTGGAAAACAATTCTGTAATCGCCTGGTGCCTGATTATTGCTAGTAAAATGATCAAAAGTAGACGGCCAGGCTGCGTGACTAGATCCAAAATGGCGGCCTCCACAGTCGAATTCTTTGCACGTTTGAAGACAGCTTTCCAAAAGGTAGCTATTGTTAACTCTTTGCACTCTCAAAATAAGATCATTGTCCGCCATTATCTCATAAATGCTCTTCAAAAGTTGAACGAAAAATGACATGGTTTCTGGAAATTGTCATTCTTTAACGACAAAGATGGATTGAAGTTCAAATGTATGAACTGATTACGTGAAGCTATTCGTTTTTACACTAAAAGGCTTACTTGTATTGAAGAGCGTTTCAATTTTTTTCATAGACCAGATGTTGACTTTGATGTTCGATTGATGCGCGCAGTACAAGTGATGGATATCCCCATGCTGAAAGATTTCATCAATGCCCTCGTTATGGACAGTTTGACTTACGGTAATATTCAATTGTCGCGGTCTCACTATTTGAATAAGCTAGTCTATCGAGAAAAAAAGTCGAGAAGGTCTGAAGTTTGAATCCTCTCTTGGCATTCAGATTTTTTTTGTTTGTTCTAAGCTCGTGAAAAAAGCATCTTTCTTTGCATGGAGGGATAACGTTCAAGCATAATTTAAATATTTTCCACGGAAGGGATTTATCTCTAAGTTAATTACTGCATATGAAAGTGGCTGAAAAGTTTTAGATGCAAACGAGCCTTTTTTAATTTCTCGGGCATTTTTACTGTTCTGTAGCACTGGTTGATCCTGGAAGAATCGAAGTTCCTCTTCATGGTGTTGATCCCGATGAACTCCTCAGCGCAGCCAAGAAGTCAACTTACGGTGAGGTCCCGCGGCAGTCAATAAGATGGCTGCCAGCGAAAGTTTTGATTTTGCGAAAGCAACGCCGCAGACGGTCCACCATGGTGTGACTTGAAATACTTCAATTTATGATATGCATATGATTCAAATTTTGCAAACATCGGAAATGGACACATTACAAAAACAAAACTGTAAAGTAATTTTCAAACTGACTTTTTTCCCCATGAAATAACGGTTTGTTGTACTTGAAGAAACCGGTTCAGTAGTTAGTTGGTTACTAATTAGGCCACTTTGTTTTAGCACCATTTTTCTGTTGGAAATTAGTGCTGTTTTTGTGATAATCTTTCAGCTGATGGACTATTAACAGTCACATTGAAGGGTGGAATGCCTCAAAAATATACAGGTAAATGATATCATGGAAGCTCTAAATTTATTTTTGTTACAGTGTGACAAAATGAAGTTTGGAGCCTCTTACCAATATGGACCCTTTCTAAAACATGACGATGGAAATGAATTCAATCGATCAAATTAATTTTAAATGCAATTACACAAAAAAAATGGATTTAAAAACTTGCAGAGAAAACACTGTCATGGTTTTAGTTTTCCTTTTTGGAACGCGCGGAAGACACAGAACAAGTGGAAGGAAATAAAAATCAGAAATAATCATGTGAACCTCAAGCAAACAATAATACAACAAAGTTTCTAAACTTAAACGTAAACAATCCGTCTCGTCGCTTGAAGAAGACAAACAGCAGTTTTAACGCATTTACGGCTGAAAAGTTGCGATCCACATTGCTAGTCACTGGTTACAAAGTTTCTATTTCTTTTCATGGGATAAGATAACCATGAATAACGATAAAAAGTTCTGGTTTTTTTGTTTTGTTTTGTCTTAATTGTATTTGTCACCCTTCGGTTTCCCCAGCACTTTTATTTTCTTCCTTTCTTTTCTCTTTTGCACTAAAACTTGATTATTTTTCCAGACGATCAGATTTGGACGTCACTTCAAGTTGGTAACCTTGATGAGAAAAATACTGAGAAGATTCAGGGTGGAACCACATTCGAAGAGTCAATATCCCTACTTATCTATGACCTTGCGAATGATAAGGTATTTGATAAACTGCAGACAGTTCATTCCCGTCTACAAACTGGCTTTTGGAATGTTGAGCTTCAAAACGTGATTTTTTTCCTTTACCTGGAAGAAAAATATCAAGAGTATTGGTTTTTGTCAGATCTTCTGAAGTTAAGTTCGATTAAAGTCTTACCTTCTCAGACTTTCATCTCTGAAGGATGGCCAAGTTTGTTTTTTGCTCACGCTCAAACGTCAGCACCAGGGGTTTCAATAACTTTTTCCGTGAGTAGCCGCCGATGCATGATCCTCGTAAAGCACTCTACTTTAAACAATAAATTCCTTTAAATAGACGTCAAATCGTTTTCCTATGGATATAAGACTTTTACTATTGTTCCTCGTTTTCTGTTAACAACAGCTTAATATTGAAGTACGCGGCAAGAGGACTTTTGGAACTAAATATTCGATTGCAAAATACAAGATGTACTTAGGCAGCCTCGGACTGGAAAAGAAGAAGAAAGTGTAAGTGTTTTTCTTAAAAAATTAGTATTAAAATGAGCTTTAACTGAATGCCCACTATTTTAAACAAAAACACAAAACTTTTAATGGCTGCTATTCATAAAGTTAAAAACAAAAAAGGCCTTCCTCTTTAAACATACCCTCACGAATTTGATCTCTTTGTGTAAAATTTAAGACCTGTGTATTTAAGAAAAGTTGTCAAACAGGTCATTACCTAAAATAGAATGAGGGACTGGCTGACGTGAGAATCCAAAACGATGAAAAAACAGGGCAACACGGAAACAGATCGATAGATAATGCATCTTATCGGCATCTTTAAAATTCTGCTGCTCTTCTTTTTCCCTTTACAGTGACACAACTTTGAGTAAGGAAGGAATAAAAGGATCCAAGTTGGAAGTCACTCTGGAGTACACTCAGTTGAAGCCTTATGAAGTCAGCAGTCGCACAGATGAACAGGAATTCCTTGAGAAATACCACAAACCTACTGAAGAAAGTCCTGGTAAAAACGGAGTTTTATAATGTCTTTTCTTGCTTAAAATTGATTCAAAGAGTGCTACTTCAGAGACTTCGCCCCTTCTCCTACTCCCCTCCCCCCCCCCTTCAAAAAAGAAAAACTTTTTATTCTGAATGGAATTTCTCGTAAATTATTTTACAAACAATCCCGATAGCAAAAATCCCTGGACGATTCTTGATCGACATTTTTTCACCCCCGCCACTTGTTACTTCTTTGAAATCCGACTCAAAGCACACCCCTTAGCAGATACCGATAACTTTCAGCCTTTTTGTTATTCTAATCTGTCAAATTAGTCACAGCCTATCGTTTCCTATGTGGGGCGTGTGGAATGCACCTTTACGCGTGTAATTCATTTAAAATGCTTTCGTGGCTTCGGCAGTTTAAGTTTAAGGTTGCATCCAATGCCAAACAACCGTATACCGGCCGAATAGTGCGCACTTTTGCTGAAGAAAAAATTGGAAAGAACCCCAAGTTACTTGAGGACTACAAAGCCTTCGTCGAGGACATCGTCGTAAAGAGATACATACGAAGACCCCCTCCTTATCAAAGGGAATCAGTCTGCGAAGTCAAGACGTGGTACATTCCCCACCGTGGGGTTTATCATCCACACAGGCCAGGTAAAATATGTGTGGTCTTTGACTGTGCAGCGAGGTATAGGGGAAAGTCGGTCAATGATCTGGTATTCAAAGGACCAGACATCACCAATTTTCTTTTGGAAGTCCTCTTACAAGATTTCGCTGGGAACATGTGGCAGTTATGGCGGACATCGAGTCAATGTTCCACCACGTTAGAGTGCCTGACCCTGACAGTCTTCATTTCTCCGGTTTCTGTGGTGGCCAAGTGGCAACTTATCATGCGCATTGGGAGAATATCAGATGATAGTTCATCTGTTTGGCGCTGTATCGTCTCCTGCCTGTTCAAATTTTGAACAGAGTATTCCTTAGAAAAAACGTGCTTCAGGAATCAAAAAGCTAGACCTTCAGAAGGATGAGTTATCAATTAATTGAACGCGCACTTGGTGTTCACCGGATGGTAGAGACCGGTAGAGACCGGCAGAGACCAACGGATTTGGTTTCGGAGGCCTCTGAAATCGGTTATACGTCGGTCTCGTAACTGCCTCTGGTTGATAACAACTACAGAATTTATTGTGCCATCCTCCAAGGGAAGTCACGTCTCGTTCCTCTTAAACAAGTCACTGTTCCTCGTTTGGAGCTTTCAGACGCAAATGTCCCGGTCCGGTTGGATAAAGTTCTGAAGAGAGCGCTTGAGCTGCCATTGACCGAGGAGTATTCTGCACGGATAGCGCGTCAGTGTCACATTACGTAAAAAACAAGAACAAGCCATTCCACATGTTTGCTGCCAATCGCATTGCAATAACACAAGACGGTACTGATCCAGACCAGTGGAGACATATGAATGGCGACCTCTCATGTTGGTTATTAGCAAAAGCTCTTCTTGCTAGCGAACGATGGACAAAAGGGCCGGAATTTCTCTGGAAGCCGAACAAGTTGTAGCCTTAGGGGCCTACGTCCTTAGGCAGCATTCCAGACACAGATCCAGAGATGAAGGTGGACGCGAGTGCCTGCATCGCATCGATGACTGAGCCCCCTTGGCCACTAATAGAGTACTTTAAACGTACGTCTTCCTGATAGCGTCTTAAGAAATCAGTTGCTTGACTCCTACGGTATTATGAGAATTTTCGAATGGCCAGCAAAGACAAAAAATCAGCAAAGACAGTCCCAGAAATCCACTTACAGCGTGGTACCGTTAATGAAATGGAGACTGCAGAGTTATAAATCTTGAAGTGTGTTTATTTGCATCATGTTCTGAGGAGTTCAACTCAATAACCAAGTCGGTCAGCGTAGTGCGTGTTGAGAAAGGTAGCTGTGTTTCGAAGTCTGGACCCAATTCTGGTCGATGGCCTGTTGCGTGTGGGCGGGAAGATTGAGCTTGGTGTCAGTACCATTTAATGCTAAGGATCAGATCATCCTGCCAAAAACCGATCATGTACCTAAGCTGAGGCTATTCGCGCGGTGCACATCGAAGTCGCGTTCAGTTTGGACACCGATTTCTTCCTGTTGGCGTTGAGAAGATTCATAGCAAGGAGAGGCCAGGTTAAGGATATCTATTCAGATAACGGTACCAACTTTGCAAGCGACGAGAAAGAGCTCCGCCAATCCACCAATGCTTGGAATCAGGCGAAAATTCACGAAGATTTGATGCAAAGAAATATCAAGTGATCCTTTAATCTGCCTTTCGGTTCCCATTACGGCGGCGTTTGGGAACGTTGCATTCGCCTAACTCGAAAGGTGCTTCACGCAATTCTCAAAGAGCAGATGATGAAGGCCTGGTTACCTTAATGTACGAGGTAGAGAGCATTATGAACAGCCGTCCAATCACAATAGTTTCAAGCGACCCGCGAGATCCGGAGCTCTTGACGCCTAATCATTTGTTGCCGTTACGCTCTGTGCCTACAATGCCCACGGGTTATTTAGAAAAGACGACTTACTGTCACGTCGCCGATGGAGAGTGCCCTGCAGATATCTTCTGGAAACGGTGGTCCAAGGAGTATCTCCTTTTGCTTATAAGCAAGCTGAGGGGCTTTCCACCGAGAAGAAACTTAGCCATTGGAGACGTCGTCTTGGTTTCTATGGAGAATTCGCACTGCAATTCGTGGCCCATGAAAGAGTTATTGACATTCTTCCTGACAAGAAAGGATTCGCTCTTCGTGCAATGGTGAACGTCAAGTCAGCTGTTCTTGAGAGACCGATTGGCAAGCTTTTTCTTCTTGTTAAAGGCGAAAAATCTAGAAGCACGGAACATTAAGGCGACCCAGTTCAAGTTTAACGTGCCATCACCAGATTACAGACATTAACTATCTTAAGGAGACGCTGCTTTTGAATGAACACATAGTTGAAACGGTTCGCGTTGTTACGTCTTATTTCTTCTTCCCTTTTTTTTTCATCAAGACAGTATTTTCAATTGTATACAGTCCTTAGATCTTGTATTGTATTATGAGTGTTTCGCCCTTTCGCACTTCGGGGCTGGTGTAAGATCGTTAGCGCCTATACATTTAGTTAGCCTTTGTTTCCTGGCTTGTGGAATGCGCTTATACACGTATAATTTATTCAAAATGCTTTCGCGGCTTCAGCAGTTTAAGTTTCGTAGTTTTGGCAGGACCGTTATTCAATTCGTTTTAGTTTACTTGGAAACACAACAGCAGTATACAGTAAAGTTTATGTAGCCATTTCCAGGGCCGTATCAAATGTAAGTGTCATTTTTTGGCGATCGTCTATTTAGGTTTTGTGTCGCTTTCGGCTTGGGTTTTCTTTACCGTAGCGTTGGTTCATATGTATATTTCTTTCAGTTTTAACCTCACGTTACGCTGAGGTATCACTCTACCGCAATTTAATAAAGATTAAATGCGTGTTCAAATGCCATTCCTGGTGTCGGCATCGAATCCGTTGTGTTGGTAGTTATAGTCACTGACATCAGTCCTCATCAGCTTTACACTCTTATGCGTCGTACCATACTGCTGGCGATCATTACCTGAGTATTCTAGACTTCGCTGGAAAGGAGAAATGCGGGCTGAATTTTTTCTGCAAAAAGGGCCTTTATCTAACCTCTTGCAGTATGGCAGTATCACACATCCCAATGAAACGTCCAGTGGGTTTGCTTCCTTGTATTGTTAATCTTTACATAATTTTACCGACAGTTTAATTTGCTTGTTTGCATGTTCCAGTGTCCGGTCTTCTTCTCGTGGTCGTTCATGGCGGTGAGAAGCTATTGTCGATGGATGATGACGGGTTCAGTGATCCCTATTGCATTATAACAGCTGATAGAGAAAAGGTGCGTTACATTATGAGCACAGAGTGCACTGATTATCTGTTTTAAAAACGCTTTGTGATGACAGTACATATCATTGTATTTTTCTAGATAAGAACCACTCCTCACGTCTCGGGATCTGTCAATCCTGTGTGGGAATCTGTGGTGGAATTCCCCGTCAAAGACTTTACAAAGGTGAGAAGAATGCCATTAGATATCTGACAGTGAATAATTAAGGTTACAAAAGGTATTTTCATTCCACCTCTATGGGATGTAATGGCATCGAGCCCGGGTTGTTCGTTGACAGCACCTTAACAGCTTGCTGGTGCCCACAATACTCCTGAGCAGAGGGAGACGCTGGGAGAGGTAGTGTCCTAAATCACATCACACGGTCAGGCTCGTTTCCAGTCACCTCGATCCTACTTTCTGCCCTGTAACAATGGGCTACCGCCTACTCTAAAGCAACGAAAAAGAACCAAGTGAGAATCAAGTGGGAATCAAGTGAAACAAGTTCAGCTATAAACATAAACCGTTTTTTATTTTTCCCCAGACCAATGTTTCCTTTCTGGTGTATGACCGTGACGTGAACTGGCAGGGTCAATCCGATGACTTTATGGGATCCTGTAACCTGCAAATGACTTTGGTATGTTATATTTTGCCTGTGCTTGGTTTAAGGAGTCTTTCTAACAAAGCGTAAATAAAAAAAATTACTCCTTTAACTAGACCACGGGGAGAAAAAAGAATACTTCATTATGCGCCAATTGACTTTTAAATGAATGGCTAATTAAACCGGTAAGCTAACTAAAAGTAATATAAACTAACACCGGAAATGCTCCTTTTACGTTGCAGGATGAGCCTGCAATCATCAAACGAAAGTTAGAGTTAAAGTATAAAGTGTTTGGAAAGAAGAGATCAGATGACTCTATCATGAAGGCAGGCTCACTTACAGTTTCAGCGGTGTTTCAACCCATCGAGTCGGTCACCAAATCAGGTAAACGAGTTATATAGTTTGACTGCTCTTTCGATATTTCAACTATATTTGTTTGGAGTTCATTCCTTAAAATTTACACTTGCATTTGTGATGATTACACAATTTGTACTAAAAGAGTGTGAAGTTAGTTCGTAATAAACTTTTGCTCGGTTAACCCTGGTGACTTCTATCATGTGGCGTTACCTTTTCTTTCCCGTAATCACAAGAGATTGTAAGGTCCCAAAAGACTGAGGTGAATCCAAGAATTTCAGATATGGGCTTCACAATAACATTTTCCTTTTATTTTGTGATAAACAACAACAACAACGACAGAAAACACCTCAGTGGCATAGACAAATCCTGACCACAGAAGCTCCATCTTCAAAACTACTTCATCAAATTTCATTAACTTTATTATTTTTCGTGTTCTCCAGAGAAAGAACCTGTAGCAGGTGGCTTAGTGGAGGGTGAAGATATCGATGATATAAATGTAAGTTTGGCGGCTTTTAAGTTCACGAGATAGTCATAAAATAATGACATGCAGCCCTGACTTTCTTCATAGACAATCTTTGTAAAAGGATATTTATATTTATTAGGTAAATAGTTAGAAAGTACTTTAAAAATCTTAGAGACCATGTGTCAGAGGTGAATTTAACAGCTCTCGTTTGCTTTAAATGTAGATATGCATGTTATCAATACTTCTTTTTTTTCACAGGAACACGCCAAAAAACACACCATGAAGAGCAGTATGAAGATCAAAAGACAAGTTGAGGAAATGATGTTGATCAAAGGTAGCTTAAAAAGATTATTGAATTTAAAGGAGAAGCATTCCCTAGAGAAAGACAATTCCTTAGTCGCCACCATGAACACACCTCAATAACCATGCTGCACACGTATGATATCCCAAACCTAGCCTGTATTGATGGGGACTGTAGCCACATATCTAATTTATTTTAACCATCAGAAGCGAACGAATCGATACATAACTGAGCGAAAAGAAGTGAAGCAGTGAAAGATGATTGTCACTGAAAGAAGCTGCTAACGAAGTAAAAAATTCTAAAATATGCAAAATAAAATCTAACATATGAAACAAAATAAGCACTCAGTATTAAACTAATTGACAAAAAGCTACCGGAACGCTGAAACTAAACTAACCCAAAACCCGAAAAGCACAAAAAAAGAAATTTACATAATCCTGGCAGTTTTAATACAGATTTTTCTCCTTTCTGTTTCTCAGAGCTTGGAGTTCTAGTGATAACACTTCTCCAGGGTAAAGAAATGGTTGCCATGGACAGTAATGGCCTTAGTGATCCGTTCTGTGTGGTGCGCGTTAACAATGCGAAGAAGTTCAAAACCAACGTGGCGTATGAAACTCTGTCCCCGGTGTGGAACGAATCCGTCTCCATAGCCATGCCACAAGAAGGAGACAAGATTTCTTTCGTAAGTTCATCTCTTTACATTGGCGATGGTTGCAAAGAAGTTTCTTCAACATGACTTTTGCGAGGTCTCAGTTATCAAAGTAAGATGGAATGTTTAGACATAGGGTTCTGTTTACAGTGCTTGGGAAGTTGCAACTGATAGAAAAGAAGACAGGCAAACAGAAGGATTGGGCTGCAACGAGCAAGGGAAAGAGGTTATTGGGGGCTTTGCTATACATTGTGAAGATGTAGAGAGATTCCAAGAGCTTTCTTCTTGAATTTTTTTTCAGGATGTCTTTGACAAAGATGTTTTTCAGAATGACTTCATGGGATCAGTTCCATTGACTGTCGATGACGTAAAAGAAGCTGCTAAGGTTCATTTCTTTCTTCAATTCATCCTTTTTTCTAAATACTTAAAAAAAAAGAAAAAAATCAGGAATTGATTCAATTTAAACTGAAACGAAAAAGTAGACTCCCTTAGCTTATTTGCTTGATTGGTCTCAAAATTCTCGCTCTATATTTTCCACGCTTCTCGCCCAATCAGCTGTTCTCTTTTCTGGCATTTCTCTATCCCATGATATTTGTAATTTATAATTCTCATCATTTGATAGAAAAGAGAACCTCAGTGGTTTAAGCTTCAAGAGGCTGACTCAGGAGAAATTCAACTTCAATTCAAAATTTCTCGGCCGGGCGAGCAGGTAATTTTTATAGTTCTTTAAAAAAAAATTGTTGCTAGAAATGTGAAGAGTTTACGCTTTCTTTTCCTTTTTTTTTTTTCTTTTTTTTTCAACTAATGTGTTTGATCTAATTAGGAAGAGGCTGAGAAAGCGGGGGAAATGCCGTCACAGCCGGGAGAAAGCGGAAATGACTCGGGCATCAGTGATACTGGGGAACAGCCTGAGGCACCGAAAGACGTATTTGATCTTACACTGAACAAGATGGACGGTACTGGGTTGATTCTGACTTTTGCTGCCGTTAGATAATATTTGATAAATAGAAAAAAAGATTTGTTTCCTAAAACATAGGATGTTTTAACATTGCTCCTTCAAGCAGTGTGCTCAACGTTAGACAAACACGAATTCAGTCTATGGCTTGACTCAATAGCAACTTCTCTATTACCCAGGTCCATGGTAAAATATCAAACCAGCCAAAAAATTCGCACTGTTTCATTTTATTCATTTTATGTGTTATTTCTTGCAGAGTACGTAGAAAGTCGGATTCCACCTTTGTTTTATAGCGTGTCAGGAGAAATCATTCAAGCTTCAGAAATAACAGGTAATGAGCATAGCGTAATGAACTGGCCTTGACCGAAGGAGACCAAAAGTGATCATGCTGCGATGAGTTTCAGTTTTAATCCTGACTGATTGAAAAAGTATCACGAGATTTATAGAACATTCAGATAGCCCAGCTAACAATTAAAGCAGTCCGCAATCCCGGATTATTTCGACACTGTCTCTAGGGCCACTTTCAAGGCTATTTTAGCACATTTCAAACAATAAAAAAGAAAAGATTCCACAGAAATTACATTTTGTTCAAAAACTCCTACCTCTTTGGAGTGGATAACAAGTGTCAAAGAAAGTTTTGGTGGTAAGCAAGAGAATTGTTGCATTTTCACGGGAGAGCGACTCCGTGTGTAACTTTTTTTACATTTTGCGTACCTTTGCTAGGTTGGGGTACATTCCAGATTAGAGCACGGGTTGAGATGTGAGTACGCGACATCAGTGTGTTATAATGTGTAATGGCGAAACATTAACCTACAAAGAGACTTTACTCAGCTGAAATAGTGATTCAGAAAGGGAAACGTTGCCTGGTTAATACCCACTGAGGGATCAAACAATACGAATTCTGGGATTCCTAACACTAGCATCAAAGAAACTATATAGAAATCATTTGGAAGAATTTTTCTTTCAAGTTTGAGTGGAAAGTCTTACCATTCTTGATTGTAAAGTGCAGGTAAGCTGTGGTAAGCCATGAGCGTTCTTCATTAAAACTGCGCAGTCAAGATGAATTCCAGCTTCGTCAGGAAGTTCTTTCTCTCCTTAAACACATCCAAGATCTGTATCCCAGATTACAGTTCAACGCCAACCTAGCCCATAACTTATTTTAAAACAAATTGCATTTTTTTATCTTCTCTCAGTCCTCGTCATGGCCGTAAAAGCAGTGTCAAGTATGAATACATTTCAATGTGCACCACTCCCCAACTTGCTCCTGAGAGTGGAATGGCAAAATGGAATTATATCTTCCAAGTAAGACTAACTTAAGATTGTCTCTTAATTCGAGGAACCCTCAACACATCGAGGCACATCGGCCAAACCTTGCGCTCGGGCAAATGGCTCCTTTTGGTCGGCGGGTAGCAATTACTTGCCCAAAATTTCAAAGGGAAATACAAGGAATAAGCGGTGCCTCCCAAAATTTAGGGGAAAAACTCAAAGAATAGAAAGGATTGACAAGGCTTATCCGCAATCACTCGTTTCAAAAGTGCTATTGTTGAGAGAAAATATTTCCCTTCTGTATTGATTAGCTAGATTGTGCCTTGCCAACTAATGCGCCTTACTTTTAAGGCTCCTTTAAACTGCTCAAAGTTTCAGTCGAATTTTTTCCTAGGAGCGCACGGACGGGAGAAGAAGTTTCGTACAGAATGAAACACGTCATGTCCTACGTTTTTTATTCATATCAGGGAAGGAGCGGAAAAATTTCTTGTCGGATTAAACAATCCAATTGGGAAAATTTGGACAGATCAGTCTGGATTTGCTTCATATCAAGGTAGTTCCCTTATATAACATTTTTCTAATATAGACCGCGGGAGGAACAGCCATATCAAATGAAGCAGGATTGGTTTTTGAACTGAGAGACGCCAAGAAAAAAGTGGAGGGGAAAGCTAGGATCTCGATGCAGGACTTCTTCAAAGGTAATCACATGTTCAATCCAATAATCTTTTTTTGCTTTGCGTTGTGTTGGCAAGCTTCTACTTTTTATAATTTGTTTGTTTTCTTGAATTGTTGGTTTGTAAAATATGCTCAATATGTTATTCGGTTATCTGTTGATGTACAGAGGTTTAGCCCTTTAACCCCTAAGAGTGATTACTAACTATTTTCCCTATCAGTATCACCCCTAAAATAAACATTGAGGTCATGAGAATAAAGGAAATGATCACCAAATAAAGACGCTTCCGATTGTTAAACAAATTCTCTTTGTCAGTACCATAGGAAATGTATAGAGAGCAGTATGGAGAAAATGTATACTGATGCTAGGGTGTAAAGGATTAAAGAACTACGTGTATGAGTATTTTCAATTAAAGGGAGCTTAAGACAGCATACACCATGAATATCCAGGGATACTGAACCAGATGCTTTTTTAAAAAGTAATTAATTATCTGGTCTATGATTATGTAGTCTAAACGGTTTCCCTTTCTTCTCTTAACGGCAATCTGTTGAAAGTAATTTCGCGAAAAGACACTTTAAAAGGCCTAAGAAGGCAAAAAAATACCACTCAATGAAGATTTCATTTTACCTTTTTAAGATAATCAGACCGCGATGTGATTCAGATATGCAATTTTCAGGGCCGGGTTGTTCAAAGCTGGGTTAAGTTAACCCAGGATTAGTGTGAAATTTGATTCATTTTCTTTCTTTTTGTCCACAATTTGATGATTAGATGATCTAAAAAGAACAAGGAAAATGATCCCATAAAAGGCTCTTGGGTAAAGAAATGAAAAAACATGAATTAAAAATTTAACCCCGGGTTGGTGCTAATCGGCCTTTGAACAACTGGGCCCAGAGCTTTATTCATATCCCTCAGAGATTCTGTTTGTATCATGTCAGCAATTATCAACCACAGACACATATGTGGTCTGCCTGTGTATAGACAAGGGAAAAATAATGGGACCATTATCTTCTCTCGCTGTGGAGTATGTTAGCTTCTTCTAGTGGCCGGAAGACTTTCAAAAAAAAAGAACAATATGGCAATGTTTCAGACACCTAACCGGAAGAAACTTATCTATAATTTTCTCCTCACTAGAAGGAAATAAGCTTTAATTAAGTGCGGCTGCATTTATGATTGTTCTCTTTCACCAGATTTATTTGTCAAGAGGGAAAGATCAAACACTGGCAGCGGATCTGAAGGTGATGATATATAAGCCACTCTAATAAAGTGCGGTACCACCGCCAGTATTTTTCTTCTTCCACTCATCGACGCCTCAGCACCTTCTTTCCATGCCCGTTTCAGGTCCATTTATGAGATGGGTTAGATAGTACATTTGTATTTTTAGTCACAATCGCCAATTGTTATCAATTGTTGGAGTAGCCTGCAATTATCGGAAAGACTATCGTTTCTAAACAACATTTCAAACTAATTTCTTTTAATTTAGAGGAAGGTGATTGATCAGTGCACATTCCAAAAACTCAATTACGAACAAGCGTTTCAGCGACCACAAATGAAAGGAAAGAATTTATAAAATCTGCGTTTTCCAAGAGGCTGTCTACCGCTTCTGCCAATGTAGCACTGGCTTAAGCGAAAAAAAAAGCTGGAGGCCGTCATTTTCATCTCTTGCTCCCCGGGGTATTTATTCGTCTCAGACAATCGAGAACCCGGAACAGACAAACTCATAAAATGTTACCTCCGGCTTGAGTTCTGTTTTCGCATGCTTGACCTCAAAAAGAAAAAAACACTTTAAAAAGATTTTCAATAAAAACTGGTGTCTCGACATAGGCCGCAAGTCTAATACCGTGACTCATTCCTCTCTGTAAGATCTCCAGCAACCTTATCATTCCTTCAAAATGACCGTTGAAAACTCAAGACTGACTCGTCTTTTAACGCCATTTGTAATTTGTTATCGTTTTGGCTCATGCTGAGAATGCGAAGATTAATTCTATAGTGGTCGGAAAACGCAATCATGAAATTTTTTTATCATTTTAATGACTTGTCATATAACTGTGCAGAGTCCTGACTTATAGCTTCTAATTACTTTCCAGGAAAATATTCAGAAACCAAATGGCTCAATCTTGAAAACGGTACGTTGAATTTTTGTAGTTCGGAACCCTAATTAACCGGTCGTCGATAAAACAGAACCATGTTTTCATTACCTACTTAAATACGTAACTTCTTGTGGGTCACCACTAAAAATGTAAAGTTAATCAAGCGAAACTGCAAACGTACATTAACCAAAGAAAGGAGGGGGGAGGGAAGGCGAAACTGCATACAACCTGCATGAAAGGCTTTCCGCTATTTGAAAATTTCCTGCAGATGCTCCGAAGTAATAATCTATCTGCGAATGTTTTGGGTCGAACATTGGTATAGGGTACTAAAGCAGCTTTTAGCAAATACCATAACAGTTTTCATTTCCACCCCCCCCCCCCCCCCTCTCGTCTCTCGAGCTCCATGGTTATTGCGTTCTTTTCGTTAAAGACAATATCGTCCATAAATACCCGGCGACATGTCTTCACCTCAAATGTCTGTTTGGAATTACTGGCCTGGATGTTCGCGCGTGTGTATGTTATTGCCACGCGCGTCGCGTGGGGCGCACGCCGGATAAAGTCATTATTGAAAGGAAATTAAGATAAGCGTATTACTAATAAGCAGATAACTGGAGTAATTGGCTTAACTTGTTTGGCCTGGTTGTTTTTTAAGCGCTTGAGCGGATGTGATTCAACTTTGTGTGGGGCATCGATGGCATACCAAAGGGAACCGAGAACCTTCAGTTTCCAACCTGTTGTGAAAAATTTCGATCGTAATTATTACAAGAGTGAAGATAGTCATCTGTTTTGACCCTCTACAAGACTCTTAGGATTTATGATGTACAGATAGTCATAGCAGTTTTTTTTAACTGATACACAAATAACACTGATAAGCTTTATGTGTCTAAATACTGGTCTAAAGTTTCCGTGCAGCTTTCAGTAATTCTATATCTAAGTTCTCACTTCAATACTAAGGGATTTATTAGCGTTAAGCTGTCTCGAAAATGATAAATTTGCAGACATGGTATCTTGTAGCGGCTCAAATATCAGTTGAATTCGATCTCTTTTTCATTCTTGTGCTCTCTTTTCCTCGGAAAGTAAAGGAAAGAATGTGAAGAGTGATTCTGAATGCCATTATCGACGGATGCTTTATTGTCACAAGAAGTGGAGAAAGATTATTGTCAATCGCCGTAGCATGCTGAGAATCGTAATTTAACCACCATGTTGATGGACGGACATTTCTCAGTTTAACAACCTTTCGTCCTGTGTAGGATTTGAAAAAAACTAAATTACGTATAACCCAATAACATGTTAGGTTTTTTTTAGCTTGGGAACGGTGTTTTGAAATTCTTCCTTAAAAATCAGCAATTTCCGAAAAACTCAAACTGAGAACCCTTCACTACGGAAATGACTACAAACAGATGTTTCTTGTTATGTATTGTGCAGACATCTCACGGTACGCTGAAAGTGTTGTTAACTCGAAGTTCTATTTCTCATAGACGGAGTGCCCGTTGGTCGTCTTCAAGTAATGATGTCATACTCAGACACTCCAGATGCACCTGTAGCCCCGACTACGCTCAAGAAACGCTCCATATTGAAAAGATTTTCTTCAAATTCAAATCTTTAGCTCCGTCTGCAAAATATATGTGGGGTAAAGACTGTTATAATATTATGCGCTGTGCACGTGGAATGAAAGCAATGGTCAAAGGAACTCAAGTTTGAGACAAATAAAAAGAGCACAGTTTGATTGAGAGTTGTAAAATTTGTTGTCAATTTTTACAATGAAAAATATTCCGAGTGGCCACTAAGAACTAAAATTAAAACCATGGAAAGAGGGGGAAAGTCTGGTTGCATTAATTTGTTTGAAGGACGGTTTGGTTTGAAGGAGTTTTATTGACCAATCACAGAGTGAAGTGAATTTATGCCAATGCAATCCCGGATTACCATGAACACTCATTTGATGATAGAACAAATTTTCAACTGAGTGTAGAAAGTAATCTCGGATTGTTTTTGTTTGCCTTATTTCGCCCTGTGATTTGTCAAAAAAACCTCGCACCACCCTCTCGACCAATCAAATGCAACCCTAAAACAAGTCACGACTCGGTCGCTCACGTTTTCCTGCGCTTTAGGCAGTTTGGCAGTCATGATCCTCTTTGGTTCATTTCCTTAATTCTGATTGGCTGTTGTGACTACGTTGGTTTTGTTTTTACGACTCTCAATCGAAAAGCGCTTCATGATACAAATCATACACCGAGTGCACAAGGCGGGTCATTAGTTGTACACTGGGGAAACGCAAATTTTTCCAAGTGTTTAATATTTTCTTATTAAAGGGGATTCAAAGTAGAATTTGTTTTATATATTGAGCTATATAGACACACGTATTTTATAGACAAAAAGCAACTCTAGTGCAAAAACGTGACATCCAAGCCTCTTGAAAACGCGTAGATAGCGATTCATAATTTTTGCAATATGTTTAATCGAAGTTTGAAAATATGCAAAAAGCCTGCCATTTTGATACCGCCGAAAGATATCATTGAGAAAATCATAAATCGTGATATGACTATAATTGTTTGATATCAGGTCTTATAATTACCGCAGGGACACCGAGCAAATTCAGAATGGTACTGTATGGTTATGTTCATATCTTTCGTTATGATAAGCGATCTAGAATGATTCTGATGTTTATTCATCTTTATTGTGAATAATTAATTTAGGAGATTCTTTAACATAGTTGTATAGGGTATAACCCAACAATATGGAGGTGCTTTGGAATTCGAGTGAGGGTTTTTATTCTTAATATCTTTCTTTGCCTTAAGATCTAATAGGCAGAACAATAGCCAAAAAATGATGTTAAATTCTCATTAAGAACTCATACCTGCTCCCACACGTTATGCGCATGCCGAAGTCTAGGAGAGGAGCCTTAAGAGACCGTGAACACATCCAGCCATGCGTAAAATTCTCCCTAAAATGAACATTCAATTTTTCCACCTCTTCCCTAGTGTTGCCTTCCTGACTGCCTAACGTCCCTAAAATTATTCTCTATAAGTAGTTACCAATTGCCTTTATTTCGCTAACTGCTCTAATTGAGTCGTGTCGAAGAAAACATACCATAGTGGAAAACTACTCCTGTTCAGCCCCACTCTTTAACATCAGCCACAGGGAAGTTCTCTTCAACCCAGCTTCCCACGCGCTGTAGAGTAACCTTATCAGAAAATGATAACGTTCCGAAACTTAAAGGGCCGCTTATTTAAACGAGATCGAACCCAAACCGCGGTTATACGCAAGAAGTGGGCCTCGGTGATTCTCCATAAGAGGGTTGATTTCATTTAAACAGATGTCCGTCTACTTTAAGGTTTCGGCCTGTTGACACTGTTCACAAAAAATTGATTCTTAGATAAAAGGTTCGGCTAAATTGAAGATGGCTTAGAACGCGGTTTTGTTACACGACGACTAAACTTTGTTTAAATAACCGGCCCAAATTATTGGAAGAGTAATTGAGATGCACAAGGGTTATACCTCATTTGAAAGATAACAAAAACAGAGGCGGTGATTATCCATGTTTTGTTTATTCATTCATTTATTTATTGATGTATTCATTTTTTCTGAAGCATTTAACCAAGCCGAAATTCAGTTTCTCGTAATTTTATTGGATGATTACGTGCTCATAGCCAGCCCAGTCAGTTAAGCGATAGGGGAAACACGGAGTGGGATTATTCAGCGTTAACGAATCTGGTTGCGTATTTTCAATTTGCAAGGGCCTTGGAACAAAAGTTTATATGATACTTTCATTGAGAATCTATGCTAAAAAATGTTAAGGTCATTGGTCTCTTATCAGTGGAAAATACTTCTCTAATCACGCCCGAGAATCATACCTTTTTCAGCTCCGGAAAACTGATTTTATCTCGTCACAGGTTAGAAAGTATTTTGAGAATGTCGTCTGCTGAAATGTTAAAGGTCTTGAAATCGATCCGTGTCAAACAATTATGGTAACTAATACCACTTGAAACATTTGTAAAAGAAACCCGTGTCAGGATAACATCTTGTGATCTGTAAATGTTGCAACATTTCAACTTAACTGCACTCTAAATAGCTCGTTAGCACTCTAATTAAGGCTTTCTGAGTTTGTGGTAACGATCATTTGATTTGAATGGACTCCACGAATACCATATGATAGGAATAACAGATTTCTTTATTTAGCACTTCGCTTGTTTGAAGCTTAACGCTAAGTAATAAGCGCCGGACAGTCTTGTCAACGACTGGGTATCGCTGAAAGAGGAATTTATTCATATTTGATCGCTAGAACCGATGCTATAGCCATCATTGAACTATTTTTGAATTTGACTGTTATAAAATTGTCTTCATTCGGTACCCATATACACTGAGTGGCCGCGTGGATACCGTGTTCACGAAGCGCGCCAATGTAAACCACACAAGCGATCTTACTCTCGCAATCCTTCATTTTGTGAACGCAGGTTTTAATGTTTTGGCTCAGTTCCAGACACCATTGTTGGCAAGATCGACTACAAAACTGCTTGTCGTGTAGAAACGCTTGTAATTCCTCCCGAACACATTCTTGTATCATGTAGTTTTCGTTCTTCGGCTTGATCAGCCGCGCGCGGCACAATTTTTGTGGCAAAGCGTCCAAGTTCTGCGAATCATCCTCTGGCAAAGGAACGTAAAATATGTCCGGGTTGTGAAACTTGTGCAATTTAAGTACCGGGCGCGATGGTTTAAAAATTACTGATCCGGAACTCTCTTTCCGCACATTTTTAAATTGAGCGGATCCCTCGCGCGTTCCACGAGGCGATGGCAATTTCCCTTCGTGATCTACGGAGGCCACTTTGTTGTTTTCATGGGATGGACTATCAACCTTTTCCTCGCCAGCGGCCCCTGGTTTTGAACTTGTTTTAATTGCGACTCGTGGATCGTCCATTCGCAAAGAATGAATAAATTTTTCGTCTAATTCATCGAATATATTCCGTCTAGTTGGCTCTGGGGTGCGAGGCGTGGAATTTTCTACAGCTGGTGATCCCACTTCCAACACATGAGCAGGCAGTGAAATCCTTCTAATTTTTCGCGTTTCTTTGACGGGTTTTAATTCCGATAAGCTGTGTTGATGTCCTCTGTCTTTCGATGAGCCCTTGTGAAAAATGTGGAATTTATCACCGTCGCCATAATGGGCAAAACCGTTTCCGCTTGGACCGAGAGTTTTGGGTGCCGAGTTAATCCGTAAAATTCTGTGTTTTCCACTCGGGCCTGTTATTCTTCGTATTCGAGATGAGTTATGCGAAGATTTTCTGCTGGGCTTGAGAAGCCACTGAGGAAGAGAAATCCGTTTAAATCGCCTCGTTTTATGTTCTGTACTGCTGGTAATAGCAACAGTTTTTTTGCCATTAGTTTCCTCAGGTAAGGGTGAACTTGTCGCGCCATTGTTAGCTTCCACAACAACAGTCGGATCACCACAGCTTTTATATCGTATATTCTCTACAGTTCCCAAGTCTTCTTTTAAACCACACGAGGCCACGGTTACAACCTGCGATTTAAATACTTCTACTTCATAGTATTCACTGTCGTTGTTCTCGGCCAGCGTGGATGAGGAATCTTCTTCGTTGCAAGCGGATGACATTTCTGTTGCGTGGGGCGTGTATTGGGTTAGTAAGAATACGCGACTCATGTCTTGGATTTCGTCGTTTCTGAATATGTTATCACAGGCGCGCTTGGATCCGCTTATCTAACCACGAGTGTATTTATCGCTCTAGTACGGCGGGCTGCATTCTTAAACAGCTCCAAGCCATTTCCGAGGCAATAAACCATTAAACTCATGCAAGTTCAAGATGAAAGACATTTCCAAGGGTCATTTTCAGTTTTCATCTCGCTCAGTGCAGTTGGTTTTAATAAACAACAAAGATGTGTGTGGCGCTAGTCACAAGCTTGCTATTTAAAGATCATCGTGGGCTCTCAGAGGAAATATATTACGTAATTGACACCCAAATGACGCTTGACCCAATGACCTGGGATTTTTATGGCCCTAGTACAAGTCATATCGATTTTCAACCAAAACAAAAGTCTCTCAAGGCGATTAGGGAAATGATTGTCGTGTTTGATGTTCGTGACTCATTCTGTACCAGCGCGCACCGTTATGAGTCATTTCGCGATCGTAACAGGTGACCCTCCACCACCACGCATGCAGTTCATGACATTTGCACATTTGTAGAAAATGAACTTATTCGGTTGTACGTACAATACAAAAATTGCCAACGCGAACAGAAAATAAACAAAAAGAAAAACACATTAAATCAAGCCGATTTACTTTGGCTGAGTGGGTCGCCGACGTAATCTGCCGGCCCCAGACGGACCCATGGCGGCGCTTTCTGTTCTAGTCTGGGTAGGATGTTCAAACCAAGATCACACAGTTTGACAATTTTAACAAGGGGCATTCTTAACGATGACTTGAACTTGCGCGAACACTACAAACAAGGGGAGAGGAATGCACCTGAAGTTGGTATGCAGCTTTTCTACAGTTATCTTTTGACCGCTATAGCAAAGCACGCGCATTGAGGAATTCCGTTTGATGCAGTATGCTTCACATCCATTCTTAGGATGTCACGGAGCGTTGGAGACATCCTAAAATTACTGCTAAAAAGGAAACTACGTATTATGTAGAGAGTAAAATTAAGTTAAGGGTTAAGGTCTTGGCCTTTGGTTGGATTCTTTCAGGTGAGTAACAAGGTTATTGGCACTTGTTCGAGGTCAATTGAGCAAAGTCTATGACAAATGGGAACAAGATAGGTCAAGATGATGTCACATACCGAGAATTCAGAAAGTAGCTTTATAATCAATGCCGACATTTTAGATCAACTGAGTGTTGAAAGTAATACAACATTGTACCACTATAGTTTTGTGATTACATCAGTCTGCTATTGGTCTAGAAATTCCCGCCACTCTCTCAACTAACCAGACGCATGTCCACCACACAAGCAATGTGCGTACCTTTTGATACCCACTTTCGGGAAAATGGCGAGACGGTATATCCCGAGGGTTTTATTTTCGCGATCGCAATAGGCAAATATGGAAGAAAAAAAAAACAAACAAACCAACAAACAAAAAAAAACATTAAATTTCGCGACTGCAGCGTTCTCAATTTCATTTTAGTTTTCAAAGTGACAACTTTTGACGAGTGTACGAAAGTTATCCTAAAGAATTGGTGTGCATCAGATGAAGGTGATAGCTAGATTCACGTCTCCATGTGCGAAATCTTCGAAAATTTACGTCATTTGACAACAAAAGATTCAAAATAGAACTTACCAGTGAGACCACTTAATAATTTGTGTGTTTGTCAATCATATCCTGTATGTGATGTTTTTATTACATGTTGATCATTTTTTGCTGTGATTTGAATTTGATATAGGGATTTAAATTCGCCAGGAATCTCAAATTTTCGATTTTTTTACAAATTAGACCCGCGAAATTAAACGTTTTAGGTTTTCATTACATTTCTACCTGTACGGATGGATAATGCGCCTGTCTACAGTAGTTGTGGTCCTGTTTTTGGTCTTTAAGCTCTGAGCTAAACAGGCCTGTGAAATCATTTCGCTGGGTCCTCTTTCTTTGTCACTAAGCTATAAAACCGTAAGATAAAATACACTCTTCAATAAAGAAAGCAATATCCAAAGAGAGAGGGGGGGGGGGGGGGAGAAAGAGGGGGAGAGAGAGAGAGAGAGGTAAAAGTTAAGTGGGAATTGAGTAAGCTGCAGTGAGTACAGAATAATCTTGAATCAGTGTCAACTTAGATTCCTAACTGACCCGCTGATGGCAAAGGAGCTGGAGATAACGTCTATCATATGTTTTTTATCAGCCTTGATTGCGGCCTGTTCCAGGCGTTTAGTTATTGAAACGAAGCGCGATAGTAAACGGCGTGATAGTAGCGAAGGAGTGAAAAAACGAGGGAAGTTTGGGTCGAGTCGCGTAATGTTCTTCACCCGAGCCGACTCGACCCAACCTTCCTCACTTTTTCACTTCTCCGCTGCTTTCTCACCGTCTACAATTTCGTTCCGTTTTACGAACTGAACGCCTGCAACAGGCTACCCTCTTTGGTTTTTTTTTTCTTTTTTGACGGAAGGTTATTTTCATATAGAATACTTTGTAGTAATTCATGATTTATACTTTCAAGCGCTTCTTTGCTGGACTTCTGCATATTGGAATACCTCTTTCTGTGAGAGTACTGCGCATTAGAGATTGATGGACTTGTACTCAATCTTCACATCACCCTCGCTTCTGACCCCACATCCTTCCTTCGCTATGTCCACACAATCAATATCACTTTTGAGAAACTCACCAGTATGGAACTTGCTGCTCATGTATTTTTTTTGATAAAATAGGGCGAGCGGTTTCGAAAATACGATGGTCCGTTGTCGTTAAATTTCCAGTTTCGACTGCTTAGCTTGAAGTTGGTGTCCAGGTTATGCTGGTACGAGGGTACCAAGGGAGGGAGGGATCCTGATCCTATTTCACGCACGAATTTGAGAAAAATTCACGCGTCACGAAATGCTTCAGCCCAATGTTCTACACAGGACATCCAAACATTTATATATACTTTGGCACGCGTTTGTGGTTCTTGAAAGGGGACGCGTTTCGAAAAGCACCACCACCATCAAAGTTTTATGACCATTTGCTTCGTGCTCGTAAGCCTTGCGTTGTATAACGGCAATTATGACTCCTTGTTGTTTGGAATCAAGTTCACTTTAATCGGTACGGATCCATCTTTTCCAAGCCTGACTTCTGTGGAAATCTTAAATGTATACAAAGATATAAATTATTTCTCAATTGCGTATCTGTCGTTGAATAATCCACTATAAAGAATGACGACTTCCACCAATCGTTCTAATCCTTGAGGTGATTCCTCAGTATTGCACTGCACATCCTGTATTGCGTATAAAATCAGGTAATCGGGTGAATAAGCGCGCACATGCCGTGCACAATACCTTGTTCGGTATTGTTTTTCAATAAATGGACCAGGCAAAGAGGTACGATGCTCTTGAAGGAGCACAATGACATATATATTTTTATGCATATTTCTTGTGTACCAGTAATCCCCTTTAAACGGAAGAAATTTAAAAAATCCATTTCCACCTACCTAAAAATGTACCTTGAACTGATGAAAGCACGCGCGTGATTAGCGCCAGTACAGGCATAAATAGGGTAAGTTTGGCCCACCACATCTTTTAAACAAGCACGGTGACCTATCTTCTTAATTGTATTTTTCGCCACAGACTTTGGTAGGGAACCTTTAAGGAAATTTTAAAAAAATTGTTCGATAACTTTTTTTTTTTCTGAGTAATCACCCTAATAAAACTCAAAGCTTCAGCTCAGCTGTAAACTCAAAACTTCACTCTCACATATCATTTCCGACACGACTTCATAACTGATATTGGTATGGATGCTTAGGAAACATAAGAGCAGCGCATACTTATAATAGCGTCAAGTAGAACCAGGTGTGGTCCGCACCTCCCATGAAGCCCTTGTTGCGAGACTTCGTGATGCACACATGGATGAACTTTTTGTAAGATGACTCTCTGCTAACAATGTTGTCAGCTTCTCCTTCCTTTAGTATAAACAGAAATTCACCCGCGCTTGTTGTATCCAACTCTAGGACCTTTCACGAGGGAGCTCTCGTTCATCTTTGCAGTATTTGGAGAAAGCGGTGGCTTTAATTATGTATTTTCGGAGATCTTGCCATGTGACCTGATTTCTTTTCTCAGGGTGCTCTTGAAGTAAGACTGCCGCAGACAGTTGCCTCTCTACAAACTCTCAAAAACTCAAAAGAATGTTACGTTTGTATCTTACGTACGTTTAAGATCCCCTTTCATTCGATTGTTACGTTAGTACCTTGCTCACGTTTAAGATTTTCTTTGAATGGATTGTTACGTTTGATCTCGCGAAAATGTAAGATTCTCTGTCATTGGATTGTTACGTTAGCATCTCTTGCACCTTTAGGATTCTTTTTCTTTAGATTTATACGTTAGTAGCTCATGCACTTTTAGGATCCTCATTAATTGGATTGTTATGTTAGTATATCGCGCACTTTTAGGATTTTCTTGTTCGATTGTTACATTAGTATGTCGTCTAATCTGAGAATTCTCTTTCATTCGATTGTTACGTTTCTATTTCGTGCATTTAGGATTCTCTTTCATTCGATTGTTATGTTTCTATCTCGTGTACTTGGGGTCCTCTTTCATTCGATTGTTACGTAACTATCTCGCGCACTTTCAGGATTCTCTGTCATTCGACTGTTACATTATTTAGTACCTCGCACACTTTTAGGATTCTCTTTCATGTGATTCTGTTTCATCCGATTGTTACGTTAGTGCCTAGCACACGTTAAAAATTCTCTTTTATTGGATTATTTTCTTAACATCTCGCGCATTTTTAGGATTCTCTTTTTATTTCGATTGTCACTTTAGTATCTTGCAATCCTTTCAGATTCTCTTTTATTCGTTTGCTGATTTAGTATGTGGCGCATACTTTTAGGATTCTCTTTCATTGGACTGTTACATTAGCATGTCGTCCACTCTGAGAATTCTCTTTCGTTCGATTATGTTTCTATCTCGCGCACTTGCGGTTCTCTTTCATTCGATTGTTAAGTTAGTATCTCGTGTACTTAGGATTTCCTTTCATTTGTTTGTTACGTTAGTATCTCGTGTACTTAGGATTTGTTTGTTACGTTAGAATCTCGCGCACTTTAAGGATTTTCTTTCCTCAGATTGTTGCGTTTGTATCTCGCGCACTTTTAGGATTTTCTTTCATTGGATTGTTACGTTTCTATCTCGCGCACTTTTAGGATTCTCTTTCATAGGATAGTTACGTTTGTATCTCGCACACATTTAGTATTCTCTTCCAGTAGATTGTTAGGTTTGTATCTCGTGCACTTTTAGGATCCCCATAAATTGGACTGTTATGTTAGTATTTCGCGCACTTTTAGGATTCTCTTTCATTGGATCGTTACGCTAGTATCTCGTGCACTTTTTAGGACTCTCCTTCAATGAATAGTTGTGTCAATATCTTACGCCTTTTTAGGATTCTCCTGCATTTGATTGTTATTGGTTTGTGTATATCTCGTGCGCGTTTAAGATTCTCTTTCTTTTTCGTTAGGACCTTGGGGACTTCTAGGAGTTTCTCTCGTTTGATTGTTATCGGTATTGGTATCTCGTGCGGTTTTAGAATTCCATCTCATTCGACGGGAACGTTACTATTTCTCCTACTTTAGCATTTTAAACATAGATTTGAGATAAAAAAGTCTTTGATATCGAGGGAATTATTTATATCCTGAAGTAAACTCCCAATGAAGATTTTTACGATAAAAGCTATCAACGGTTTTCACGACCCTCTACATGATCTACTGAACGTGATCTTAGTGGTGATCTTGTCGAATGGCACTTTTGGAAGGTATGTGCCACACCACGAGCTTGACTTCTGTTGTTGATGAATCTTGTTATGTTAAGAAACGTCGCAAACTCGTGGAACGGTGTGCGATTATCATAAAGAAACCTAACTTTACCTGGAATAGCGAATGCTGTTGTCGTTGTTGCTAAGGAAATTTGAAGAGTTAGGAAAAGGATGATCACCACAAAGCTTTGAAAAACGTGGAAAAGGGGCGAAAGCTTGTTTTCAGCACGAGCGCTCCATTTCCCTACAAATCACTTTCGCGGGGTTGCGGACCATGCGTCAGGTAACTTGAAGGCCGCTTTCTTCACAAGTTATTTTATTTGAAATCTGTCCATAAATTTAGAGCTAGAGCTCAATTGAAATCCAGAAATCGAATCCCGAAGAGTGATTGGACTTTTGTATGTCGGCTCAAATGGTCAAACTGCTGGCTTCCTTTTCTATCCTTTCACTAGAGGATGAAAGAAATTTTACCTAATCAGAGAGGAGCAAATGCTGTGATAGATGCGCGTGACAGATAAGTGCCATTGCCGAATAGCGTTTTCTGTAGACACAGAAACAACAATATTAAATATCCTAAGCAAAATTGCTACAATAAGTGTATATTGATGATAATCAAGGTAAAAAAATTTCCACACACCCCCATAATTCATTATGCATACAGTTCTTAATTAAGAAAATGATGAGAAGAAGCATTATGACATTATCATACTAAAACATAGAAATGGTCACACCCCATTTGAGTGGGACCCTTATGCTGTTCATAGATTTCTAGAGGTTATATCAGGCATATGTATTAAATCAGGTTATATACATATGCATTATTGACCAAGCATGAGGTCAAGATGGCTGGATCTTAGCCGAGTTCTATTTTTTGCATTTTTATGGAAATTTTACATTGAATACTACCCTATATATCTCTGGACAATGGCAAGAGATTATAATCTTGTGACAACGGTTATCACTTTCACCCAGTCAATGATAAAGTCTGAAATTAATTTTTCTGACCAGGTGCTATTTAACTCTTTACACCCTAACATCATTATGCACATTCTCCATACTGTTCTCTATACATTTCCTAAGGTGCTGGACAAGAAGAATTTGTCAAACAAACAAGAGCTTTTTTGGTTGGTAATCATTTCCTTAATTCTCATGACCTTAATATGTGATTCAGGGGTGATACTGTAAGGAGAAACGAGATGCTAATCACCCTTAGGAGTCAAAGAGTTAACAAATAGATTGCATGTTGCTGATCATCTGTTCAGTAATAGTTCACAGATGACATCAAAGTGTGGTGAGGAAAAAAGAGTGGCACATATGGTGTAACTGAGTGTGTGAGTACAAACCAATGAAAATACGTAACTGTGCCATTATTCCTTATTGTATAAATTTCAATGGACATATTAATTAATGTACACCATCTTAATCCAAATGTCTTTATTTGTGATCATGAGAGATTGTTTACTAGTGGTGATAAATTCTATGATTAGGTTCCTGCAGTCTTAGCCCTTTAACTCCCAAGATCTGATTGTTAATTCTCCATTCTAGCTGCCACAAATTTCCTTCAAATTTAGTTTTGAAAATTTGATGTTTGATCAATATACCTTTAAAACTCATATGTTTGAGTGTTCTCATTACCAGTTTCTTGAATGTGTATTGAATGGATTTATTTAAGGGTGAAGTTACATGTTAATCCCTTCTGGGAGTTAAAGAGTTAACCCTTTAACTCCAAAGATCTCATTGGTAGTTCTCCTTACTGTCTGTCGTACAGTTCTTGTGGTGTTAGTTTGGAGAATTTGGTATTAGATCAACTATTAATCCCCTGACTAATATACTAATATTTTTCTTTATTCTCGTCACTTTTCTGCTTGATATTGTATTGATGTTGTAAGGAGAAATTATGTCTTTGCCACTCATGGGAGTTAAAGGGTTAAGAAATTTCAAGGGTTAGTTATCCCAAGAAGTGAAAAATAGACTTGCATAGCAGCAGTTTTATCTTACAAAAGGTTGAATGACTTTGATGCTTCATTTCTACCACATTACTCTGGTAATCTACAATCTACTTACCAATTCCTTCAGAGCAATGTTGGATGTCTCTTTTTTTTTGTTTTTTGTTTTTTTTTTGGAGGGGGGAGGGTGTTATCTTAGGAACATTTTAATTTTGTAGGCTATGCCATTGTGTGAGAAAAATGAACAATGATTTTTATCGTTGTGACTTCCTTATCTACATATTTCTGATAGCATGAGATTGTGTACTTCAGTTGAAGCTTCCTGACATCAGTGAGCATGTACTGTCCTCTATACACTTCCTAAATTGCTGTCAAGAAGAATTTGTTTGACAGTAAAGAGCTTCTTTGCTTGGTAATCATTTCTTTAATTCTTGTGATGTTCAATTCAGGAATGATATTGTACTTGGGAGAAGTTAGACACTTGTCGCTCTTAGAGGATTAACAATGCATATGGGTTAAGGTGCTGACAATCAAGCAATGCTTTTTGCAAGTAAATACTTGTCAATGTTCCTTGGATATTTGAGTAAGTTAGGGGCCACTACCAAGTCTAAGAGGCCCATTGACCTAAAACTCTTCCCCCCCCTGGGATTGCAACATTTATCATGAAGTTGCCAGTTAGAACTAATTTGACAAAGGCGTAAATTACCAAAACTGGTGACTTCATGATGAAGCTAGATAACTCCTCTCGCATGTGTTAATTTGATCAATCAATCCATAAACTTAAGTTAATCATGGGTAGTTTATCAGCCATTTACAAAAGGATCAAAAACTATTCACCATAACTATTTATTAAAATATATTACTGCTTTCCCTGAATGCTGTGCCTCAGAGAACTTTGCTGATTTCTTACATATTTTTCCTAACAGAAGGAAATCTTTTGTTATTTTTTATTTTTATTTTTTTTCTATGAAACACATTTAACTTTGTATTACGTAATGACTACCCATTCGGTTGGCCCTCCTGGTTGTGCGGTGGGGACCAAATGAGAGGCCCTGGAGACGAGGTTGGCTTAAGGGAAACGACTTGCGCTTGTGTTCTGAGCAATTCGTGGGGTAAGTTTTTAATTATTTATCTATTTAGTTCGCAAGTGAATCAACCCAAAACCTTAATTTCTCGGTCGAAAGGAAAAGAAATCGACAAACTCCGACAGTCACTGTTGGCAGACTCCGCAACGAAAACTGATTTTGTCTCTGTGTTCAATTTTAAGTCTACTTACAATTTTACAATCTGTACTCCAAGGTTTGTGGTACATTCAGATGTCGATAAACAAATATTTTGGCGATATTTTTGTGATTTGAAAGAGCCGGTCAAGCACCGATCGCTACTTGCTTTAGCTAATATCTCATGGGACCCTCTGGCGTGATGACGAGGCAAAGAATAATTATTCCATTTGTTCTAGGGGGTTCAAATACACACATTAATGACTACCACAGCCCTGCATTATATAATAATGGGTTATAATTAAATTCAAATGAGCAATGAAGGGGTGATTAAAACAATTCTCAAAATGCATTTAGAAATAGGTAATGGAGGATCAAAGATCAGGAATAAGGGATCTAGCTGTTATTAATTTAGGGCTTGGAATTAGAGTCTGAAATTCGGAATTTGGATTTCGAAAATTTGCCAGAGGGAAATTAAATATCGTGAATTTCTAGAGTGGGGGTAGGAATTGAAAATGAACTGATGGAGAGCGGAATCTGAGTCATATGAGGGTTGTCAGTAGTCCATTTTACAGTTACTTGCTTGGTTGCTAAGCTTTTGAACAGGAGTGAGGCTAAGGGTGACCTTGTTATCATACAAACATTGCTGCTTTTTAAAGTTAAATTACCTTGTTATTGTGTTAACCCTTTACACCCTAACATCAGTAATCATATTCTCCATACTGTTCTCTGTACATTTACCAAAATGCTGACAAGGAGAATTTGTTGAACAATCAACAGTTTCCATAGTCTCATGACATTAATGTGTGATTCAGTCTTAGGGAGTTTCAATGATCATGACCATCTTGTTGAGGTTTCTTCTGAGCCATTCGCTATCAAAAGTGAACTTCTTATCTTTAAATGCCTTTTTATAAAAAGATTAAAGACATATTCCACTGAAAAGACATGATGGTTCCAGTTCAAATTCTCCACCCCAGCCAGGCAAGGTTCAAATTCTCCACCCCTCAGGGATGGTTGACAGTCAAATGCCCAAGGGGAGAGATGTTGATGCTTAAATTTGATAGGTGCATTACCTAGTGATCTTTAATCTGCAATGCTTTGCTGAGATGAACCTTCAAATGAATTGTATTTAATAATAACTTATATCTGCCATACATACCATATGAGCGCAATGATAAATGTGCAGAGTAAAATGTTCCTTGTGTAATTTTTACAGGTTAAGGAAATATGAAATACTGTAGCACTCGAGGAAAGGTGCAGGCTGAATCATTTGAGGATGTGCTATTCAGTGGCTTCACTAGTGATGGGGGATTATACATGCCTGAGAGAATTCCAGTTGTGGATGAATGCACACTGCAAAAATGGAAGAGTCTCTCATATATGGAGCTTGTGAGTGAAGTGACTTCTTTGTTTATCCCTCCAGAAGAAATACCACCAGAGGAATTAAAAGGTTTGTCAGTTAACCTTTTACATCCTGACATCAGTAAGCATATTCTCTTGTGCTGTTCTTCTCCTATTCAACTCGATATCTCACTTGTGTGCCACCAAGTTGAACACTCAGAGAGAAACTCCATATCCATGTGTACCCATGTGTTATTCTCTATTTATCTATTTTTCTTGTGTTTTAAAACAGCACGGTTTGAGTGTAATTTTACATGACTATGACAGAATTAAGTCAATTGATGAAATAATTTTTTTAAAATTTATGCAACCTGGGAATTCTTTTTTGTGGACAGATCTCATTACCAACGCATATGCTGAATTTCGACACAAGGATATTGTGTCCCTGGCAGCAGTGAACAACTTCCATGTGTTAGAATTGTTTCATGGAAAGACATTGGCATTTAAAGATTTTTCTCTGGCATGTGTTGGGGCATTCATGGATTACTTTCTGAACAAGAGAAAGAAACATGTTATTACTGTAGTGTCAACTTCTGGTGACACAGGGAGTGCTGCCATTGAAAGTGTAAGGAAATCAAAGTGGGTTGATATCATAGTAATGTATCCTGAAGGACGCTGCAGCCAGATTCAGGAACTTCAGATGACAACAATTCTTGATGAGAATGTACATGTCATCCAAGGAGAAGGTTCATCAGATGACTTAGATGTGCCAATGAAAAAGTGTTTTTCGGATGATGCATTTGCAAAATCAAATAATCTTTGTGTGGTAAACTCGATCAACTGGTGTCGCATAATGGTACAAACAGTGCATCTTCTATATGCTTACTTGAGAGTTTGCTGCAATGTTGGAGACATAGTGAAGTTTGTAATACCATCAGGAGGACTTGGACATTGCACAGGTAAATGATCTTATCTGTTAAGTCAATCTCTTAAATTGCCAAACTATTCTTAAGCTCAATTCTGAGATATTGATTTTAGGATCAGTGTGTCAAGACTACTCAACCTGAAATACAACAATTGACCCATTTAAGTCCTTTGTTGATATTGCATAATTATATAATATCGATTATCTCTGAATTTATGATTATTTAAGTATGTAAATTTCCTCACAGCTGCCATGTGTCTGTATAAAATGGGTGTTCCTCTGCAAGTGGTGTGTGCAGTCAACGAGAACGACATTGTGCACAGGACCCTATCATTGGGTGACTTCAGTCCCAGTGGAGATGTGAGGCATACATGGTCATGTTCAATGGATATTGAGGTATGAATGATAAGTCTGACTGCAGCAAGCTGGGGCAATGCAGGTGTATATTATATCAGTATTCCCCTATGTAAAGACGACCTGCCATTTTGGATTTTTTACACAAAGGAATTAAGGTTCGAGGAAAGAAAAAAATCTATCCTGAAGGGATGAATGACAGGCTATAGAGGGGATTATGTACCCCACCACCTTCCCTCTCTAACTCTAACTCAAACATGATGGCTTAGTGAGTGGTAACAAGATTTTTGTGCTAAGTTGCTCTTCCTAATAAAGCTGTCAGTCAAAACTAGCTTCTATTAAAGCTTCCTTTTTAAACAGCTAAGAGCCTTGGCCCCGGTCTCTTGTGACTTGTTTGGGTTTCTCCATAGTGGTCCTGCCCCATGATAAGAATGTTTTTTTTTTTTTTTTTCGGTTTTTGTTTTTTGTTTTTTCTTTGTTGTTTTTGTTTTTTTTTTGCAGTAAGGCATGCAAAGCTAGACCATCCCTTTGAGATTAATGCTGAAAGATATATCTTTGTTATACAGTATATATCTTTGTGTTCTTGGTTTGGGTCTTAGAACTTAGGTTAACCTAAAGTCACAAACAGACTTTGTCCAAGGTGGAAGAAGATGTAGGGAAGTTAGGGATTAGCATGTTTTTGGAACAACAAGAATTAGAAAAACTGCTCTCTATAGTTAAATAAAATTGCATAGCAGTTAAATAATTAAAAAATGATTCAATATCTTTCCACTGATGGTTCAAATTGTGTAACATTCTCCTTTAATTATTAGATTCCTTATAACATGGAACGTCTACTGTTGCTCTTTTCTGACATGAATTATGGTCGTGTTGATTCACTGATGAGAGACTTTGAACAGAATAAGTCACTGATTATACCTGAAGATTTAAAAGGAGAGGTAACCTGTTCATTGGGATAAAAATGTAAACACAACTTTGCATTTGATTATGATTTACCTAAACTTTCAAATATGAGTGTGATCATCATACCTAACATAAGAAATTTGTAGTCTGTACCTTAATGTGAGTACCAAGAAAACTTATTCATAATGTGTGGATATTATCGGGAGAAGTTACATTTTAATGACTTCCAAGTGTTGAAGGGTTATTAAAAATAATCCCAGAAAACATGTCGAGGCTGAATGCCAGTAGCTATTCACAATTCTAACTTTTTTATATTACAGATGTGTAAGGTCCTCTCTTCTGCCTCTATGTCATGTGACCAAACACTTAAAACAATGAAGGAATGCTGGGATGAGAACAAGTACCTTCTTTGCCCACATACAGCTGTTGGTGTCAAAGTGGTCTGGGACCAAAGGTAATTGTAAACTGAGAATCATTATAAATACTATGTTAAGTAATACACCGTTTATTATCCGCTGAGAGGATAAAGACCACTGTCGGTATGAGGTCAGTGGAGTTGTGTCTCTTTGTGAACAGGTAGAAAGTACATATATGTTTAGCTGCAGTATCAGTCCTTTAACGGTGAGTACGTTGTTTGGTCTCGTCACTCGTGGGTAGAGAGTGCGCTGCGTGTTGAGACCAAACAACGGCTGCGAAAGAGATTACTAAGTATACACGCGTGTGATTTAGAGTAAACCACATTGTCGGAGTCGTAGGCAGAAGCGGGAAAAACCAACCAATTGCTATGTGAGTTCTCAGGCCTTCCGAGAGTCAAAAACTCACCAGATCAACGGTATTAGTATTCTGCTTCCGATTCCGCTGGTTTGATTTTTAACAGTTGCTATCGCTCTGTGCTCTGATTCCTACTCTGTCGCTTATTTAAACCAACCATAATACCACTGCACCAAACGTCGTTCAGTTTTGGCATGTTAGCTACTACAGGTGTAATTTGTTTTCATTGATGTAATCCGATTCCCCTTCCTATTCATGTTAGTGATTCCCTGTTTCCATCCGCAGACATGCCAGTGATCTTAAGACACCCATCATATGCGTAGCCACAGCAAGTCCCGCCAAATTCCCGGAGGCCGTCAGGGCTGCTGGTATTGAAATGCCGCCGTACCCGCAGTTGGCCGAGCTATTCACCAGTCCCACAAGGTACACGGAAATGAAGAAAGGAGAGGACTGGTATCAAATATTGAGAGACATAATAAAAGATATTTCCCGCAATAAACATCACAACGAAAACAATGGCACAGAAAATGGGAGTGAAGACAGGTAGAAAAAACCGACTGAGTTTGGAATTTTTTATCATTATTTCAGTGACTTTATCATAGGCGAATATTAATTAAAGTTAATTTATTATTGTAAGTAATAGAATTGTATTTTGTAAAGCAGTGTGCTTTTATCACTAACCATGATTTTCAGTGAAGAAGACAATTCCAATGAGTGCAATAAAAATCTAAAATCACTGCCAGAATTGATGTTCCCTGACTGTATGGTGAGGTGTACAATGGATATTAAAAGACGAAGCGGTCGTAATTATTAATACGTTAAACGTTTCCATAAAGGTTTACTTTCTAGCTGGTCAATGCCAAGAGATTATCAAGGTCGAAATCAAATACGGCAGCTTGAAGACATTCTAGAGTTCACAAAAGTCAGTTTCACAAAGATAACTCCCTAGATCTGATTGTTAATTCTCCCCTCTGGCTGCTACAGATTTCCTTGTGAATAAGTTACGAGAATTTGGTGTTAAATCAAGATAACAACTTCTACCTGATACATTTGGGTATTCTCATCACCTGTTTTCTGGATAGGGCATGAATATAGTAGGGAGAAGTTACTTGTTAATCACTTCTGGGGGTTAAAGGGTTAAGATAATTTGGTTTTAGCAACTGAGTTGATGGTGTAAATTGGCCATCGTAAAGAGTTTCTAAAACTGACGTTTGAAGCCTTATCCCTTTGTCCGAGCGAAGGACGCGCCCTTCCGAACAATATCACCCCTAAATCAAGCACGAAGTACATGAGAATTGACAAAATGATCGCGAACTCAAGAAGCTCTTGATTGTCAGACAAATTCTCCTTCTAAGTACCATCTTGAAATGTGTAGAGAACAGTGTGGAGAATTTGCATACTGATGTTAGGGTGTAAGAATTTAAGTGAGTTAAACTTTTGACTTTGTCCTGGTACTATCTCCTGGTAAGCCTCTCCTTTCAAATTCTGAACCAAAGAGCTGTAAAATTGTAGATGATATGCTTTCACTTGCTACACCCAACATGCCTTCTGTTGCAGTCGGTGAAATAAAAAAATAACGAAGACAAATTTTATACTCGGTAGAACGTGCAGCGTACTCCCAGCTGTATGTATCTACATACATGTTTGAACTAAAGAGTAGAGAAAAAAAATTTTAAAGAGGGACAGATAGTGCTCTGTACCGAGATGTGCAAAAAAGTGACAAACCTTAACATGACTTGTGTCGCGTTTGTATATTTTACAGACGTTCCCCTTCCGTCTCGTTTTGAAAAGCGATCTCTCTAATAGTTGATTTCCACGTGGTTTTCTAGTAGTTACTCTCCCCTCGTTTTCTCCCTATTGGAAGTGAGATTAAGTTACTGCCCTAATGAGCCCCCCCCTACCAAGCCCCTCTCTTAATTTACCCTCCCACCGTCTATCAATTACAGGTTATAAAAGCTCCCCCCCCCCTTTTAGGAGGAAAGCATCGGAAAACATTTAGGTTCAGTTATGAATTAATACAAATATAAAGGTATCCCTATCATATGTCATATCTCTTTCACCAAAGAAAAGCAAATTGTGCATAATATCCGTGAAACTTGGGCGACAATTTCAAACGAAAATTATGGTGGGAACTTTTACCCTGAGTAATTTTTTGATACACCCTTCCCCTCTTCTCAATAGACCTTCCCTTATGGAAACTCTGGGAATCAAAAACGCCCTCGGAGGTTTATCAAAGCGTGTATAAACGTTCTTTCACGTGACCAATTCATTGAGTGAGAATTTCAGTGGGCGAGCCGACTTATCAGATTTTGTTTGAAGTCGTTGGAGATTGTTTACGATACATTTTAAGATATGAGATTTATTCAAACTGGAATTCGAATCGATAGCGGAGTTCTTTATCGCTGAAAGGCTTTCACCAATAAGGGTTTCCGCTATGCGTGACTTCTACGATTACGTCACGATAAGTTTGCACGCAATACGAAATGACATGATTTTGCACTATAAACACTTTCCTACCAAATCTGTTATACTAGCAAGATATTTTTCTAATGAAATATCTCTGCTGTCAAATGCCAAAAGGGAAAACTCTGATTTTCACCTTGAAGTGCCTCTTCTTGATACTGTCAAACTGAGAGAAAAACCATTTAACTGTCATCGGGGTCCACTTCCGGTTATTATCGAACACCGTGGTTGATAGATTAGACGAAAGAACAATAAATCAAAAATCAAACGCTTACTAGCAAAGGGAATGCTTTCCTGTTCAGTTCAGGATCCAGTTATAAAGTAAAGTAAAGAAAACCGTCATTTTTATAGGTCTCCAATCAGTGTCGTAGAAAAACTGTTTGTCAGCATAATTTTTTTCTGCCATTCCTAATGTATTGGCAACGTTCACGCGTAAAGCCGCAAGTGTTGAGATGTCTCTTGCACACCATGGAACAATCTTCATTGAAAAAAATGAATTGTTTAATTGTTTAAAGATATAAAAAATTGACGAAGGGGGGCAGAAACATCGGTTAACTTTGATGTTCTTTTATTTTATTTCATATCAATAGTCTTAATTTTTGTGAACAAATAGGTGGGGTTATGATGGAGTAAACAAAAGTGTAAGGTTCGTGATAAAAGAAGGGAGTTTATTGTCGGCTGCCTTTTGTGTTGGTTTGTGTCTATCTATTCTGTTGCCGCCCTCAACAAAAATGTGCACATAGGCACGAAAGCTCTGCTGCGAGTTCTTTTAAAACTATCGGCTGAACAACATAATCTTATTAAGATGACGACAATCATGACCTTTTACCACCATTTAGGAGAATTTATTATGATACCACTTGTTATTAAATGTTTCCTGCTTGTATTCGTTGCATTTGACTTGAAACACCGATTGTTTTGTTTTGTTTTTGCTGCACAATATAACGTTAGCATAGGAAGTAAATAAAGCCTCTGATATTTGATTGTGATCCAAAAACTCCAACCGTGCGTACTTGTGTGGGGGCATATTAGTCGAGTGCACTATCAAATGTGCGATGAATCAGATATCAGATAAATTTTTGCGAAACATACCTTTAAAATTTCTCCTCTATGTTTTCGTTTTCAAAACTTTTGCAAGATTTCACTGAAAACGTCCAAAATATTCGACAATTCTATATTTTCCCGCACTCGTAGAACTCCGTGTTATTCAGAGATATCGGCTCATTGAACCTCATTCAACATTCGCTTTGCATGTGTTCCAGTGAAATTAGTAAGGCGATTGAGGAATAAAATCTACAAGATCTTCACGAGCAAAGGTTACTCGTTTAACATTTCTTTTAGAGGGGGAGGGCGAGTCGGTAGTAATGATTTAATCCTTTCCGACTTTTCCTGTTAGTTTTATTTCGTCGTGGAACTTTTATAAAAACAAAAACAGGACATGCTCCTCCCTCTACATAAGTGGCTTTAAAGAATCGATGGGAAGGTCTCTTTTTTCTACGCAGGATTTAACAGTTTTACAATAAAAAGCTTAGGTTCCCACTCGGGGGAAATGAGATGACAACTTCACTTGAAAAGTTGCTTAGCGGTCGCAGTGGTGTTGCAGGCTCGATGGCTATCTGTTAACTTTCATCAAATGTTAATTCGTTCAAACAATGGTTTTGTGTATCGATCATGTTTCTCTTAGAAGTGATGCAGTTCGATTGAACATTTCCTATAAATTAAACAAATGCTCTCCAAATCATGTCTCTCTAACGTCGTTACATTGGTAATTGGAATACATTGCAATTCCGGTTTCGGTGCTTTCAACTCAAAACCTTCAAGGTGTATAACTTTTATTCCAATCTTATTCGCCAACATACCAACGTACATGCCATCCTGTCTGAAGAAGGATGACGAATGGAAAAAGCCTCAACAAACAAAACTACCACATCGTAAGACAAAATGTTTCCAACATGAAACCCATGCAAAAATCTGGATAAAACACCCGTGGAAATTCAGTCTTCCCAACTTACTTCCCTTTTTACCACTCCTGAAACCCCAAGGGTTTTTGTTAAAATTACCCTCGCATAAAATTTCTTTTGGAGAGATAAGTTTACATAGAGAGGAGAGAACAGCTTCAATGCTAACGAAGACATCATCGGCGTCTGTCTTTAAAAGAAAAGAGAACCTGCCTACGTTATCGCCTATTCGAAGCCCATCAGTATCTTTCTGGTCTGACTCTAGGAATGGTCGAGTAGTCAGCTCGCACAAGGTCTCCATAAACTTCATCTTCCCGCAATAGGGAGTAAGACAGAGATTGATTTCGTACTTCAGCGACAAAGAAGGCCATTGTCCATCTTAGCCGGTTTGTGGGCTCTTTGGAAAGCCCAAGTCTAATGAATATCCGTGTTCATTCTTTGCAACTTAGGTGGAGCGGATGATACAAAAATAAGAAGTTTGTAAGTGCTGCGGACAAGCTTTATCAGTTATAAGAGATGTTCTTTAGTGTGCGAATTGCAAAGTTGAACGATCTCTTTTGAAGAGAGGTCCCGTTGATGTAATTACCTACGATGCGGAAGAAGTTGCCGTCTCGAGTGACTCAATAGAGAAGAGCTTTATCAAGAAAAAGTCAAATTGTTACCACGAAGCGAATGTAGGGATTCTTGACGCTCTTCTCGTCATTAATGATTGGAAGGAAGCTGACTTCAAAGTGAATTGACTCTCCGTGAAATTTTCAGATTATTAGCCGATCAGTTTAGATTGTCCTGCAATCCTAGAGCTTCCGATATTTTTCTGTGATATCGGCTCATTGACAACTTTAAAGAACAGGATATGTTAGGTGATATTACAAGGGTGGGGTGGGGGAGGTAAAAGAGGTAGAACGGGGGATGGGTACATAGACTGGTACTGTAAGGTCAGTTAGAGAGTGGGGGTTTGACAGCTTCGTTCTTCTTTCAGTATTATCTGATCACGCAACTAAAATAGAACCAAATCTGTGATTCTTGCACATTAATAAAGCCGTTTAGTTATTGAATCAGTCATTGTTAAAAATGAATTTGAAAATTATTGAAATCGTCCCTTTTTCAGCAAAAATTGCAGTTAACATTACGTTTTTGGCAATTCAAACAGTAATAATTATACTCACTTTGCCTTTTTAAGGAGTGCAAGATTGAGGCTGCATATTTTTCGACTGGTTTGGCGGAATTATTTAGGACTGAAGCAGTTAGAAATTATTGCCGAGGTACAGGTTGGAGCTGAAGCACCTCAGGCCACGAAAGACGAAAGACGATGCATGCAAAATCACGCTTGAAATCATCCGTCTGTGACCCGTATTAAGTGGAAATCCAACAGAAAATTCG